AATTTTCACTCCTCTGTCTAGTAGTTTGAACATTTTTACCTTTTCAGTCACTTAAATAGTTGTTTGTATAGTGAATTTGTAACTACATATTATAGCCTTACTAGTTTATTTGTTATATTTAGTTTAACAAATTAATCGTAGTTAAATCAAAAATTGAACTACTATTAATCAACGCTATGTCGTATGGTTTTAGTAATTAGTAATTTTTAGTAATTATTTTTAAATTGTCAGTAATTACCTAACTGTATAAAATTCAATTCAATTTAATTCAGTTTATTCATTCAATCTCAAATGAGCATTAAGCTTGTAAAGAGTATAATTACAAAAAATTCTTGTAATTAACTGTCAAATATCTGTGCAACGTTTTATCTTTCAAATTATGTAATATTTAATTCATAACAATAACAATAATAATGAGTAATATTTGGTTTAACTGACAATTGTATATAATAATTTATTTTGACTAAAGTGCTAAGATGTTGTTTAAATCTATTTAATAGTGTATGACATTTCAATTCACCAGGTGGATATACTGTGTCCAAATTATTAAACCTGACATTAGATGATATCATTCTGATGTTACCAGTTGTTCTTGTGAGCTGTGAATTCAACTGTGAATGCTATTAAATGTAGTTTCAATGTTGGTATTCGTGTTTTTCGTCATTTCGTGTTTTTTTTTGTATTTCTCTAGTTGGTTTTCTACTTTCGTAACCGTATTAAATTGCTTTATTTTTAGCTCGTTGTAATACGAGTAGTTGTAAATCTATATTATATGCATTTCGCCGAATTTGAACTGCGTGCATGGTAGTTGAATGAAAGAGCTTTTTACATAGCCATAATTACTTTTATTTGATGTGTGGTTAAATTTTTCCCAAATTAATTTAAATCTTTCTTATTATTCTTAACTAACGGCAAAATTTATTATTTAGGCGATTATTGATGAACATTTTAAGCCTGTTCAGCTAGCTATTTCTTTAGTAGCACCAAAAAAACTCCCAAAGCGAAAAACAATACCTATTAGAATTAAAGATCGAAATAAGGTAATCAATCATTTAAATGATGATGAGATTTTATATTAGAGTATAAAATAATGAAATTTATATTATGTATATAAAATGTGTATATCATAAATACTTGTTAGAATCTTTAGCTATAATCATCCAATTTAATATATATTTGTATGTATATATAAAAAATTCGTTCACTTTTAATATTCAAATTTTGTTTATATGTAAATTGAGTGTATATTATTGTCAATAATAATTTTCTCTATATATATTCTTTTTTCATAATAATATGTATAAAAATGTAGACATACAATATATAAATAAATTGTATATTTTATATGTTTGTGTGGGTAGATGTATATATACAACCATATTGTAGTGAAAAAAATTAATGTTCCTATATAAAATACCGTTATTTATTATAGTTTCCTTGAATACACAAATCAAAGCGTTGGCGAAAAAATTATTTTGATGCCATTACAGCATGCAACTTATTGTTTGCGTTTTGAATTTCCTATCTCCTTCTCTCATTTATAACTTTTAAATGGAAAAATAAAACTTTTCTTTTTGATTTTCTTTTTTCTTATTTTCAGTTAAAATTATTGTTTTAGTTTTACTTTAACATTTAAAGTTGAATGGTTTCTGTTATTTGTTTTTTTTTATTTTATAAGTTTTATTTCTTTCATAATTCTGCGGTACTTATACATATATGTATGTATTTTGTGCAGTGTTGTAAATTTTCTTTCGCTTGATTTTTTTGTCCGTAACCAATAACAAATACGAGAATTAGTCAAAAGTCTAAGGAATTTTTACGTGATAGTTTATTTGTAAGGTCATTGCCAATATTGTATAATGCTATAATAAATTTGCCAGCTCGAGATAAGCTCGAGAATTCGATAAATTCTTATATTTGCCATAAATAATAAGCCTATTAAATTCAAGTTTAAAATTAATTTTGGAATAAGATTGTTAGAATTCAAATTAATTTTAATAAAATTAAAATTAGATTCGATATTAGTTTATAACACTTCTCAAATTGTAGTTAACTGTTATATAAAATATTCTTTAGAAATTTTAATTATTTAATTATCTGTTATGGGAAAAATTATTAAAATTGTTGTTAAACTTTACTATGATCTTGGCAAGAATGTATGTTTTTCTAAATAACGTTTGATTTCAACATAATCTGTCTTAGTATAATCCTGTGGGCATATATGAACCTATAATGTAACAAATTATTGGCTAGACTTGTCTCTTTCCAAAAACCAACTGATTTGAGATAAAAAAGTATTTTATTTAGAAAAAAATATTCAAAATTTTATTTTGTTCTTGAATTTACCTTTGGCAAATATTGGTATGATCGACTGAACTAAATAAAGGGAAAAATAAATTAGAAAAAAATTTTCAATTAATATTCATATAACTTTACTCATTTATTTCCAACTCATAAACATGTCATATTTTTTTCATATTGAAATTCTCTTACTATCAAAACGACATACAACGTATCACGCCACTGTTCATATGTTCTACTTCAATATGTACATACAATGCATATAGATATTTTTTAAATTTTGCATGTTTTGAGAACCAAGGATTTACGTGTGCCTATACATTTCATTTTTAAATAATTTTTTGAACACTTTTCAGGGAAATGCAATTACTCTCTTCTATAATAAAATGTTTTTCGAAAATATTCATTTGAATTGATTGAGTTTTAAAATTTTCATTATCATATTTGAAAGCAAGGCTTCGATAAAAAATGGAAGTTGTCTATTCTTTTGTACATTTTTAAACTTAAAATTTCATCTTTGTCATATTGCAATAAATTATGTAATATTTTTTTTACTTAACGAGTTTTTGTTTTAATTGTTATACTTGATTTGAGAAAATAAAGGAGCAAGCCAAGTGCTTATATAACATTAACAAATTTATTTATTTAAGAAAATTTATTTTCCTAGTAGGTACTGATTAATCAACAAATTTTTATAATTTCAAATTCCATTCAATGCCAAATTCAATGCTAATAAAATGAAAGCAAAAAAAATTTCTACTTGTTTAATAATTAAAAAAAAAAAACAAAATTAGAAATAATTTTGTGAACTTTATCCTCCTTTTTAATAATTATTCTTATCCCTCCACCTTTATTTCAATTAATTAATATTCTTGGCAGAAATGAAATAAAAGTTTTTTCGCATTAAAATTTGTCATTATATTTTCAATTTTATTTTCAATATTCATAATTCTCATATTAAACTACTCATTTATTGTTCCATCTGTTAAAGACTGTTAAATCATAGACATGAATTAACCTTTTTAAAATTGTCATTTCATTTCAAATATTTATTGATGGTAGGTACATATTTATTGTAAAATAAACAAACAATATAAAATTAAAGCGCGCAAAATGCAAACAAAACAAGAATAAAATAAATATTATGAGGTTATGGGTATAAACTATATAGAGAGACTGAAATGTAAAAAATATAAAAAATTTTATGCAAAATATATTAGTAGCGATATTTTCAAAATATTATGTTTTTTTAGTTTCATTCTAACAAACTAACTATCAAGATGTGGAAGTTTTTCCATAAAGCCAAAACTATAACGGTATAAAATCATATAAAGGATAATAGAGTTAACAAAGATTTACGACGATTTTAATGAAAGCTTTATTGTTTTTTTTCTTTTTTTTGATTTTTGGTTTTTTTTTATTGCAAAAATATTCCTAGTTTATATTTTTTAGTGTAGTGATAACGATGTATTGAATTTTTAAAGTGAATTATGTACATATCTTACTTTATAAAAATAAGAATGTATTTGTTTTATTGAATACATACATATACAATATTGGACAAAAAAATTTGTGTTATATCAATTATAAAAATACTTTAGGAGAAATTATAAAAACATGAAGCAACGCAGTAGAATGCTTCTATTGTGTCGGTGTAACCCATAATAAATAGAGAGTTTTGCTTGGCGGATAGAGTACCTCTAATAAGCAGTAAAAACTAATTATACAAATAAACTCTGCAAATTTAAATAAATTGGAAAAAAATCCTGGCCAATACAATAACAAAAGCAACAGTATAAGAACATCTTAATGAGGGCGAAAAAATTTAAAAAATAAATGGAAAACAAAGATTGGTACAAAAAAACAATCTATCTATCAAATAAATTTATTTGGCTCTGACAGTCTGCCTTGTTTCTACTACCAGCTTGTCATTTAAAAAATTTATTGATAATATGGCATATAAATGTCAATGTATCTATTCAAAAGTTCGTAATTACTTGCTGCTTATCTGGATAGTTTGTGATGTTATTAGAAGTGACGATAATTGATTTGCATTTAACTTGGAAAATAATAATTAAAATTATTTAATAATTCCTATAAATGTTATTTGCAAATCAATTTTCCTAAGCAAGAAGCAAGCACGTTTTCAACACTGTTATTGTTAACTGTGTGTTGACATTTAATCTAGAATTCAATTGAAATATAAATCTGCTATAAAACTAATAAAAATTATACATATGTATAAATAAAATAACGATGTACGTTTTGAAATTTTTGTCCAATGTTGTACCATAGTACAGTTAGTACAGTTATTATTGTAAATAATTCAAAGTTTTATAATTTATTTTCCGTTCTTTGTTATTCTGAAGTTTTTTTTTTTGTTGATTTTACTTTAATAATCTTGATTTAATGTTCGTTCTTTAATAGAATTTTGTAAAATACGTTTCCATTTTTTTATTTTTTTTTTTTGTAAAGATCAGCCTTTAGATATTATCAATTTTTAAATAACTAGAGTACAGTAAATTATTTTATTTCTTTTTGTAGATTCATGCTAAATTTTATTTTTAGTTCAATTTTTATTACATTTAATAAAGGTTATGTTAATTTATTTTATTTTTCTTTACTTTATTAAAAAATCATTAAATAAATTAAGTACTTACGGTTCTTAAAAGAAAAAAAAATTAGCAAAGATAATAACAGAAAAATTAAAACCATTTTGTCAGTCAGTTGACGATGAATGGTTCAACAATTGAAACAGATGGTGAAGAAAATTCACCATTAAATCAAGAAATAAATATTGACGAATTGAGTGATGAGAATTTAAAGGTATAAAATTATCAAAAAAAAAAAACTAAATGTTTTTTTTGTTTTTATTTTCTTGTTTTGTGCATTGTGAACTGCAAGAGTTCATATAAAAATCAATAATGTTGAAATTTTAAGGGCGATTAAGTAAAAAAATATGTCGGATATTCAAAATTCGGTATATGTATGTATGTAAAATGGTGTACATGAATAAATGTAAATAACAATAATCTTTGTGATTTCAAATCAATTAATAAAAAAGTGAGAATTATTTGAGTTTATTTCTATATATACATAATATATATTTAAAATTAATAATATTAAAAATAAGGAAAATTGAATAGTTAGTGAAGTAATTAAAACTTTTATACAATAAATCAATTTCACCTCTGTGTTACAATGTTGAAATTCATAATTTATGTAAAATCTTTGTTGTCAATTTTGTATATATTTTATTTAGAAGCTTAAATTTGCGTAATGATAAACTTTGTTTTTAATTTTTTTAACCATTTATTCAATGATTATTAAAATATCTAAAATATTTTCGAATATTTTTTCTTACTTACATAATATGCACTTAAAATCTAACATAGTTCTTAAATGTTATAATTATAAAAGTTGTATATAGTAAAAATTTAAAAAATTTCAATAATACGAGTATTTGTAGTTTATAATCGTTAATAATCGGTAATAAACATTGTAAAACAAATTATACATGAGAAATTGTAAAAGCAAAACTTTCAATGTCATAAATTTTAACAGAAATGCGTGAAATTTAACTTTAATGGTCGTCGTAACTAAGAGATTGCAAATCTATATAATGTGCCATTTACATGTATACGACAAAATCTATAGTATTAAAACTATGACAAAATCTGATTTATTTTTTATTAAACTGAAATTATCAGATAGAATTGAGATTTTACGATAAAGAATTACTAACATAATACGACAAAATCTTTAATATATACTCTGACTCTGATGAGAATCGTTTACATAAACACTGTTTTACATCAGATTTTGGCTGGCGACAAATAATTCATTATCAATATAAATTATAATCTTTTAAGCAAAATGGCGACAATTATTTTTTTGCGACAGTTTTAAGCATAAATTATAGCTAGCTGATTTTAATTTTCTTAGTCTTAATTTTCGTTGCAAATTTTTAAATTTTTAGCGTGTAATCAGAGCTCCAATCAGATATCAATAATCATATAATCATCAAACTTTATCGCAGATTTGATCACAGATTTTGTTGTATATGCAAACGCTGTACCCAAAAACTAATAATTTTGCTTTTGTATTCATTTGAAAACTGTTACCAAAATAAAAATCATTTCGTCACCTGTTCAAAACTCAAAATTTGACAGTAAATCTGATGGTAATAGAGTAATTTCTATTATTTACCGTTAGACAAAGTCTGGTGTCATATAGTGTTTATATATACGACTTTAACTTTCAAATAGTGATATAACATATACGACTTAGATATTGTCTTTACAAAAGGGCGGCTCATATCCTCATACAAGTTTAAATAGGCTCATTGGAATTTACTCTGAAGACAGTTTGACAAAACTATATTTATTTGCAAAAAATTAAACATTATTTGTGCCACCTCAAATCAAGTTAAACCGTTGCACTTAAACCAATTTGTGACGTATATCAACCGTTCATACAAAAGTCGCCGCGTGAATTGCACATTAACAAACTTTTGTCATTTATTGGAATTAGATTCGGTACCTTCGAAAATTTTAATACAGTTATTTTATTAAAAAATAACAAGCTTTCTCTTCTGAGCGTGTTTTTTTTCACCAACAATTACATTGTTTAATTTTTGGGCAAGTCGCATTAATTTTAATATATGTATATGTACATTGACGTAGTCAAAAGAATAACTTTTACTTTAAAACTAGTCATTAGAGTTATTTTTTAATTTTTGTTTCGTGAAGAAGCTGAGAATTAGATTGGTTTTTCTGAGAATTAGAAGATATTTTATTATTTTAAATCTATCTAGCATAAGAAACAAGAGAAGGTATATAATCAGAATACGTACTCATTTTTCATTTGTAAATATTCTACGTAGATAATGTATAAAGAAAGTATACACTTTTTCCTATTCTATTTCTATTTCTATTTCTAATTTCATTTAACATTTGCATTTTTCATTATCATTCATTTTTGTGTATAAATTTTTAATTCTTTTTTTACAAAATCTAATGGCAAAATAGAAGATTTTTTCAATTTGCTTTAAAGGAAAATTGTAACTATTTTTATAAATAATAGTCATATAAAGATCTACAAATTTGCACATCGAATTTGTAAATATGTAAAAAATAACACACTTGTAAAATTAAACACTATAATTAAAATAGAATTTTGATTGTGAAAGAAATGGGGGTATTCATTTGAATAAAAAAATTAAAATTAATAAGTAGCATAAATTAAAAAATTTCTTTAAAATAAATAAATAATATTAAGAAAAAGCCTTCAAGTAAACAAAAAATTTCATTCGCTGAACAATGGAAATTGTGAATTTAGTAGAGTGAACACCTGAAAGAAAATTTATCGTCACTTTAGCTTATTAAACTAATAAAATTTAATTATTGAATAGGTCAAGTTAAGATTTAATAAGCCATGTTAGACGAATCTTATCAGATTATTTTCTGAAGTTCTATAATATCAAAAATGACGATCCGAAAGTAGTGTTAAAGATTGTATTTACTAGATTTTATTTATTAAAGTTCTGTCACTTCTGTCAATGAATTCATGAGCTTATCTTTTAATAAGCTCATCTGCATTCTCATATAATTTTAGAATGTTAATAAAAATTCATCATTACGAATACCTCCTACAAGCTAAAGTAATTGAAATATCAAATTCGAATATATTTCTGATTTGCGATAAATTTTTTAAATTTATAATTTTTCTTTTTTAAAATATCTAAATATCTAACTATCTACACGATTTCATTCCCTTTATATTAAGCCTATTCAATTAAAATCGGCAAACTTTACTCATGAAGTTCGAACATGATTACCCCCTCATACTGTAAATACAAAAATTAATGTTTATTTACTTAGTTTTTTCTTGTACATATTAAGTTTTTTCTTTAACTAAAATTTTTAATATGAAAAGAAATTATTTTGTTCTTTTTTTTTTAAATATTATTAATTAAAAAATACACAAAAGACTTTAAGACAATCGACAAAGTCGATCTTAAAAAAACCAGGCGAAGAAGATTTAGATGATTTCGAAGCATGGATGAAATCTAGAGCTCTTATAAAACCAGATGATCAACTTGATTTAAATGATATTGAATTAGCTGAGGAGATTCCAAGAACTTTAAGTCAAACCAATACGAATGTTATCAAAAATTTGGCTGTATATAGTTATGCTGCCAAAGAATACATATTGGTAAGAAATAAGGAATTAGTATTAGTTGTAACCGAACTAGAATTAAATTTTTAATAATTAAAAGTTACCAGAAGAGGGAAATACTGTTACACTTTATAATTTGCCAAGTACATCATTGCATTTAGATTCAGCAGAAGCTAAAAAACAAATAGAGGAATATGGGGAAGATGGTAAGTCTAACGTTGCATATTATTTTTTATGCATTTGTTCTTCAATTGCTATAATTAAATTTACCATAATATTTCAGCTTTAATATGAAAAATTTTATTACTAGAAGTTTTAGAAAAACAATATTAAATTAGACTTTCTTTTCTTATAGTTAAAAAAAACAATGAATTTCAATTTTTATGTCATTGAAATGACATTGATCTAACAAAGCGGTAAAATACAAAACGTTATGCCGCATAAGTATTTCTTTTTTTGTATTATAAACAATTAATAGCTTTTTGCACCCTAATATATGCAATTTTTTTCAAAATTTTTAAGCTTTTTTATAGTTCAAATTATCGAAATTAAAATAGTACAATTATTGACACTCTTAAACATAATTCCCAAAAAAAAAAAATTCTATTCAGAATGATGAAATTTTTGAGCATCAATAAAATATAAATTGAATATTTTGTTTTTGGTAATTATTTACTAGACTTTGTTAAATATTGAATACAAATATTTTATATTTAACATTGATATTAAAATATTATTGAGACTCAAGTATAACTAATGACATGGTATACCTAAACGTACAATTTTTGACACAGATCTTCTTTAGAAAACAATATTAAGCAATGCAATGTGAATATATAATTCACCTTAATTATCACATGTATTATGCAACTGGAACAAGTAAACGAAGCGGATGGTATGCAATATTTGTTTTATCTATATACATAAGTGCATAAAATGCGATTTTTTTCGTATTTGTTAGATTTAACCCCATTTAATTTTTATCAATTCTGAAGTTAGAAAAAGCTTATTCGAAGTAAACTGAGCCAACAACTACAGTGTTATTTCTGTTATGATGCATCAAAGGATGTCGCATAAATTTTCTTACTGCATATTATAAATGTAAAAAGTTTGTGATTAAATCGGAAAATGAGCATTTGTGGGAATGTACATGTGAAAATTAATTCACAGAGTGCTTCAATAATGAGTTGTTTAACCATCGTTTAGGGTTAAAAAACTCATTATTAATAAAATTATTATCCGGAATCACCTAATCGCTACATTTCCTGACATTTCATTCCCTTTGTACTTTCGGAATGACGTAAGCATTAAAAATCTTAAAAAAATTCTCTTAGAGTAATAATGATTAAAAGAAAACAAAAAAAAAATGTATTGTAGTGTATCGCTTATTATTTACTTAAGAAGCACTACAATTACATTCAAAATAGCACAGGAAGCTTGAAAATTATTTTTTGAACAAATAAAGAATGTAAAATATCAAACAATTGGAATTAATCATTTATTTGTGAAGCAAATAATTACAAATAATTGGAAAATCCAAATCGAAAATTACCAAATCGAATTGTACCAAATTATCACAGTGTCAATAATCGTAGTATCGTTAAGTTGTTTGATAACTCTATTTTAAAAGATTTATAAAGTTGAAGAGGATAATTGTATATTTTTGCAGGAACAAGAGATATTTTATATAAAAACGTATGTAAATTACACTATTTTTAATTTTAGGTTCGAGATTATTGCCGCATAGCATTATTTACGCCAAATACTTCCAAAATTTTACTTATTATGGAAATTGTGCTACCTTAACTTTTATTTTAAATGATAGTTTTTTTCAGAGTACCAAAATAACTACCTCCAAATGTAGGGATTTTTGAAGTGCGTATAACTAATTCCTTTCTTGTTAAATTTTAAATTCTTCTGTAAAAAAAGTCGCAGTTTATCTACTGCTTAATTAATATTTAGTAAAAAAAAAACCCAGATTATTTTCTATTGCGAAAATTTATAGCAAATTTTGGTTAACTTGGTTTTTAGGAATTCTAATATTTTTGTAAAAAATTTTTCAAACTCCCAAGCTCTATCTACAAAATCTACGTGTAAAAACATATATCTATGTGATATACCCTACTTTTCCTAAAGTTTTTATAAGACTAAATTATTTTTACTCCACTTTAAATAATTTTTTAATTTTTTTATCACTTCAATTTTTTATTGTATAATCAATACTAATACCAAAATAAAAAATATCAAATAAATTCAAACAAAATTGAAAATTTGAAATTTGGCTTGTCTTAAATCATCACAACGCAATAAAAAAAAAAAACACCTTCAAAACACCACATAGCTTTTTTAATGCCAGAAAAATCTCGCCAAAAATCCATAGCAAAATCAATTCTAGCCCCAAAAGATACAGAAGCTGCAGAAGCGGATGACGAAGACAAAGAAGCTAAAGAAGAACAAAAACCTGAAGGGGATGAAGAGGAAGGTGAAAACGAAGAAGAGGAAGAAGAAGAAGGTGAAGGTGAAGAAGATGCAGGTGCAGCAGAAGCTGCAGCAGCGGCTTCTCAAGGTAAACAAATACACATACATGTACTCGTATATGTGTGGACGAATAATTTACAGAACTGATTGCATATATAGTTATATATTATGAATAAAATTTTCTCTATTCTTTAAGAATAGATTGATGACTTTTGCATAATATCAAAATTAATTTTCCATTAAAATTTATTTATTATAAGCATAATAAGGTGTTTATTATATAACTCTCATTTATATTATAATAACCAATTCTTTTCATATAAAAAAGCTGAAGAATCAGCAGCAGGGGGAGCTGGAGGAGGAAGAAAAAAGAAACTCATTAATCAATTTAACTATTGCGAAAGAGGTGCACTAACATATTCAAATCCAACCAGAGTAAGTTTTGTTCTTTTTTTTGCATGACAATGAAAAAATAAAATTAATTTTTCTATATTAAAAATTAAAGCATTTATAATGTTGAAATAATAAAAAATTTTGTAACATTAAACATTTGCCAGAGTAGGTGGTAAAAGAAAATTACATAAAAACAGTTTGCGTGGGTTAATCTTGATTAACAAAGAAAAACTATTTTGTATAAATTAAATTACAATAAAGCATGAATGTTTTAAATATTTAAATGTAAGGAGAAGTTCTATCGAGTGGGATGATTTTGACACAAAAAAAGGTCATATGGAACATAGTTAGTTCTAATTTCCATGGAAAATAATATATACATACTGTTTATCTTACATAATAATTTTAAATCTGGGAGTTATTCTTTGTGTACTGCCACTATTTTTTGGTTTTAGGATAATTAAATATCCCAAAATCGAAAAACGTCTATGACATTTAAGGAAATGTTACTGAAATTCTCCCATACATTATTTGTATTCGTTTAACAATAGATAGATTGTTTTCATTTTATATATATAGGCAATCGAAGCTCAAACTATTCCACCACCAAGATCAACATTTGGTGGAACTGTTCTACAATGGGTAATATTTGATTCATATAATGAGGATTTTGAAAAACAACAAAAAGATAAAGAAAAGGATAAAAAGGTATAAAAAATGAAAATTTAAATTTGCAATATGCAAGCTCAAATTTAATTGTTAGGGAAGCACAGCACCTAAAAGGGATGATCAAAAAAAGAAAATTGACAAAACTCAACAGGCTGAAGAACTTAATAAAAAGTATTTAAAATGTTGGCAAATATTAGAACGAATGATCAATCAAAATATTTATGATGAAATTGCACAAGATTACAGAACATATGAGGATCCATCAGATGAATATCGCGATGGTGAAGGAACTCTTTTACCCTTATGGAAATTCTGTTATGAGAAAACAAAGAAAATGAATGTTACCGATATGTTTTTCAATCCCCATTATTATGACTTGTATGCAGTTTGTTTTGGGTCACGTAAGTATTAAGAGGAAATTGATTTCAAATTATTCGAATTAAATACGCGTATTTCGCTCTAACATTTGATTAGAATCTAAATTTCTATTAAGTGTTTAATAAGGACATAGGTATTCATAAAACTCTTAACAATGTAATGTGAAAGTCAATATCAATATATAATATATTCGTGTGGTTGTATGCTTGAATAAAGACCGAATAGATCGGACGTAAACAAAACATGTAATCATGACAATTGCTGTTTTTACTAAACATATAACCATGCAAGTCTTTAATTATTATTTTAACTGATTATTTATAAAAGCCGTTATACTATTATAAACGATCTATTCTTAAGTATTAACTTAAAATGCACATATCTATATAAAATTTAAAGTGGTCCATTTACGTAACAGGCTGCAATTGCAAGCAATTTACAAATTACACTTTTGATTGCGGACGAATTTACAAATTACACTTCTGTAAGATATTTGGCAATCTTTATTTAAACTAATATTTCATTTTTCAATAGATGACTTCTTGAAACAAAATCCTGAAGGAGCTTTGTGCTTGTTTACCATTAAAAATCCATCATATCCTGATTATATAAGTATGAAAATTGATTTTACAAATCACATGTTCATTAAATAAGAAGAAATTAAACAATTAATGGAAATTTTAATTGTAGTAATGTGCGAAAGCGGTGTCATGAGCTGTGACATTCATCCAACTTATCCATTTTTAGTTGTAATCGGTATGTATGATGGAAATGTTGGGGTCTATAATCTTCAACAGGGTATAGCACCAATTTATACATCACAAGGTGTTAATGGAAAACATGCAGGTAGTGTAAATGAGGTACGTACGAATTCAGTTCCACTAAATTTGAAATTGTTTAGATTTTAAAACTATATAAGGGTATGTTAAAATTTTCTTATTAACTTGCTTTAGGTTAAATGGGGCTTGGATATGCCAGATGGAGAAATAAATTTTTATACTGTTTCATCGGATGGTATGGTCTTTAATTGGGTTCTTATGCAAAATCGATTGTTTATAACAAGAATAATTACACTGTACTTAGATGTACCATCTGTTGAAGGACCAGATGGTGTACAAATAAAATTAAAATCTTGTGGAACAGCTTTAACATTTCATCCTAAAGATAAAGAAATATTTTTGGTTGGGACAGAAGAAGGTTTAATTTATAAATGTAGTATATCGTATAGTTCAAAATATTTAATGACATATCATGCTCATCATCTGTCAGTTTATCGAATCGATTTCAATAAATATAATAGTAATATATTTGCTTCATGTAGCGGTGATTGGCGTGTCAAAATTTGGGAAGATATGCGACCGGATCCATTGTTTGTATTTGATCTTGGTACAAGTGTTGGAGATGTTAAATGGGCACCATATTCAAGCACAGTTTTTGCTGCGGTTACATTAGCTGGAAAAGTGTTTGTTTTCGATTTAAATGTTAACAAATATAAAGCCATTTGTATACAATCAATTGTACCACAGAGAAAAAATAAACTGACCAGATTAATATTTAATGAAAAACTTCCATTTATTATAGTTGGGGATGATAAGTAAAAATTTGTTTATTTTGTTCTATATTCAAAAATTCATAACTTGATTATTTCAAATTTTAGGGGCACAACAATATCTTTGAAACTCTCACCTAATTTAAGAATTATGTGCAAACCTCCAAAGAAACAACCGTGGTTAGATCAAAGCACAATGCAAATACAAAAATTGGACAAATTACTTTCTCTAGTTCGTGAAATGCCAGAAGGTGCTAAAGAGGAAGAGGATGATGTTTCTGAAAAGAGTTAAAAATTTTGAATTTTTTGTATAAATATCGTTTTATATAACAAATAAATCGAGATTGATATTTTTATTTAATAGATTTGATGTGTTACTTTCACTTTAATCTTTTTACTATTAAAAAAAATTATTCAATTCTCCATTCCCAGTTATTTACTGTTAAAGCATTTGTGGGTACATTTTGGACGACAAATTTTTTCATTAGCTTTCTATTCACAATTATGGAGATTTCGTATTAAGGTAGTTCTTCTCCGCCAATTTACAGATATTGTAAAAAATTTAAATTAAAGCCTTAAATTCGTTTTCGAAATTGAACATGTGAAAAAACTTACCTATTTTGAATAACAATAATTTTTTACTTAAATTATTCTCATTAATATACTAATACTGATATTATGACATTATATACATATACAATAAAAAATATTGCATACTGCTGGGATGAATGGCGAAAAAAATTAAAAGAAGCATCAATAATGGTTGAATTCGAAAGGAGGGAAAGGTTGAAAAATGTATGGTTCAAGATGCTTCAAAGCTATTAGCGTTAAAGAGAAATTTATCTTACGTCGAGTTTTTGTCGAAAATGCAATTCTCCGTGATTGGGAAGAGTAAATAAACTATTTTTAGTGAGATATCTGTCGGTCGGTTTGTCAGTCTTTCTGTGCAGATCACTATGTCAAGTTCCGCTGAACCGGAAATTTATATTCACTAAAATTTATATCTGAGTTTACTTTAAGGATTAGATGGTTTGATCAACTTTTGATTTATGTCAAGTCTCTGAAACTGGAGTTTTACTACAGGTCGATTTTATGCTTTTGAATATTTTCAAACAAATTATCATCGGATTTTTCTAATATTTCATACTTATATAAACATCGCCTGCCATCACAACAAATTACTTAACTTTTTTGAAGAAATCAGCAAGTAGATTTCAACTACGGAACAAATTTAAAGTTTTGCCCATATACAGATTAAAAATCAATCGAAAATTTTAGGATTTGAAAACAGAACTTTTACTAGATGCCGATTTTACATATTTTACCATATCGAGGGAATTTCTTGAAGTTTGATATTTGAATTCTGGTTGTTAGCGAAATTATCTTGGAGATAGGAAAATTAGATTACGGAAAATTAACCTGTTCTAAGAATAATACAAAATTTTCATTTTTCTATCTTTCATAAAATTTGAAATAAATATTTAAGCGAAATTTTCATAATCTTATGCAATACTTTAACAATGCCGTCTCTTATGTGCTTTCCACATCAGATTTTCTTTTATCTGCAAGCTAAAAATAATTTCTCTAAAAATATTATATTCGAAATTTAATTTAATAATTTAATAATAATTATTTTTATTTTTTTATTATACATTTTTAATAATTTATTTGTGCTAAATAAATTCATGTTATATAATATATATTATAGATTTATTTCCGCAAATTATTTAAACAAAAAAAAAAATATGTTTTTTTTTTCGGTTTTCAATTTTATAACATTAGACATTTTTCTACTTTAAAAATAAAAATCAAATATCAATATTTTTTTTTTACATTTTACATTCAGAATAAAGATATTAAAGATAGTGGATGTATGTATGTTTTGCATATAATGTGTGTATAAGTATAGATGCATGTATACATATCGCATAATATTTAAATATGAATAAATCTAGTTATAGTTTTATGTAAGTAATAAATTTTTTTTTTGTTTTAGTATCACATAATTTTTCTTTATTTTCGCTTTTAATATAAATAAAAAGTTCTTTTTTTTTCATTATATTTATATGTATATACATATGTATATTGTGTAATAAATTTTAACTTAATATTGTAGTTATTATTAAAAACAATATAAAAATTTTGAAAAAAATTTCGATCCCTTTCGGAGTTGAACACAACGAACAGTTGATCCAAAAGTTAAATTGACAAATCCAAGAGGAAAAAAAGGTGGTTGATTTATGGCTCTATTTTAAATGACGTAATAAGAAATTATGAATTTTATTTGAATTATCATAAAAATTTAATTTCCACAACTTTTCTAAAATAAAATGAAGTTAAATCTAATTTTTTTAAGAAAAACAGAATTTTGCGTTGTAAAATACGTGCAAAATTTCACTCAAAATAATTTTTACTACTTAAAAGATTAAATAGGCCACTTCCCAGAACTGGACATTTTCACACAAATTGCAAAAACCATAATTTCCAAAACTTTTAGACGCAATCGTCAAAAAGTTTTTCCCCTCCAGTTTTTTCCATTTTATCATGTGTTGCTGCGTTTAAGAAAACTAATTTTTAAAAATAACTAATTTCAATATAGAAAAGAAACACAAAGGAAGAGAAAAGAGATTATTATTTATAAATTTAAAAAAAAATAAACGCGAGTATATGACTGTCATTCGCAAATGAAAGTTTTTGACGTATTTGACATGATCGTCAGATCGAAAAAAATTCTGGGTAAGATTTAAGGCATTAAATTAATATTTTTTAATTTTGACACATTCTAATTAAATAAAACAACTTTTAAATCAATGGTTCGTTCAGTGTTTATTGAATTCAGTGTTTTTTGTTAATTATGACTGTTATTCATATTTTATATAACTCAAAAATAATGTTTGACGTCTTAATTGTATACAACCACTGCCCTGCTTAGTAACTAACCAAGGCAGCGATATAACTATTATATATTTATAGTCTTAAAAATATTTAATAAATTAACAAGAAAAGAATAAAATATTTATTTTATGCAATAATATTTAATTAAATTAATAATTAAAATTATCTATTATAAATACAATTCTCTATTTTACAATATCTTTTTTTTTTTTAAATAATCCCCTAAAAAATAAGAATTTTTTTCATATATACATAATAATTTTTATATGTATGTATATTATTTATGATTTATTATAGTTTTTTTTGTGTTTAGTTTCTTTCATCCGTCAGTGTACATAATTTTTAATTTCTTTGATCAGAAGAAGTAGTACGGATTATTAATTTTAAATTTTTATAAAATTTAGTATATATTGTTTCGTTAGTATATTTATGCTTTTAATATATATATATATATATATAAATAGTTATTTAAATTAATTTTATTTTTTCAAATATTAAATAGTTTTTGTAGAAAATTTCTAATATTACAAAACAGTATTTCTATTATCCAGGTTAATATCATTTGAAAATTTGATTTGAATTTCTACAAACTCATTTTATTATTAATACTCTCATTTTATTTATGTATTTAATGAATTAATTTCATATATTGAAAAATTTATATGGTTTCTAATAAAGTATAAACACTAGAAATGATAAAACTTGATATTAAATGAAATTAAGATTAGTTCTAACTTAAGAATTTAATATAAAGCATGTTCGATAAATTAAAACTACAAAGCTGGAAATGTAGCTTGTTCGATAAATCTTTGTTATAAAAGAAACACATTCGAAAATTGTAGTACGATAAAATTTCTAAAGCATCTTCGAAAATATTTTTAAATGATGGAAAAATATTTTAAACTTGTAATAAATCACATAGAAAAATGTAAGATATTAAAAATCTAAAAAAGTAAAATAGTTAGTTTTTGTAGATCTATAATGATGCAAAAATAGATTTTTAAAATTTAAGTTAAAACTCAAAGTGCACTCCTGAATTATCGAAAACCCCCTATATATGTATGAAATTTTTACAAGTATGTATGTAGGATTCCATCTTTATTTTACTTCAAATTTATAATTTGGTATATTATTAAAAAATTTTATAATTGTCCAATGAAAATCACTTTCAAAATTCGAAATTCTGAGCCCGAATTTCGTATAACATAATTTTCCAACGAGAATTCTTTTGTATTCTTTTTCTCGTTTTTTCTTTCTAGAATCTATGCAAAATTTTGCTACCATTTCTTCACTTTGTTCAGTGGGATATTTAAGGAAAATTCGAAATTCAGTTGATATTTTAATAAAAAATGACAAACTTTAATTGAGTAATTGAGTAATTCTATTGAAAGAATTATGAATCAAATTTAAAAAACTATAATTCTTATTCAAAAGTAAAATGAATGGTGATTGAAACGGCAAAATACATTAGCAGAAGGTCCAAATTGAAAAACTTAATACTCTTGAATAACATACCATCTTTCAAAGAGATGGATCTAACAGAATAATTATCAGAAAAAAAAAAATGATTATTTTTGCTCAAAGTTGACGTTAATAAAAAAAATCTCTAAAAACAAATTGCAATTCTTCACATTAAAAAATAAAAATTACAATATTTAAGGTTAATTCTAACTAAGATTAAAATAAATTTAATTTGATCATTTTGTAAATTTGAAAATATTTATACTCTAATTTACTCTTGCAATTTGTAATACACAATATATGAATATTTTCGAAATACATAAATTGTTATACAATTCCATTTTTTATAGTTGTTTTTAAAATTAAAACTTCGAATACAATAACAATGCAATAAAAAATTCAATTTCAACCATAAAAATTTGCAAATGAAAACATTTCATATACATTTAATTAATGTTTTTTTTATCTAAATATTCTCGGACGTTATTCGGACACATTACATTTTTTCCTAAAAAGTTAACCGTTGACATCGGATGCAGAAATTCTGAAGAAAATTCTTTGGCTTTCCAACCTAAAAGAAAAAAACAAAATAATTTATCGATTTAAAAGAAAAAGGGAAATTTTGTTTTTACCAAAAAATTCAGCTGGTTTAACTCGATTTGCATTGATTTCAAATGGTAGTAAATTTATACCAATTTGATTGATTTTTGAAAATTGTACTCTAAAATATTGCCCATCAGTTGCTTTTATCCAATAAAATCCATCTGAATCTGTAAATGGTCTTGTTTGTGATTTTTTCAATGAATTAGATCGATCTAAATCAAATGATATAAAACTAATATCGATTTCGTATGCATCTGGTGATAATTGACCAGTTTCAATAGCTGATTTTAATGCAATATTATCCAACCAATATCTAATACCAACATTTTCAAATTCATCTAAAACATGATGAAATACTGATTTTAATTTCTCTAAACAACATGGTGGTGTATGCTTTTCTAAATAAACATAAAATGGTTTCCGATTATATACTGGAAAAATACATGATTTTGTTGTTCTTTCACATCCAATCAAATCAATTTCTGTTTGTAATGGTAAAGAGAAATTTGATGAAGAAAATTGACTATCCAAAATTATATTATGAGTTGGATTAATTAATGCTTGATCTTTTATTTCGACTTTTGAGACAATTTTATGTGAACGTTTAACAATTCGTTTTATTTGAAGTTTTCTATACATTTCTCGAAATTGTTTTCTACGAATTTCCATACGACGTTGTTTTGTATGGTATGATGTAAACAATCTTTTACCATCTTGAAATGCGCTTGGGAAAATTTTCTTCTATATTAAATAAAAAAATTACAGAATTAGTACACATTTTTAAAATATTTAGTTAATCTAGTTGCTATATGCATTATCAATATATGTTCTAATATCAATTTAAGCCACTCATTAATCTACAAATTTAATTGAACAAGTGAAATTGATGTTAAATTATTATCAAAAACGAATATAAATTTAAAGGATATTTCTAATGCCATATATGAGTATTTCTATCAGGCCTCCAAGGCGAAAATATTTTCCGAAATTTTGAATCGGAAAAAAAATACAAAAACAATTCTCAATGTTTTATGTTTTCGAAGTATGCAAATTGAAATATTTTTTTACTTTTTTTGTGAAATTTTTGAGTATTCTTTATGAATCTCATTTTAATTTAGTCCATTACTCTCTTTAATTTTTTTCAGTTAGAATTTAATTAAACATAAAACAAAAATAAAACCTTATCATAGAGAAATCATTTACCTGCGGTTTCTTGATTCTGTAATAATTTTACACTTCATGTATTTGTATTGTTCTATAAAATGACAACAGATTTTTGTAAACTTTGGTCACTAAATTTCTCACAGTTTTACTTAAGAAAACGTAACATTTTTGCATTTATCTGCAAAAGTGTTTTTTTCTGTCAATCAGAAAATAATTTATTTCGGCTTATATTATGAATTTTACTAATACAACATCATAGTTGTGAAATTAATAAGTATGTGCTTATTACATTAATAATTTAACTTAATGGAAATTTCTTCATGCAACTGCAGAACAGATGGATGACGTATTTCGGCTTTTTGTTCGTGCAATTATTTTTAACATATTAATAGCATTAATTTGTCTATAAATTCTATGTATACTTTGTTGAAAGCAAAATTGGTGTAAACCACATCGATATGGTTCTATATTAACATACAACGCCGAAACAGGATAAGGTGAAAAAATCTATATAAATAGATTAATCTATTCCCCTAGCATTCTTCTTCTTGTTCAGGTTCAAGTGTCAACATTTTAGAACAAAATATCTTTGATGTTGTAAAAAAAATACTTGAGAAATTTATTTAACATTTTTGAAGCATCAAACATTTTCTATATAATAAATAAAAAAAAATAAAAAATGTCCTACATTTTTATTAAAAAAAACCTTTACATAAAAAAATGCTTACATAAAATGTTGTTGCTAAAAAGCATTAAGAAATGAAATTTAATTATGCAAATAATAATTATTACAAGATTACACATAGTATACATTCTGTATATACGTACTTAACCCACTACATATATAGAGGATTAGAAGCAAATTACATATAAAACAATGACATTTTTAATAAAAAGTACTTAACCTTACACAATAAATTCACAATAGGTTAAAAAAAATTAAATTCATTATAAGGTTATTGAATAGAATTGAGTCTTTTAATTTATTTTACAAAAACATTATTATAATTATAATGTTTTTATTTTTTATAATAATAAAATATGCACAATTCACCAATTATTTTTTGCATATATGAAAAGCATTTTCTATATCAACATTTTTTCTTTTAATGAGCACATATTTGAGAACAAAACAACTTTAATCATAACGTACTGAATGTCCTTTATATAGTTAGTTCTCTTATTATCTTCTATTATTATTTTTTATTACATACATATAAACAAAATAAACCTTTTTATTCGCTTTATGCTCTAACACATTTGATATTTCAACATGTACCAACTTTTATATTGTAAAAGCATGGTTTACCCTATATGATTCTTTATTTTCTCTTATTCTATTATTATTAAGAATATAGAAAAGATTTGTTCACATTGAAAAAGTTTTTTATATATCAAACCCGCATAATCTCACGTTTCGGCCTTTTTATCCTTTAAATTTATATATAAAAGAAAACGAGACGTGTACTTAATCAAAACTATTATAAAAAATTTTATAGAAAAAAAAATGAAAAAAAAGAGAAAAAAAGTAGATAAAAACACCTTCTACATCATTTAACATTCATTTACCTTTACTTTGAATATTTTTGCTTGAATATAAAACATTTCCGGAAATGGTGAAGCTAATGCATCCGGCATTTCTTTTAATATATCAACATCTATGAATATTCCATGTTTTTGCAAATACTGCAAAATATAAAAATAAACTTTTGTGTTATAATTTTCATTTTAAAAAATTTTCTTATATAACAAAATTTCTATTATACAAAATTTTGTCTCAATTTTTACAAATTAAAATATATGAACCGAGTAAATCGAAAATAATTTGTTGTGGCATTGGATATTGCCGTACATTAAGTTTAAGACAAATAAAAAATGAATTGAAAAAAAAATATTTTGAATTTAAAGTATTAAAGGTGTAAAATGAATCAGTGTTGAAAAGTTTGTCGGCTTTAAACAATTACTATTTAGTGTTGTGTTAATTATTTTTTGAAAAATACCTTCTACCCACATCTCTTAGAGTTCTTTGTTCTAATGACAAATTTAAAAATTGGTATACTAATTGGAGTCACTAACATTTACAAGCATTCTCTTTTCATAAATCATAACAATTATACATAATTTATTAATTCACAATTCAAAAGTTTATTACGAATATCACAATTGATTGTGAATTCATACAACTTAATAGCACCGTAGTACTTGTATTGAATGAGTTAAAGAAGAAAAAATGTAACTACCATTTTGATCACTCTTTTACAAAATTATGTGTTTGCTAATGAAACTTCATATATAGAATTATTTTAATTAGATGTCACGATAGACTTAGAACGAATTTAGAAGTACAGAGTGTAGTTGTCTTAAGTCCAGATCGGTAATTGGTGTTGAAATTCTCAGGGGGGATTCGTTTGAGTTTTGAATACTTTCTGGAGATTCCTTGGCGTTATAAAGAAAATCAGATTGAAAAAAATATGTCTGACAAAAATCAATAACTGATTCGAAGCTGATGAAGTTAGAGCTAGACCCATATATTGTTCGCAACTGAAATATTCATGGTTTTTCTTTGATGATTTTGTCACAAAATTCAATGATTCTATTTTTCTTTAAAAATATATTTTTTTTTATAAATTAGAATATTGTAGCATCCCAGAATATAAAAAGAAAACCAGCTGTTTTGAAATAAACTTTTCTTACTCAATAGTTCATATGTAGGCAAATATTACTTGAAAACGGTAAACCGCTGATATCAACCATACAAATTACTATTACGTAGGTATGTTAATTGAGAAGAAAAGTTGCTAAAAACATATTGCGAGCATCTAACATCAAAAGAGTTACGGACCTGACGAATGTGACGGGCCTAATTGAGCTAAGTATACTTTGGCATGGCCACGTTAATCTAAACCCAAACGTAACATCAAACGCCTCTAAATTGTTTTGGGTAATTGTCAGACAAAATTCTTACAAACTGATTTCTTTAACTCTTCTAACCTAACTATAGATGTCCAAGTTCACTCTCTTACATGAGCAATTTTTTTCCTAAGAAACTCCAAAACAATTAGCAGCACCGAGAGCTTTAAGACCATTTGCACACTATGCAATAAAAATGTGTTTTGCTTATTTGAAAACATGACCAATCAAGTTTACGAGAGAATAGCGTAATTTATAGAATCGATTCATCCTGTACAGTTCAAAATGCAAATCACCTCAGTTTTTCCTTTTTAACGTTATTTAAAATTTGAACTATTCCATATTTAATTAACATTCTGTAAAACTTAGTATATGTCCTTCAATTATTCCGGAAGTTGTGGAAATAATTCTGAAAAGTGACATTTTTTGTTAAGCATATAAAAATTAATTTACTCGAAATAAAATTCGATATTTAGAATTTTTAGAAATTTAAATTGTTCCCTTAAATTAATAGTACTGTAATAGGAAAGATTGTTATATTTATATACATTATGTACATCCGCATTTTAGTTGGAACTTTTGGGAACAAAACTAAGGAGAGAAAATTATTAAATAAACACTTTTATCTTTTAATTTTATCTTCTTTCAAGCATTTCCTAAAGAAATTTATCAATTCTTTCAGGATGGGCGATCACCATGCCCTTTATTTTATTTTAAAAACACGTGTGTGACGTAAAATGAATGCAAAAACTGAGCAGTCAATTGCATAAAAATCGAAAGAAAATAAGTTTATGGGACCTGCCATTAGAAACAAATCTATCAGAAATAATATTCGGGAAGGCCTCGACTTTCTGGGGCACGGCTTTTTTGTCGATAAGTATACAATTTTTTAGTGTTTAAGCAAACATGCGATTTTTAGTTTTGTGATTACTATGCTTGATTGTAAAATCGTTGCGAGTACATCTAAGCAACTAAACCAATTCGTCAATGCAAATCGCTTACGTCAACTAAAAATTGTAATCAGTTTATAAAAAATTACAAACTGTTTGATTGCTTAATACTCGTATTGCAATAAATATAAACCTATGGAATACAAGTATAGGCAATCAAACAATTGCAAATTAAAAATTGCATGTCTGTCTGAGCCCTTGTACAAACAATTAAGTTATGATTCTTAAGATCATCATTAATGTTATTTTATCGTTTTTTATTAAAATTTGTTAGCTAGTGTACAATTTATATAAATCGAAAAATTATATTCAAACTTCCCGTTACAACTGTGTCCTTAAAAACCCTGCATTTGTATTTGAGAGTATTTGGAAGGCACTCTTACTGTTTTTCGTTCATCTTAACAACCAAACTTGTAAGCTCTTTTTATTTACAGAAGAAATGAATTTAAAATCAAACCATGCACACAATCTGGTACATACAATATTTTAAAATGCTTTTATTTATTTACGTATTTAATCGTACTTTTCTAACATTTTAAATTTTGTAATTCTTTTCTTTTAAAACCATTAAACGCTTCCTTAGATAAATAAATTCAAATATAATTAAAATATTTTGTTGTCTAAATGGAAGCGCGGAACTCAATTAAGGTATTCAAAATTTTAATTTTATCTTTTAATTTCTGTAATTATTTAAAAAAAATAAAAACAAAACGATTTTCAGTACAAAATTATTTCTGTTAAAAAAAAAATATGAACTTTCTACAAGTCCTTCATGCCAAAACGCAATTCTAAAATTCAAAATTCAAAACAATTATTCATCCAATATAAGTGAATCGAAATTTTCTCCATTCTCATTAAAAAGTTTCAAAAGTATATTATTAGAATGAACTCAATTGGCGTTCTAACCCTCAAGGCATACAATTAAAATAACTTTTTAAAAATTCTTTTTCCTTCTTCTTTTCCTTTTCTTTCCTTTTGCTTTTCAAAATTCGACGTATGGAGCTATAGAACACACAAACTCTAAAACATATACGTAACAACTATTTCATAATATTATCGACATATATAAATAAATTAAAAAAGTTATAAAATTACACAACGTTATGGAAAAATCATTTATAATTTAAGAAAAACAAAATAATATAAAATAAAAAATAAATAAACTACATATGTACATATATATATAATTTTTACCAAATCACAATTCATTGAAGTTGTATTAACAGCATTGTATTCTATAGTCCAATTTCGGAAATTCAAAATAATTTCTGTACAACTACTAAAACTTTTTAAATTTCCAGCAAATGGTATAATTATAAGTTTTCTATCATTATTATTATTATCCTTTTTCATATTAATGTTATTATTTATATTAATGTTATCGACTATATTGCGGCCATCGTCTCCACCATCATTACCACCATTAATACCACCACCTACAACAATACCTTCGACATTAACCCTAGAATTACTACCATCGACATGAAATTCATCTACATTTATATTTTTATTATTACTACTATCTTTGCTATGGAACCTATTATTATTGTTATTATTATTATTAATATTGTTGCTATTATGGTTATTTAAAATTGTTTTGCTTGCATCACTGCCAATTATATTATTTGCACCATCAACACCACCACCACCACCATCACTCATTAAACTAGCAATAGCATTTAATTCACTATGCTTTTTCTTTGAATATTTCATATTATTTTTTCCATTTTTATTATTAATAATACCGTTGCTATTGGCTTTAACATTACCTATATTTTGTATATCTTTAAGAATTTTTTGTAATAAATTTTTACTTGTTATTCTAATACTATCTGGTAAAAAAAGGACATATTTTGTTTTGATTGCTAATAATGCTGATAAATCCTTTGATGTTTTATTAATATCAAATGATAAATTAATAAATTTAACAGTATTTTCATTATTATTATTATTATTTAAAGATTGAATTGTTGTTATATTATTTTCATATATTAACGGAGGATACGGAATATTATCTTGTATTATTATTATTGGCATATTTGGTATTATTTCAAGTATACTATCTATTGAACTCTTTAAATCATTTTCAAAATTATAAATATTTCTGAATACTATTGTTATTGATTTACGTAAGTGTTTACTTGTTTTAATTATTTTGTTATCTTTATTAATTATTGATTTTAATTTATCATTATTTGAATTAAAATTATTTTGATTATGACTAAATAATATTGAAGGTGACGATGTATTAAGGACGGTCTTCCATATAAATGATTTCCATGTATAATAAAATAGAATTATATTTATTATTATAATAAAAACTACTAATAATTTTGAAGGCCGAAAACGCATTTTTACAAAATTTCACAATTAAATATATATATATATATATATATATATATATATATATATGTATATATCTATATAATTTTACAATATACGAATATTTAACAAGCGTATTCTAAAGATTTAATAATTGTGGTATTCTTTTTTTTATATTTTTTTCTTCAAAATAGAATTCACATATTAGAAACTTCCATAATATGTTTTCCATATTTTTTATTATACTTTTTCTTTTTTATTATTTTTCTTGGAAATTTTCACTTTTCTTTCCCTTTTCTTAGCAATTATAAATTTTCTTTTAAATAAATTTATTTATTTTGTAGTAAATATTTTATATTATAAAAAATTATTTTTAACAATTGATAAATTAAATTTTTTTTTTTCAATTAAAATTTCAATTTCAAGATTTTTGGCATATCTTTTTCTCCGAATTTCCAAAAATCAAAAAAAAATTGTTGAAATTCCTTGCAATGTAACTATGAACACTAAAAAATTAAATACGAAAGGATGTTTAAAGGAAAAAAGAAAGTGTAGAAGCTTTTTTCTAAAAAAGAAATCTCTGGGGTTCTCACATTATACGTTTTATTGAGGTAGGAATATTAGATTTGTGCAATAAAAAAATTGTAAAAATAATTACCGTCAACCGAATTTTAGAAGAACCGTCTTCTTTTTAAAAACTGTGAGGTTGAATAATTGAAGCTGATTTTTGAAGCAAAATTTAAAACAGTTTAAAAAATAATCTATGCGGAAGTCGAAAATATTCACAGTCTGAAAATTTTTACTAAAATTAAAAATTTTTAAATCTGATTAAAATCAACAAGAAATATTATTAAAATTGAATTTGCAAAATCAATAATACTTTTGCAAAAAATTTATAAAAAGTTTAAATAGTTTGTTTTAAATTAAAATTTTAAAAAAATATTAGACGGACAAACAAAATCGTAATGTGCTTACATTTTATTTTATAGATTTCAAAATAATGAAAAAAAAAAACTATTAATGCTTGTCAAAAGAAATACAATCAAAAACAAAACTCCAGGATAAAAAAGGAAATTTTTTGATGAGGGAAATTTTGTGCAAAATAAAATCAAAAAGCTTCTTGTTTTTATTAAAGTTTTCTTTTTATAATTCCTTTTCACGTTTTTATAGTAATACACACACGCATATTTAACAGCACACACAAGAGTAAAAAATTTATGAGTGTTTCATTAGACCACATTTCCAAAAAAAAAAAATAAAATAAAATAAAAAGAAATTTTTTGTTGGGAAAAACAAAAAAAGCTTTTTTAAACTAGTCAACAAAATAGCAACAGTTTATTTATATCGGGAAAACTTCTACATATAGCTATATATATATATATATATATAGGCGGTATTAATTCTAACTAAAGCTTTTTCTAATATAAATAAAACAACTGTAATTCTGGTATTTATTTTACCCAGAAACACAGAAACTGAAATTACATGGGCAGTTTCTCGAAATCAAAATACTCGAAAATAATTTAATCCATTAAGTTTACTTAATTGAAAAATTGACGAATTCACCATACATAACAAGCCATAATTGGTACATCAAGAAAAATAAAACTTAAATTTGAAAAAATAAACAAAAAATTATTTTTGGAGCAAACAATATTAAACTTATAGAGCAGACATATCTGTAAAGTTTGAGTTACTCGACAAAATTGAAAATATTACAAATTGAATTACTCGACAAAATTGAAAATTTATTGCATTAAGAAAATGGAAAAAGAAGAAAAATTTTGCATTGATGTAAAAAGAAAAATTGGTACAATTGAAAAACTTCTGTTGTATCACATTAATTTTTTATTTCTGTTACTGTAAACATATTTTTTCAAAAAATTTTCTGTAAATCCTTTTTTTTCTTTTTTTTTTGATATTTTTTACATAAAACACTTATAGGAAATTATATGAGTCTTTTTAATTTTTAGTTACTACAATAAATACTTGTTAAAATTTGTGATATTATTATTTTGTACATCAATTACAAAAAAAAAAAAATAGTTTCTTTGTTGTAAATTTTAGGCTTTCATTTTATAAGAATTTTTATGAAAAAATTTCATTTTCCTACTGCAGGAAAAAGAATAGGAAATGGTACATCGTTACTATCATTATTCTTTAATGGTGTTGGCGGTCTTGGATCAGGTTCTGAACATCCTAATAACCAATATGATGTAACTGTACCTTTACCCTTTAATTCGACTTCACCACGTAATTCTAATTTAAATGTTCCAAATTTATCGAAAATATTTTTTGTTGTTTCTGATACATGAATTTTGAGAGCTAAAATTAAAATATAAATAAAATTATAACTGTTATTTTGTTATATTTTCATTGAAATATTTTACGAGATCCAGTTGATTCCATACGTGATGCTGTATTAACAGTATCACCAAAAAGACAATAATGAGGCATTTTTTGGCCAACAACTCCAGCGCATACTGGACCTGAATGAATACCAATTCGAATCTTTAATTGTGATTCTGGTTTATGCTTTATAGCAAAACATTTAACAGCATCTAGTATAGCTAAAGCCATTAAACCAATTTCGCGAGCATGATCATCACCATTTCGTTCTGGTAAACCGGATACTACCATATAGGCATCGCCTATAGTTTCTACCTAAAAAAAATTTGTGGACATACATATATATTTAATATATTTTAAGGTAGATGTAAAGTTTTCAAATCTACAAAATTGTTATACATTTATGAAATTACTTTATAAACATCATAAAATCCAATTATTCTGTCAAATGTACTATATAAATCATTTAAAAAATCAACAACTTCCATAGGGCTACTTTGAGCACACAGCGATGTGAAACCGACTATATCACTAAAATATATAGTAACACTCTCAAATTGTTCTGGTTGTACCATTTCTCCAGCTAATAATTGTGTTGCAACGGGTCTTGGAAGAACTTGATATAAAAGTTCCTAAAAATACAAAAAGTATGTACTTAAGTAAAGATTTTTAAATAAGAACTGAAAAAAAATGGCAAATACCTCTGTTCGTCGTTTTTCCATACTTAGTTGTTCAGTCTTTTCCTCAACTAAACTTTCTAAATTGTTAGCATACTGTTCCATGCGTCTTAATAAATCGTCCATCAGATTCTCGCAAAAACCTCTAAAAAGAGTTTGTATATAGCACATAGATTTCCAAATAGAAACAGGAAAAAATTATTCTACATTAAAAAAGCTTATAAATATTAAGTGTGGCAAGCGGCGATTTCAACGCAGATAATATCATGTTCTACCTCAGTGTACATAAAATTAAATTGTGTAATTATTAAAAGCACTTACTTCATTATCATTCGGACTGTTGCTCTAATAGCTATAAATGCTGGACGATCTTCAGGGTTATCTGCCCAGCATTTTTCCATTAAATCTAAGACGTCAGGTGGACAGTCGTGTTGTTTAACAAATGGCCGAAAAGAAGGTACTTCATGTGCTTCAACTCTATTTACTATTGTTTGAACATCTAAAAATTGTCGAGCTGATTCATATGGTCCTCCCCTAACGACGATTTCTTCTAAAATAATGGCAAAAGAATAAACATCACCTTTTTGTGTAGCTGGATTCCCAGGTAAAACAGTTAAAGGAAGTAATTCTGGTGCTATCCATAAAAATTCTAAATAATTAATAAGTCTTTAACATCATTATTATAAAATTTTTTAACAAGAATACTCATAAAATAATTTTGGTCCTTTACAAATTCGGAAGGTGTTGTTAAAGTTCTTAAACCAAAGTCAGATATTTTTAATACAAATCTACCATCTATAAGACAATTACAAGATCTCAATTTTCCATGAACGGAAACATCACTGTTATGAAGATACGCCATACCCTAAAAATATCACAACTTCATACTTAGTGAAGTTCAATACAAGCGGATTATTGCCGTGAATTGTACCTTTACAATGTCATGTATTAATGACATTCGAAAATTCCAATCTAATTGAATTGCTTCATTTTCCAATACGTCTTTAAGGCTACCTTTTGGACAGTATTCCGTTAAAATTAATACAGTTGGTCTAGGTAAATCAATACATGCCCCAACAAATCTCACTGTATTTTCATGACTTACATCACGTGCTTGTTTTATTTCCCACAATAAAGTTGAAGTAATATCAACTTTCTTTTTAGCAACTTTTTTAATAGCTACACGTTCACCTTTAAATATTCCAATCGTTGTAAAAACTTGTGCAGGTGGAAGTGAAGTGCAACTAGTAATTGAAGCTCTACCGGAATTAATACCATATTGTTGTAAAGAGAAATTCTAAAAAAAAATATTGTTGTCATACAATTTCAATTCAATTTTATTTAATTCAAGCATTTACTTCAATATTTAATTTTTGTAGCCCATATTTACTGCCATAAATACGACCAACTTCTAAAAGTATATCATCAGGCCGAACTCTCCATGACATATTATTTAGTTCGCTATTCAATTTCATTTGTCTTAATTTTAAAATGAAAAAGTGAATTGTATAAAAAGAAGTAGGAAAATCATCATTTAAGTTACTTACTTGCACAGTAAGTATGCAACTAATATTGAAACTGCCAAAAATATCGTGGAAGCAAATGTTGCATAAATTATAACTATCTCTGAAACGAAAAATGCTATAAACTTTAAGTCAACATTAAACTTCCATAAATGTTTTATCATTATTTATGACAACTTCTAATTTTATAGCTTCTTACCATTTCCATGACATTCAGGTGAATTGCCAAGAAATCCGCATCTATAAAAAAATATTTCAAAACAATTAAAGAAAACTTTATTTCAGTTTGGATTTAATTGACAGAAAAAACATAATTTACTTTGGTATATCCGGTGGTGGACCCTCACGTCCTCCAGGCCAATGTATTTTTTTACCACGTACAGCTGAATAATTTCTAAAGGGAAAGGCGATCTAAATATTTTGTTTTCAAATACTTAATTGAATTTCAGAATTTTAAGCTTACCTATGCAAGCCGTAATAATGTGCAACTACTTCAAATTTTCCTGTTATAGGATCCAAATCTAAAATTGAGTAGTCAGCATCTCTATCACCATTGTCATCGATTCGAACATGACCTGTAATTCCTAAAAGAATATTTTTACAATTATCATAATTATAATAAAATCAAACTAAATCTCACCGTGGAAATCACGATTCCACATTCTTTTCGTTATGCTAATACCATCACGAATATCGTCTCCATCTACTAATGTTTCATTTAAAGCCATACCTAATAAATAGACACCATCATAAAAAGCACCAATAAAGAAATTCACTTCTTCATCTCTGCTAAATGTGTAATTATAATTTTGAAATGCTTTTTCTTTAACTTCATCAGCAAATCCTTGAAATTTCGGACTTGTTGGCTGTAATAAAGAAACTCTTAATAAAGCTTCATAAGCTTTTCGAGCTTTTGAATCATATTCATCTTCCATTCTCCAATCATGATCTCCCCAATAAGAACTCTATTAATTATACAGCACGACAATCGCCAATTATAATATATAAGATGCTTTTGAATCAAATTCTAAATTCTAGTAGTAAAATTTTACCTGAAATATTTCAACATCCAAAAATGTCCAATCACCTTTTGTCATTTCTAAACTATGTGCTGCTAACATAAATTTTCTTATTAAAATCCCTCGAACCGATAATATGACAACTATATTTCAAAATATAAATTCATAATTAGTTTAAGTATTCAAAAATTTAAATTAAAGTTACCTCTAGCGTACATGCTTGCATCTGTTAGATAATTCTCATAGATTTCATCCTCATTTCCGTTTAATTCTCTAACAAAGCTTAAGAGTCCCTCTTGACGAAGTCCGTATTCCAAATTTTTTCCTGTTTATTTATTCTCGTAGATGTATTTCAATATATTTATAATTTCAAATGTTAACTTACCAACTGTTAAAGAAAATAAATCTGATCGATCTATAAGAAGAGCAATGTGTTTCCAATTGAATTGCCGAAATATACTAGCAAAAACTAATTTTAATCGGCATTGACAATAAGACATTCTAGTTAAAGTTGGATACCTCGTTTTATCTTTGAACATACCCTTTAAAATAATTTATAAGATATTAACTATTATTAGTATCGTAGCTCTTTCAACATATTTTAAAGCGTTGTGCGAGTAAACTTGCATACTATACACTTGCATATTTTGTATAAAATAATATAAGGTATTTTATGTTATTTATTCTAAAATATTGTTTACATGTATGTGTTAAATGTGTGTGTTTGTAACACTTTCCACATAATATCAACAAGAAATGTACATATGAAATAAAATATAGTTTTAACCTTGAAATGAACCTAGGCATTATTATCCTGTGGACAATGTGAATTAATTTCCTATGAGAATCAATTAAATCTGTCATTAATTGCAATTAAAATACAACATGTTTGTGTCTTTATGTACACAATTCCTGTTAAATACATACACACATAAGTACTTTCACATAAATTAACGTATATGAAAATTATATAAAAGTTTAAAATAATTTTCAATTCACTTGGAATATTTAATTATCCACTTTATTTTAATTATATACATAAAATTATACACGTGAGCATCTATTTGTGTGAGTATATTGAATTGTATAAGTGCTCGGCTTTTGCCTACGAAATTAAACATGTGGTTTTTTTTACACTGTAGTCATCACTCACCATAAAGGACACTGAATTTTATAATATTTTATAAAAATATTTTAATTTTTCAAAAAGTATAAATTTAAATTGCAAATTTTCATTTTTTCAATATATTTCATATAATATGGAAATTTAAGGGTAAATTATAACGATTAATGAAAAATTCCCACTTATAAAAATATTCACTGTAAGTCAATGGTTCGAATGAATTCACTATACTCGTAAGAATTAAAAGATTCAATATGAAATCTCTCAACATGCGTTAAAATTAAATATTAAGACGTAGTACGAATGATTGAATCTCTGTTATTATTTATTAATTAAAATCCTTTAAATTTATGCTAATCTTCAACAAGATTTAAAATTATTTTTGAATTAACTTTCTTTATTTTTACTTTGAATTTTACTTTGACTGAAATTATGGAGTAAATTTTGATGTATATAACTTATGCTTTAAAATGCTAAATTCTTTTCAAGTTAATGATTAATTCGCAAAAGAAAAGAAATTTTGTGACAGGAAATTCTGTGCCGCTATCTAACACTTGTAGTGATGGACTCCGTAAATTCTAGCTTCTTTTTTGGAAACACATTAGTTTTGACTTTTTTTCAAGTATGTTTCTTAATTTTTTATGATCTTTAATGCAATGATATGTCAACTTTACATGTCATATATTAACTTTTTGGAATAAATTTTAGAATAACACAATTTGTCGAAATGTTTTTGACATTTTTGCACTACATAATTTATATTTACATAAAATTTTTGGTAATAATTTCCGGTACCAATTGGTTTCAATAAGCAGGAACTACTGTTTCATTTTATTTTTTCTCTTAAATTAAAAAATTTTAATTTTAGTAATGAATTCGTTAATACTTTCGATGTCAATTTAATTAGACATAGAAGTCTTATTAATACTAAAATATTAACACATTTAACAAATTATTTTTCGATTTAACAAAAAATGATTAAGCAGAAAATCACCTTCAAAGTTCAGATTTATTACATCCTTTATTACGCACAGTAGCTATCTTTTATTAAAGCTATTTTTTATTAAAATAAAATTATCTCATTCATTACGAAAAAGATTTAACAACCCGCCCTCAACAAAAGAATTTCATTGCAAAATCTTGAATATATAAAGTATACGAATTCTATAATGCTTTCCACTTGAAATACCAAAGAAATCGTCGAATATGATTTCCAAGTGAAAATACCTGATGATCAAAAACGAAAAATCAAAACACTAAACGGAAGGAAATCAAAAACTTCTACAATTTCATTGAATATAAAACTAAAAGTGCATAGTCTCAATGCTGCACACTTCCCTTTTTACTGTCTTCACTTCTCAATTAAATGTTTATAACAAGCTTTTAAATAAATAAAAAAAAATAACATCTAATAATAAAAACTTAAATATTTACTTTCATATTGAATTACAAGCAAAAAAAAAACAAAAATAAAGGAAATAAAAAAAAAATTTTTGCTCATATTAAAGACAAAAATCTACAACTAATTCAATAGAAAACAGGATACAAATGATATGAAAAATTAGAAAAGTTGTTGAAAACCTTATAAGAAAATTAAAAAATAAAAGGAAGAAATTAAAAACAATTGCATGGTTAACCATGTCTTTTTTAATGGTATATAGTTTGCCAAAACCTGCATTTCCCAAATGCTTTACCCTGGAAGAAAGCTGGGATAACAAAAAAATGTTTTCAAGATTCAACTTAAACGGTGTTGAAGTTTTATAAATAAACATGCAGAATGTAACTTGAAGGCACACTTTATTTCAATTTTATGGACATGTGTTAAAAACCAAAACAAAAATCACAAAATTAAAATTGTCATTAATTGTAACAATATGCTTGGCATATCTATCACCTAACTGTTAATGAATAATTCATTATCCTAACATTTAGTGACATAAAAGTGAGCTGAATACACTAAAAGAACTACTTTAAATAAAGAAAAATTATTATTTTTTTTCTATTTCCAGTTCCTTTAATTCAATTGTGGAGAGAAACAATCGAATGGAATCATTATTCCTTAGTAGCACTTTTCCCTTTAACAGATGAAAAAACTGCTAATCTTCTACATTGTTAAAATTGTTTTCATTCATATATCCAAATATTTCAAAGATTGCGTATATTTAGGATGATGCAAAAAAAATAATGGAAAAAGACGTTAACATAATGATCGAATTCAAGGGTTATTTCCGTGAATTAAGAAAAATAATTAAATTTTTTAATGTCGTGGCATTTACCGTTAGCTTTTTGCTTTTACGTAAGGTGACGAAATTTCAAATTTTATAAATTTAAGAGGTGATAATTTAACAATGGGTGGAGGTGAAAAAAATTCCTTTTAACGGAATGAACTATTTATTAATATATAAAAGCTGCCAAAATTGTAGATTTAGACAATAAAATCTAGAAGAAAAACGATATCAAATATAACTTTTAAATTTTTAACATGTCCACGGACGAGCGGACGGACGGACAGAAACAAACCAATAAGCACTTTTTTCAATTTTTTTTTCATAAAAGTGTTAAACATCAACAAAAGTGAAAACTAAATAAATTTTAAACAATTTATCATTTTGAAAAAGTGACTCAATTTCTATTTTCTTCTGACATATTCTATATATACATATATACGAGTATATGTTCATTTGTACGTGTTCATTTGATGTGAATAGAAATTTAACAACATCCTTAAAAATATGTGAGTTTAAGCAAGGTAAAAACCTTTTGTTTTTTTTTTTTAAATACGTTTACTTAACTTGAGAGTTATTTGTATATGTAAATATCACTTACCGTATCTTCATTTTTCCATTTATGAATTTTTCCTAAGATTCCTGAAGTAACTGTCAAATCATCTTCGGTAGGTGGCTTAACAATTGAATATATAAGAAAAAAAGTCAAATTAAAAATTCAATATTAAAAATAAGCTTTAATACACAGGGTGTTTGAAAATCAATGGCAATCTTGAAGCTGAATAATAAGGGAATTTATATTGATGTATAAACATAAAATTGTTATTCCAAAAACTTTTTCTAGATAATTATTCTTTAAAATATTCGACACTCGAATAACTCGGACGAAACGAGAAATTTTTTGTCGGTTGAATTTATTTTATTACTCTGCTTCACGAGAACCAATGAACTTTTAACAATCTGTATATAAACGATGCAGATCATAATTAACATTATCATTTAAAATCAAAATATGATTAAAATAAATATATAAAAATTTTAATACAAAAAAAATTTAAATATTAAAAAATTAGTTGTCCAAATTTATAAAAAAATCTTTAATGAAAAATTTCTAATTATTTTCTTCAATTAATTTTTTGTAAGTTTTTGCACATATTGCTGTCGCGTGTTGAAATTTTTCCCTCTGCGATTTTTAAGACTAATGCTTTAATGCAATCTATTTTGTAATTTTAAATTTAATAAAAACATCTTATACACTACAATTAAGGTAAATTAACATGTATTGAACATACGATAGCTACGAACCGATATTGCATGACTTCTACCATCTCTTTGTAGATTAATACTAAAAAAATAATTTTTTAAATATATAAATTAAAAGTGAAGCAATAACTAAATGCTGCTCCCTCATTTATAACACAATTTAAAACAAAAAAAATATTATTTATACATTTATTTATTTATATAAATATTTTTTATACATGAATGAATGTATAGGTTCATCGTAGAATTTTTAAATTTTATATAAAAATTAATTTTATATATGTGTTTGTATGTGTGTGTATGGATAATTTGTGAAAAGAATAGATGAACTCACAACAGAGATCATTATCATTAAAAAGCAATTCAATCAGGTTTTTAATTACATTTGCAGTAGTCCTTTGTATATTTTTCCAATTATTATCATTAAACGAAGAATCATCAGTGGATCTTTGGTTGTTTGACATTGAACTTCTTAAATTTTTTATTTCTTTTCTCCATTGTATGTACTTTAAATGTACCTTCTGTACATGAGGACAGTATTGTATTTCTACTCTATTTTTTCTATTTTTCTCTTTACTTATTTATTATAATATTTATTTTAGTTTTCCTGTCTAGGTCATTTAATTAATCTATTTTTCTACTTACTATAATTATATTTTTTTTCTGTTATTTCCAAAGAGAAAACAAATATAAGAGAATTTAGTTTATTTAATCGCTCTTTGAGATTTTTTGGTCAATTATCAATTAAAGAAATTTCTTAATCGTGTTAAATTTGAATTAAATCTCGGTTCGACAAAAGCCTATATAAGACTATCTCTAATTTAAATTAGAAATGTCGTTACATTATTGTACTGTACTATATGTACTTTTATATACAGGGTATTTTAAGTAATTATTTAATTCTATAATGTAAACAATTATGTGTAATATATGTACATATATAATAAAGGAAATTGAGTTAAATTCTGTTTAATATTGAGAATAATTTTATAATATTATATATGAGGGAAATTTTTTGATTTATTTATTATATTAGAAATACTACTACAAAAAATAGTGTGTAGCAGTAGAAAAGAAGTTGACATAGCAACCAAACCGCGGGGACGTAGAAATTAAAAACTTTTTTTTTCCGAATTAAATTTGAATTAGTAACTAAATCACACATTCGAGATGAACGTCTATATTATCCAGGCTCTAAAAGGATTAAAGAAACTTACAAAAATTCCAAATAGCTATTGAACTTACACGAATACGAGTAGTAGAGGCATTTCTAATCCAATTTTTACTTTCTGATTCTTTACTATAACTAGATGAAAAATGTGCACGGTTCGCGTTATTATTTTTTATGCGACCCGTGAAAACATTTTTTTCAACAAATTTTCTAAAATATTATCACATTGTTTAGGAACTACTCTCCAATGGTAGCGCGATTTCAAAATTACTATATCCACTTTTAAAGACGACCCATAGTCGTATGGAGTGTAAACAAACGTGATCTGTGATATCCATTAGCCCCATATGGATGAAAAAATTTTCTTTCTCAACGTCTGAAGCAAAAAATTATAGTATGTTGGGTGAGTATGAGTAACGGTAACAAATTAACGTTAGATATTTAGATATTTCTACATGATGTATAATTTTTGCTATTCTATCCGGATTTAGAAATCTTATTATAAATTTATTTTTAAGATATAATGCAAGAGCGTCTTTCTATAAAAGACTCTATAAGAAATTATAATAATTCTAAGAGAACTACAAAATCCTATAATATACTATATCAATTTCATAATGTAAGAATACTTCTAATATAAAATACTTCCCATTTACTTTTAAGGTAACCATTTATTTAATAACAAACAAAATTTACGTTGCTTTGAATAATAAGCCGTCACCGGAAAATGGGTCTTAGAATATGGTTGACAAAATAAAATTTTACACAATTCAATGTAAGTATATATATATATACTAAAACTATGCATCTAAAATATAAAAGAATATTCTCCGCTCTATGTCATGAAACTATAAAAATTCCTCTTTCAAAATGACAAATTTCACCATTAGTTTAAGGTGTAAAAATCGAATTAAAATGATGTAATTTATACCTTTATACACATGGCATATATGTATACATACATAATAAAATAAATAAATAGAATACCCTATTTACACTAACATTCTGCAAAGAAAACTATCATTCTGTCTCCTGATCATTTAAGAATAACGAAATTAACACATATATTAAATTATCTCTAATATTTGTCTTAGAATTAAAAAATATTTATTGACTAAATACGTGTTGTTATGTTCTGAAAAGACTCTTATACTCATATATATTTACGAATAATATTTAACAACAATGTACGACGTAAAACTGAAGGAGACATAATGGAACAAAATGTACGAAAAAACTTATTGTTTGTCTATAAATACACACTTCAAAAGTAAATGAAGACACAGTGAAACCCTCGTTTCGCATTTTTATATAATATGAAACTTCTTAACTTATATAAAAAATGACCTTGTTAATGAATATATATGTATCTATATATTTCTTTTTATATTACATACTATATAACACATACATATATGTTTATTAATATGAGTGTGTTCATAAGTGATGGCAAAAATACTGAAGTTGAAAACTTTACGAAAAGTTTGAATCTTCAAAATAAATTGAAACAATTTAGATTTATAAATACATTTATAAGTATTTTATATAAAGTAGATGAGATTTGTGTTCGATTAATTGATAATTAATATTTTAGGTTATAATATTACAAATTAAATTGTAATAAAGTCGAAAGAAATCAATGGTTAAAAAAATAGCGCATTTATCTTAAAAACTTTCAGTTATAAAAAATTGATTTTATTTTGGGAAAATAATTTATTTTACATACATAAATTACATCCATGATTTCTCCTTTTGCATACTTATAGGAGTACGGAGGACGAAAAAAAGTACTGCAGAGTTCTAATATAGTGGTCAAAATGAACGACTAATTATTTTTCGGCCATGTCAATTAGGACCTAATAATTACCTTTTATAATAAAACCAAATTTCTCCATCAATTATAATTTGCAAAAAATATAATTTTCACCAAGATGAAAAATTAGATTTATTCTGATATCCAAAATGAAAATACATTGTATCTGTAATCCATATTGTAGAGAAATAAAATTTATACAATGTAGCGAGATTCAAATTGCTAAAAATGGGTTTCAATTGAGTAGTAAGAGGAAGGGAAACAGTAGTGAAAAAATAGAGACTGAAATTCATAAATAATATTTCATAATATTGTAAAATTTGAACTTTTTGCCACTTACCGTCTAAGACAAAAATTATTTTTTAAATATTTCTGAAAAAAAAAAATCAATATACTAGCTGATTTAAACCAAAATTTACATATTATATCATCTTGATGCAAGATTGCTTCTGGAATCAGAACCGCATGGTTTCAACATAATTGACTGTCAAAACAAGGGCTTTTTAAATTTTTTTTAAGGGGCTATAACTTAAACAAGAAAGGAGGTCAATAACCAAAATTTGTTTATAAAGAAACATTATTTTCTCTGCACAAAGACAAATTCGAATTTTTCAGATAGATGGACAGAGTTAGAGTACAAAAAAACTTTTTTTACAAATTCATTGAAATCTCGCAAAAAGAGGATCTTAATAAAAAAATAATGATATGAATTTTAGTTTTTAGCTTATTTTCTTCATTAATTAAGTTATAGAATATTAAAAATCTTGCCAAGTTCTATTCCTGGAAATTTAAAAAGAAAACCTATTTACTATAATTAAATTTGATTTTCCATAATAATTTAAACCAAAATTACAGTAATATTTGGCAACGATTACAAAATAGAGTACAGAGAGAATATACAATGATGTATTCACTGTAATTCAATATTCAGTAATTTATAATGATATACAGAAGACAGTTTTGGTAATAACACAGCGAACTACTTTTCTGAGGGGCGCTAGTGGGTAAAAACTCAAAAAAAAAGTATTTCTATTGTGTAATTACAAAAATTGACTGCTGTATAACATTATAAGCTCTATAAACAATGGTTTTATATAAATGTCCTGTTTATTAACTCATCAAGTTTTTGTGAGCCTTCCTCTACTCCAAATTCAATATTATTCCTAATTTTTTTTTTCATATATTTTTTATAATTCTAAATATTAATAAAAGTAAGCACCTTATGTTGTTCACTCATCAAAATTCATTCTTTTGTATAACAATAACTCATAAACTTAATTTGATGAGCAATAACAAAAAATAAATTAGTCCTTTAATGTGATAATAATTACTTTAAATCTGATAACATGTTTTTTACTTTTTCTTCTTCGTGCTTTATATAAAGTGGAAATTTCTATGTAATTGAATTATTTTAACATTTTATTAAATTTAAAAAATTGACTTTTAGATTTTTTTCTAAAATTTAAATAATTTCACATACATGTGAAAATATTAATAGATATATAGACTGTGCACGTGTAATATGTACGAGGATCAATATAAATTCATATCTCAAAATTTTAATTGCAAATTTGTATTGGAAAGAAAGCGAAAATTTATGTTTCGTGGAAACACAAACACCACAGAATTTTTTTATTTGTACTTTTTGTATGTTACAAAACTTAAAATTGCAGCACAATTCATTTCGGAAAATTCTGATAAATTTTAGCTTCAAGTCACGTTTTCGTGGAAAGATGGCAATATTATTAATATTTATGTGTAAGAGTATAATAAGTATACAAAAAAGTAACATTAAATATAGGAAAATATCACCTAGGAAGAATAGCCTAATTTAATATTGGAGTTTAAAAAGTTTTAGCCCAAATATTAAAGCAAAAAATATTAACTTTAAAGATAAAATTATTTCTAAGTGTCTGCAATGAAAAATTCATTTCAATTAATAAGAATTATCAGTTAAAATACTATATACGTGCATATGTATGTGTATTATATTACTGGGAAAAATTTTCCTGAGAAAAATTATTTATAGAATGGAAATCCCCTTAAATTAATTTAGAAATTGGATTTTCATTCAATAAATCAGAAACTTTTACAATTACAAAAACTAGAAATAATATTAAATTTTTTATTTAACTAAAGTTGCAAAAGTTTCTAGTTTTTAAGAATGAACAATACACTTTCACAACATTAAAATTTCACAAGAAAAGTAATTACTTTCAATAAAGATTGAAAATATCTTAAAATTTGAAATTAAAAGCAATTAAATGTAAGTAAAAATAAATTCTAACCTGATCTCCCATTCCTGTTATTATAGGCGTATTCCAGTAGGCTGCTAAACGTGCTACAGGCTCCAAGGCAAATGCACAAGCCGGCCCAATAAAAGCAATAACATCATCTTTAAAACTGAAAAAAAATAATTGTTTTTTTTTTAATTTATAGCATTTCTATTTTTAAAATAATAAACGTGACTGGAATTCAGAACGAACTTCGCAAAACGTTCTAACAATTTAATTAACGATTTTTTTTATATTTCTTATTAGTAATTCCCTGAAACGCTGAAAGCGACTTTAGTACATTTTTGTCCACTGAAAAAACTTTCTTTAATTTTAAATTCAGCAAAAATTTTTGCAAAAACTTTAAATTATGTAAATAATTTTAGAATTTCATTTTTCAGAAAAAAACTGAAAAAGTTGGGTCTGAATAAACACCAGGTTAATTCACTATCATTATTATTTAATTAAAAACGTCATCATTTGATACAGGAAAGTATGTGTAGTGGAAGAGTTCTCTTAAATGAGTGATCAAGGGTTAGAAGATATTGCAAAACACATTAAATAAGCTATAACAAGCTAAGCGTAACACACTATATACCATTGAAGTTAAAATCAAAGCCTATCTTACAAGCTGTAGTGTTGATTATCCAATTCCAATATTAATGTAATAGTATCCAATTGATTGGACCTTTTCTCAATTTCTGATATTTCGAAACGGTTTTCGCACATATACTGAGGTTAAGATATAGGTTAAATTTTTAAAACATATTTTACTATTGTTAACATAAAAAAATTGCTATTGGAAACTAATGGTTTTAATCTCTTTGTTTAATAAATTAAATCCATATAGGCAAGTGTGCTATCAGTGAACACTGTTTTTTGAAATTCTTATTTCAATTTAGTAATCATTCCAAAATTTATTTAAAAATTTTATTAAATCAAAGTATTTCTATTTTATAATAAAATCAGTCAATCAAAAATTAGAAAATTTTATTGAAAATAGCTTTGTATATAACACCATATTAAATGTATGTATGTAGATATAGGAACGTAACGTTTATATTACAATATAATTTTTATATTTAATGTAAAGTTATCTTAATGTGATTTGTTCACCCTCTGAGAAAATTAGGAAAAAAAAATTTTATCATAAAATAAATTTTTAATGGTTAAAACTCATTAAATTATATTTGAAAATCAATAAAAACCTCCTGTACGTATCAGTAAAGATTAACTTACAAGTTTATTAAATTTTTCCAAATATTGACAGCATGATATTTTATTTCATTATGTAAGTATGTAATATACAATAATTAAAGTATGTGGCTCAGCGAAAATTCGACATAAAAAGAAATCTTAAATGTGTTAGCACAAAATTGTGAAAGTATTTCCAGCAAAGTAACAATTTTGTTAAAAAAATTAATTTTTATTTTTCTTTATGAAGTACCTACATATTCTTATTTTACTGTTCTTATTTTTTTTTTATTTTGAATTTTCTTTAAAAAATAACGTTTAGGCACTTTTTAATAAAAATCTTGGAGAATGCATTCATTCGTTATTCTTATAGAAATTAATCTTATTGAAACTTAAAATGTTAGAGCATTAGAGGAGCCCTTTTAGATTTTAAATCCCAGTTTTGTTTTCTATTAAAATTTCTTATGGCGGTGTTGCATAATTTTATTGGAATAATGTTCAAGAAAATTGAAATCTTGTTTAATTTGTAGGATTTTGAATAACAGAATTAGTAGGATTAGAATATAAATATAGACATATTGGATGTCAATACAATTTTTGTTTTCAAATTTGCAAGGATGTAAATTAATTTTGTAATATACATACATAGTTTCAGAACAAAATGCCTATTTTGAAATACATACATACATACTTACACTATTTTTGGTAACAAAATTTAAAATTTTCTAGATTGTGAATTTTTATAAAACATTTAATTTTTTAATACTTACTGCATATCGGCTGCTAATCCAGGTGCTAATGATCCAGAACAGGATGGATATCTGAAAAAATATTAACCAAAGTTATAACAATCTTCTGATAGAGTGCCTATTTGCAAACAATTAAAAGTTTCTTTAAAATATTTAAAAAATTTTATATTCGAGGATTAATAAAAAATACATTTTAAATACATATACGTCATCACAGCACCGTTTTTAAAAGGAAAATCATGTCAACGATAGCATTGAAGTTGAATTCCAAAAAAATACGAATATTTTCTCTTTATTCTTACCTCTCAAATTTAATATTTGTGGTTTTTAACATTTGTAATAAGCTAAAACTGCTAAAAAAAACAACTTAAAATATTTTTTATAACCGGCACCGATTTTTTTTCAAGACCCAACAAAAAAATTTAATTTAAACCAAATCAAAAAAAAAAGTTGAACGAAATTTGTTTACAATTTCATTAATGAGAATCAATGATGAAAAATTAAAAATTTTTAATTCCAACTGTGTTCTGCATTTTCTCTTAGTTTTCGTTTGCAAAATGTAATAGCAAGTTACGCCAAATATATATGTACATACATATACGTAAGTGCAAGAGATTCGGAAATACAAAAAAAAAATTTAAAATAAAGAACTAAAATAAAAATATGATTTAAAATGATTAAAGTAAATAGAAATATAGCGAGATTGGACTGCGGTCTGCTTTGGATTAGCCGTGCTTAATGTAGATTAATTATAATTTATTCGTTTCATTTTTGCTTTGTAGACATAAGGTAAATAATTTAAAATAATTTATTAAAGTAATGAATATTATAACTATTTTAACAAAAATTTGATAAAATAAAAATTTTTTGAAAATGGTCGACCTCAAACTGATCGAACCTTTAATTTTTTCTTACAAAAACTATTTTTTTTATATCGGATTGCTGTAAAGAAATTAAGCCTGATAAATAAAATAATACCAAATGCATATATATTATTGTACTGCGATAAAAGACTCATACTTTGATAATATAATTTATAAATACATAATATATATATATATATATATATATATATATATATGTATTTAAACAAATGCCATATAAAATATAACATGCAGTGATAAATTGTGTCAATCAAAACACTTATGAATGGTGTGTTAGAAAAATTTTCAATCCACACAATTCTAAAAATCTTTACATACCAATATTTACATAATACACAGATACATATATTTATGGAAATTATTATTCATAAAAAGTTCTATATATATATATATATAAATATATGTTTAGCAAAATATTGACTATATCTTTTGTAAAGAAAAAAAAACATCCACGTGCAAGTGCTCAAACATATCTGAGTCTGAATATAATCAAGTTATTAAGTTATGTTTACCATATTTCATATATTAATAATCAATTTGCATACACACATAACAAGTACACAGAAATAAGTGTTCCTCCCTCTTATTTAATATCTTTAATTTTCAGTATAAAAAAATTTAAAAAGAAAAATTGAACAAAGAAAATCTTTACGAATCTTACTATGTTATGACTAAATTCTAATATACATATTATATTATATACTTTAATTCTTCCGTTCAGTTTGCATTTGAGTTAACCATATTGAAAAATTCCCCTTTAAGTTCTATGTTTGCACATAAACTTAAGGACTATTTCATTTTATTTTCTTTTCTTATTATTATTATTCTTTTAATTTTTATGCCGTGTGTATTTTTTAATATTATTTGCTAAGAATAATATTCTTCACAAAATTTGAATTCAAAAAATCTTATAATTCCAAACAATTAAATTCAAAATATTAACGTCCTTATTAAGGACATTTACAAATTATATTTTAGCATTAAAAATTGTTTAAATGAACATCGCATATAATAATCAAAGACAACGACAATAAAAAGAATTTTATTTGATTTTTTCGTTCTTTTCCTTTTTCCTCTTTTGTGCGTTAATTATGAAAAATAATGTAGTTCAGTTTGTCATAGCTAAAAAAATATAAAAAATTAAAAAAAAGGATTAGAAGTTTTCATTCAGTCTTACCGACTATTTAAATTTTTCTTTTTTAATAAAACTTATTATAGTCCATATTACAGTAAAATAGGATTTGGACGTGACTCAACCTAGGCATAAGTTATTGAATTAAGTTAAAATAAAAATTCACCAAAAAAATTGTAGAATTTATTTTTTGGAATCAGGCTGAATTGAAAATATAATTACCAATACTAGTCAAGTTCAAAATAAGGCCTAAGTACGCCAGAAGTTCTTTTACTTTTTAGGAAACTTCTAATGTCGAAAAATGTAGATCATTGTTTATTTACTTTAAGTCGGTAATTTGAAGTATTTTAATTATTTCATGCTATTTCATGTAGTAAAATTTTAGAAATGATTAAAAACGTTTAAATACCTAATTTAAACGTATTAGTCCACATAAGCAAAAGTAAATTTGCCCAGAATTACTTGAGGATAAAAAATATTTAATTACTAAATTTTATAAAATTCAAGTTTTTAGAGAATAAGCAAATCTAAGAATATTTTATATAAAGCTAAAATATTTCATTTATCCCTGATCAAAACCAGTATTCTAAAAACCTTAAAGCAATAATTGAAGAAATGAATTTAAAGTAAAATAAAATATTTAAATTTTTTATTTCAAAAAAGGACAAAAGTGAATCCTTGAACTACAATTTGTATAAATTAAATTTTCAGAACAAATCGACATCATTTTAAAGTAATAAATTTGTATTTTAAGCAAAAAAAAAAAAATTAAATCCTACAAATATTTTCATATTATTAAATTATTTTTTAATTTTATTTAATTTTAGAGAACAAACGTATTTACTAAAAATGTGCCGTCAAATAACTCAAATCTATTTGATTTGTTACAAAACAAAGCACTTTTAGTTTTAAATAAAAATGATTCAATATTCAATTTCAAAACTCATTTTTGGCCATAAAATTTATCCTTCCAAGAAATAGTAGAATTTTTAAAAATTTAAATAATTAAATAAATAAAAATTTAATTTATTTAAAATCAAGCTCACTGAATTTAAAATATCTGCAAATTTATACGGGCTAAGCGATTTTTGAATAATTGTGACACTTTTATAGACTCATGTATGCACATATACATATATTAAAAAATAACAGATCTCATGGCTTAAACAACACAATACGAATCTACATAATAAACTAAATATGTAAACAGAAATAAAACAAAGAAATTTGTTACCTAACAATTTTAATCTTATGTCTGAGTATTGCATATGAATTTAAAGTAAAAAATACTATTTTTCTACAACCACATTCTTATTTAAATTGATCAAAGCACATCTTTGATGAAACTATATCGAAGAATCGTAATTTTGTTACAATTACCTTGCTTGAACTTTTTTTAAAGTGATATTATGAGGATTTAAAAATTCAGTATTGATGACACTTAATGCAATATCTACAGCAGGTCCACAACGCTCCAGATCAAAAGGGGAATCTGAAAAAAAAATTATTTTGTTAAATCAGTAACACGCATAACATTACTAAAAAAGCTGACAATTATTTAAACTTTGTTTAAGGCTAAACAAAAATATAGTAATTAAGATTTCCTAATATAAAATTCTACTTTAATTTTCTTTACTACATCTACTTTAATAATGTGAAAATTGTGCATAAAGTATATTAATTTTAAAAAAAACATGTACATGTTTAGTATGTACAATAATATATTATATGTATATTTAGTATGTAAGTTAACATACTGAATGAAATCAAAAAAAAATTAAAAGACTATCAAAATGTGTAGAAGTCCAGCGTTGATTTCTTTTGTAAAAAACTGACCAACAAGAAATAAATATTTTACAATTGAATAAATTTTTAAAATTATAGATAATAAAATATAAATAACATAATGTAAAAAATCATGTAGTACCTATGTATATACCTAATGTAAATAAATGAGCTTAAAATTATACTTATTTATTTATTAACAATAAAATCTAAGAGCCCCAACTGCTTTTGGGTTTCCTTGGGCTCAGCTTTACATTGCGAAAATTAAAATTTCGTAACTAATTAAAATTATACTTAACCTAACCTGTAATCTTGTCAAATTATCTTTCTGAAATAAATCTTGATATTGTGGAATTTCTAGGTTGCAAATTCAAGTTAGAACTGTCGTTACTTAGTAAATTTAAATATCAAACAGTAAATCTAATAATAAGAATTTTGAATTTAAATATGAAGAATTTTAACTTACAAATTAGAATAAATTTATAAGTATGAATAACTTTTGTGAACTTTTAGTTCATCCAATTATGTTACCTATAAAGCAATTTATTTATTTTAAAATATAAGTAACTTATTCCGTTAATATTGTATAAGTTCAAAATTAGGTAGTTGTCAAACCTATTTGCAAATATCATTGCAGATTTACACATGATGTAAATCTGCAATTTATATGAATTTGATATTAATTTTTATTTTCAAAATTTCACTTTCTGAAAAATGGGCTAAATTTACTTTTTTAAGTTGACAAAATGTTTTTCTTTAACTTGTTTCTTAATTAATAAACCAGTGACCCTTAGCTAGTCGTACAAATAATTTTAAATTTCCTTTATAATGGCATTTAAATTAGTGTATTAATAATAAACTATAGACAAAAACCTAATTTTAGTGAACCTAATGTTAGTCAATTTAAATTTTATTTACTTGTGAGTAAACCACAATTTACTAACAAGTGTCTTAATTTTTAGAAACATTAATAAGAATAAAACAATTTTTGCTTTGCTTTACCAAATAACACTATTGCTCGCATTTTTTGCGACGACATTTTATATTTTTTAATTCAATTTTTTTTTAGTTCTCAGATTTTTATGAAATTAAGTCTAAAATTTCATACTTACTTAAATGTGAAGCCATCAAAACACCAACATTATAAACTTTCATTTCAGTTTCTATACCATCTATCAAATGAATTTCACGTTTGAAATTATTTGAATTTTTATCAACCATTTCTACACTGTTTATATTATTACTGTTATAAAAAGTGAACATCATGGATAGATTATTTCTTGAACTATCTTCCCAATAGCCATCTTCTATGTAAACTCTTTTTAATTCATATAGTGATGATATTAAATGATTAGCATTTATTTTTGCAAACAAGAATAATACAGTTGCCAACAGATGATGCATTTTACTCCTTTCTATTTTATTTTTAAATGATTTTTTGTTTTTAATAAATGTTTATTATATACTCAAATATATTTCCTTTAGTATTCATGTAACTTATTTTTCTTTAGGAATTAATTTCAAATTGAAATTTTGCATGTTCAAACTAAGAATTCAAATTTAACTTTTAGTTAATTTTAGCTAATTGCCTTAAAAACCAAATACAAATTTCCTTTTTTGCTCAATATTTAAAAATACAAAATTACATTTTTTTCACTTTAATTTTTTTTAGGTTCTGTGAGACTGGCAGCAAGTAAAAAAATTTAATAAAAAAATTTAATAAAACAATAAAAAAAAATTATAAAAAGACTATAAAATTTCATTTGCTTAAATTTTTCTTTAAAAGAAGTAGGTATTTAATGAATTGAGAGTGTCGTATGAAAGTTAAAAACAAGTTAATAGTTGGACTGCGGTAAATAACTTTTAAAGCTATTTTTTTTTACATTTAATTTACATAAGTATAGTTTTTACCTAAATTTGTGATCAACGTGTTTATGCAAAACTCATTGCAGGCTTAAGCAGCATCTTTTAATTTTACACATTGGTAAAAATTATAAAAAAGTTAGTTGCTTGTTATTCTTTTGAATTGCTTCTGCTTTGTTTCAATAGTAACACAGTGATTGCATATTTAAACATATTATATAGAAAATAATTAATAAAAACTTTTCTGTCTGTAGTGAGGACAAAATTAATTTCAAAACTGGAGAAGTTAAAAATTTTTTAAAAAGTAAAAATTATTGGAAAGCTGTTATTTTTAGGTCGCTTTGTAAATACATATTAACTGAAATTGATTAAACAAGTTTGAATAAAATTACTAAATATTTTTAATTTTTTTTTGGTAACTCTTCGTCATAATGATAATTTTTAATATTTTCAAATTTTTTTTTGAAAATGGAAAATTTAATTTCTTTCTTAAGCTTATAGATCTTTTAAATATTTTTAGTGCATTTATATTTTATATTGTACAAAAAACGTACATATGTATAAGTGACTAAAATAATGTTCTAGATATTCATTTAAAAGTAAATCCACAATTTTAATAGATTAAAATTTTATTACTTGCCTTTAATTAATTTTTAAAATATATTTTAAAAAAAGTTATAGTGAATGAAATTCTCTAATTTATTTCATTACTTCTCTAAAATATTTTCAGTAATTTTAAACAATTCGCCAAATTTTTAAAATTTTAAATCACTACTTATATTTTCAATTCCAAACTCATTTTTTTAACCCAAAACTTTTCTCAGGTTAAAATATCCTGAGAAAAGCTTCTTAAATGTGACAATTACTTTTTTTACCCGTGATTTTACTTTTTATCACTGCACATAGCTATAATCAAAACTGCAAAATAATTATTAATTATTTAGCGTTAAAACACTTATCATCACTGTTTCATTTTGATGTAATTTATAAATATCTTAGACTTTATTCCACATCCACATTTTAAAAAATTGCTTACAAAACCATTTATGAAGAATTATATTTTTCAATTAAAACTGTTAAAATAATACAATTGTTACTCGTAATTAAATTCAAAAACCTTTTAACTCATGTTATTTTATATTAACCATTATTAACAGTATAAATTACATAATATTCCTAAATAATATCAAGGTTCATATACATATGTAATTAATACCTAAGTATATTTTTTTAATTGATAAATTTTATTGTTCTAAATATTATCCAAAATATTAAAATTGTATTTTAATTCCAAAACTTTTTTGATTATAAAATTAAAATTTTTTTTTATTTTCACGAAAAATGCTAAATAATTTATACACATTTAGAATTTAATACATATTTTTTACTTTAGTAACACCCCTAAAAATAATTACAAAAAATTACATAAAAACCCAAAAAGATCCTTTGAAAAATTTTTTTGTACACTTATACGGAAGTTCTACGGTAGCAGTATTTTTGTTCCAACCAAATAGATAAACTTAACCAGAGTGAAATTTTGCAATCAAAATGTGTCCTTTTTATACAATAAATGAAGCTTTTTGCTTATTCCATCGATTATAGTACTATTCATGTTTTAGGTATGTACATATGTATTTGATGTAAGAAATTTTTCCTTCCTTTTTTAGTTAGTCCTTATAATAAAGATATATGTATAATTCAAAAGCACTCATAATTAAAAAATAAAAAAAAAAAATAGAAATAAAAATATATCCACATGTACATAGGTAGAAAAGCTTTTATATGATCATTTAAATTTTTTACAAATTGTTACAAAAGTTTTAGGTCTTCAATTTTTATTTCTTTCTATTTTCTATTGCCACATAGCCTGTAAGTATAACTCGTTTTTAGATATAAAGATGAGGTACCTAGCTTAAATTTAAAAACAAAAAAGTTTTTTTAGTTTTGAATTTTACATGTTAATAACCTATTGCTGCAATGTAGAATCGTTATTTAACTTACAAGTACTTAAAAATAATAAACCATTTATAACAACTAATCTAGTTTTGTTTTTAATCTTTAAGTCTCTTTATTCCAACTAATGTTTTAATTCCAGTTGAATTAGAAACATTTTGAGCTGCTTTCCTAATTTCTTCCAAAGCATCAATAACTTTTTTTGGCTCTGTCAGAAACCATATCCATAAAAGTCTGGCATTTTTTAAAAAACGATCGGAATTCTGCAATTACAAAATTTAAAATATTAAAACTACGTACAGATACATAACATAATTGAGTTATACCATTAAAGAGATATTGTCATGAAACTCTGACCGCAATTTCCGCAGGGACATTTGAAATATGTTTTGAAAATTTTTCGATTTAAATATTTTTTTAAGCAAACTAACGTTTTCTAACATTGGACGATTCGTAGGTCCATCAAAAATATATTTTGAAAGATCGGTTTCACTAGATTTTCTGTTTGTAATTTAAATATTTAAAAACATACATATGAAACTATCAATACTAAAACATACAAACTATTTAAAATATCTGTGAACTCTTTATAGCGGACTCCACTTGAAATGTTTTCTAAAATTACTTCCAAGGATTTGTTGAACTTATCAATAAAATCCATTATTCCTTCTGGTATTTTAAAATTTTTATAACTTCCAACGAATGGTGATAATTTTCGAAACAGCTCTTCGTTGATGTTAAACGTGGCAGCAACTTGAATATGCCTTAATGCATCTATACGATTAAGACAATTCTGGGACTCAACTAATATATCATCTGAATTGTCTATACGATTTTTTAATTTTTCTCCATCTAATTGCATCATAATCCACATAATTTCTGAGTTTTTTAAGACATTAGAAATAATTTTTGATACAAAATTTATATTTTCTAATCTTTTCGCAGCTCTCTCGATTTTTGTTTTTGTGTTTTGATACAGCACAAATTCAATCTGCTGATGTGCAAGTTGTTGTAGATGCAATTTAAGATCATTTACTAAAGTTTCGTACGTGATATCAAATGAAGTTCCATTTAAATTTTCTAAATCTTTAATTTCTTTTCTATAATGCAAATTTGTTTAAAATATAGTTATGTTATGAATTTTTTACAACCTACTTCAAATTTGATATATTAATAATATGAACTTTGCTACTATCTTGATCCTCTACCATTTGTTGGAGACCCATGAGTTTTGTTTTTGCAAGGACACATTTTTCATTATAGGAATAAATCCTAAAAAACCAAAAATTATTATATATGAAAAAAATGCTAAGTGGTGTGCTGCAGGCATCTTACAAATTTTTTAATTTTTCCAAAGAACTTGCATCACAAAAAGGTTCATATCTGTCTGTATCCGAAAAGTTCTATAAGTAAAAATTTAGTTTTTTTTAATTTCAAATAGAGTAACATCTAATAGACAGATACCTACCTGAAATGTAAAATTTTCCTGGAGATAAAGTGAGAAATATTGCATAAAAGAGTCACATTTCAATAGATACTGTTCTAGCGGGAATTGATGTGTAAAAAGCGGTGGCGAATTCTAAAAAAAACGCATGAATAATAATAAGATACGTAAATTATGTAATTTTTTTAAAAATACCAATTTAGCAATACATTCGTTTAATTCAAGACAATATTTTCTATTTTCTTTTTGGAGTTCTTGTAATTTCCTGGCTTTTTGCAAACAGTTTTTATACAAAAGATCTTCCTGGCTCGAAATTTCTTGAATTTTTATTTCTGCATTACTTACCCGTCTGTTTAAAGCACACTTAGTTTTCCTACAAACTTTTGGTTTAATTAACTTCTACACAGTTCAAAATTTACAAACATACTCAATATCTTGGCTCAAATCGTAAAACATATCATAAATTTCCTTTTTACTCTGCAACTCTATTTTGAAATTCAGTGCATCTACGTCCTCATAATTTAGGATATTTGGGTACGATTTAACAAGCTCAGACATTTTGTTATCCAATTCACTTCCTTGAATATATTCACCATCTTTCCTCAAGTCATTCATTCTGCAAGCAAATATGCTTTAAAAAAATGCATCATACATCAAAATTTTTTTATCATACTCAAGTATTTCTAATTCGGTAAGAGTATTGTTGTTTTTAACAGAAGCAGTAAACCAAGAAAAAAATATCTGATAAGATTCATCATAAACAACCCACTGATTCGACTCGTCAAGGCCAATTTTTTTAAAAATATCGGAACCCTAAAATATACCATCTCCTCCAATTAAATGCATTGACCACACAAGCATGTTTGTCCTACCTGAATAAAATCTCCCATTATAACTAAAAATAGAAATTTCAAAATATGTTTTTATATAATCTTGAGCAAAAATTTAATTCTAAATTCGCGCAATAAAATTAAATACGAAAATGATACTATTTTAAAAAATGTCAATTTTCAACTGCCACTAAAGTTGTCATTATATATAAACAGCAACACAGTCTATAAAAATGTCAATTTTGTGACATCTAGCGGCAGATAGTGAAGGAACATAATAAAATATTTTGTTACAAAAATCTGCCGTTTCGGTTCAAAGATGATATGTATATATCAAATTGAAATCAAACTTTGTAATAACATTGTGTTTTTATGGGTAGATAATGTTATCATCAAATCCTTTGGGATTACACTTTATTTACATTATTTTTTATATTCCTTTACATTAAATGAGAACTTTCTTCTACTAAAAAAGACTTGAGAAGAAAAAACTGCTCAGCAAAAATATTGTTTTACATTTTCAATCCAACTATTTAAAAATTTAGATTGTTTTTTAGACTTAGAAATTTGAATACACACTTTTGACTTTATCAAAGCTGATTTTCTTCTCATAATCAGTTTTAATCTTTTCTTTGATAAGGAGAAGAAAATCAGGTTTGATAAAGTGTGTACTTGGAAATATTTTTTTTATCAATCACGCATGCAGATCAATTTAGAAAAACTGCTTCATTTAGATTGACAACTAATGATTGAACAAGCACTAATACGTTACCCACCCCTTAATTATTAAAAAAAAAATAATTACCGATAATTGTCAAAATGTAAACGATTCATTTTAATACTTTTACATACTTTTTACGCAAACACATTATTCTATATTTCATCAAAGTAAGCAATTGCAATTTGAAAACACAGAATTTTAAAATTTTATTTAAGCAAAGATTTATTAAAAAAAACTGAATATACATAAATATAAAAAATTTTTCTCAATTCTTTGTTCGCCAAAGGTAAATATAATATTCAGCAGAAAGAAAATACATTTTTGAGTATGCATATTTCAACGCCATACTGTTTTTTTATATGCATAAGTTTATCACAATTTTATATTTTTTAGCTTAGTAAAATTCTCTAAGCAAAATGGCTGCAAATGATTCTAAAGCTACAGTTCGTACTGTAAAACGAGTTCAGTTTGGTATTCTAGCTCCAGATGAAATTGTAAGTTTAAAATAATTATTTTTACTGAACATTTATCATAATATTTATTTTCAGCGTCGAATGTCTGTTACAGAAGGTGGTATTCAATACGCCGAAACAATGGAAGGCGGTCGACCAAAACTTGGTGGGCTCATGGATCCACGACAAGGAGTAATTGATCGAAGTTCTCGTTGTCAAACTTGTGCAGGAAATATGACTGAATGTCCAGGCCATTTTGGTCATATAGATTTAGCAAAACCAGTTTTTCATATCGGTTTCATTACTAAAACCATTAAAATTTTGCGTTGTGTTTGTTTTTATTGTTCCAAAATGTTAGTTTCACCAAGTAATCCTAAAATAAAAGAGATAGTTTTAAAGTCTAAAGGTCAGCCAAGGAAAAGATTGGCATATGTATACGATTTATGTAAAGGAAAAACAATTTGTGAAGGTGGTGAAGATATGGATTTAACAAAGGAAGGGCAACCAGTAGATCCAAATAAAAAACAAGGTCACGGAGGCTGCGGTCATTATCAACCAAATTTTAGACGATCAGGATTAGAATTGATGGCTGAGTGGAAACATGTAAATGAAGATTCACAGGAAAAGAAAATTCAGGTTACTGCTGAAAGAGTATGGGAGATATTCAAGCACATTACAGACGAGGAATGCTTTGTTTTGGGTATGGATCCGAAATATGCTCGGCCAGATTGGATGATTGTTACAGTTTTACCCGTTCCGCCGTTAGCCGTTCGACCAGCAGTTGTAATGTTTGGGGCTGCAAAAAATCAAGACGATTTAACACATAAGTTAGCAGATATAATTAAAGCAAACAACGAGTTAAAAAAAAATGAAAGCACGGGAGCTGCTCCTCATGTTATCCAGGAGAATATTAAAATGTTACAATTTCATGTTGCAACTATGGTCGATAATGACATGCCAGGTATGCCCAAAGCCATGCAAAAATCGGGAAAACCCTTAAAGGCTCTTAAAGCAAGGTTGAAAGGAAAGGAAGGAAGAATTCGAGGTAATCTTATGGGTAAACGTGTAGATTTTTCAGCACGTACTGTTATTACACCAGATCCAAACTTACGTATTGATCAAGTAGGTGTACCAAGATCAATAGCCCAAAATCTAACCTTTCCTGAATTAGTTACTCCATTTAACATAGATCGCATGCAGGAATTAGTGAGGCGTGGAAATTCTCAATACCCAGGTATGTTAAGTTTATTAACCGCTTCAACAATATTAATAACAATATATGTATAAAAATTTAAGGTGCGAAATATATTGTAAGAGATAACGGCGAGCGTATAGATTTAAGGTTTCATCCAAAACCATCAGATTTACATTTGCAATGTGGGTACAAAGTTGAAAGACATTTACGTGACGGTGATTTAGTAATTTTCAATCGTCAACCTACGCTTCACAAAATGAGTATGATGGGCCACAGAGTTAAAGTTCTACCATGGTCAACTTTTCGTATGAACCTTTCTTGCACATCACCATACAATGCAGATTTTGATGGCGATGAAATGAATCTTCACGTACCGCAATCAATGGAAACTCGTGCAGAAATTGAAAATATTCACATTACTCCTCGACAAATTATAACTCCGCAAGCAAATAAGCCTGTTATGGGCATTGTGCAAGATACCCTTACAGCTGTTCGAAAAATGACCAAACGAGATGTTTTCATAGATCGAGAGCAAATGATGAATTTGCTCATGTTTTTACCAACATGGGACGGCAAAATGCCCCAACCATGTATTCTTAAACCAAAACCTCTTTGGACTGGAAAACAGTTGTTTTCCCTAATTATACCTGGAAATGTCAATATGATTCGTACTCATTCTACACATCCGGATGACGAAGATGATGGGCCATATAAATGGATTTCTCCTGGGGACACCAAAGTTATGGTTGAACACGGTGAACTTATCATGGGTATATTATGCAAAAAGACACTGGGCACTTCGGCCGGATCTTTGTTACACATTTGCTTCTTGGAATTAGGACATGACATTGCCGGTCGATTTTATGGTAACATTCAGACCGTTATAAACAATTGGTTGTTATTAGAAGGTCACAGTATAGGCATTGGTGATACAATTGCTGATCCCCAAACTTATAACGAAATTCAAATAGCTATTAAAAAAGCGAAAGATGATGTCATTTGTGTTATCCAAAAAGCTCACAACATGGAACTTGAACCTACTCCAGGTGATTTTTAAACATTTTTCGTTTAAAAAACCAAATTTTATATTCGTTCTAAATTTTAGGTAATACTCTCCGTCAAACTTTCGAAAATCAAGTAAATCGCATTTTAAACGACGCTCGTGACAAAACTGGTGGATCTGCAAAAAAATCTTTAACTGAATACAACAACCTTAAAGCTATGGTAGTTTCAGGCTCTAAAGGGTCAAATATTAACATTTCACAGGTTATTGCTTGCGTAGGTCAACAAAACGTAGAAGGTAAACGCATTCCTTACGGTTTCAGAAAACGAACCCTGCCACACTTTATTAAAGACGATTACGGACCTGAATCTAGAGGGTTTGTAGAAAACTCATATTTGGCTGGCCTTACTCCCTCTGAGTTCTACTTTCATGCTATGGGTGGACGCGAGGGTCTAATCGATACTGCTGTAAAGACTGCTGAAACTGGTTATATTCAACGTCGTCTTATTAAAGCTATGGAATCTGTGATGGTAAATTATGATGGTACAGTAAGAAATTCAGTGGGACAACTTATCCAATTGCGTTATGGAGAAGACGGATTGTGTGGTGAATTAGTAGAATTTCAAAATTTACCTACTATCAAACTGTCAAATAAAGCATTTGAAAAAAGATTCAAATTTGACTGGTCTAATGAACGCTACATGAGAAAAATATTCAATGAAGATGTGGTTAAAGATTTGACAGAATCTGGATATGCAATTCAAGAACTTGAAGCCGAATGGGAACAGCTTTGCAAAGATAGGGAAGCTTTAAGGCAAATATTTCCAAACGGGGACTCTAAAGTTGTACTACCATGCAATTTACAGAGAATGATTTGGAATGTGCAAAAAATTTTCCATATCAACAAAAGAGTTCCAACAGATTTATCTCCTATGAAAGTAATTCAAGGTAAGTACCTTTTATAGTAAGTAATTTTTATAGAAAGGCTTTGTTTATTAATTATTCTATTTCCCAAGGTGTTAGAGATCTTCTTTCAAAATGCATTATTGTAACCGGAAATGATCGTATTTCAAAGCAAGCTAACGAGAATGCTACATTATTATTTCAGTGCTTAATTAGATCTACTTTATGTACAAAATACGTCGCAGAAGAATTTCGTTTGACAAGTGAAGCTTTTGAATGGTTAATAGGTGAAATTGAAACTCGATTTCAACAAGCTCAAGTAAACCCAGGTGAAATGGTTGGAGCATTAGCTGCACAATCATTAGGAGAGCCGGCTACGCAAATGACCTTAAATACTTTCCATTTTGCCGGTGTATCTTCAAAAAATGTAACTTTAGGTGTACCACGTCTCAAAGAAATAATAAATATATCTAAACGACCAAAAGCCCCATCGCTCACAGTCTTTCTTACAGGGGGTGCGGCTCGTGATGCTGAGAAAGCTAAAAATGTCTTATGTCGTTTAGAACATACTACTTTAAGGAAAGTTACTGCAAATACGGCAATTTATTACGATCCTGATCCTCAAAGAACAGTCATTGCTGAAGATCAAGAGTTTGTGAATGTATATTATGAAATGCCTGATTTCGACCCGACTCGTATTTCACCATGGCTTTTACGTATTGAATTGGATCGAAAGCGAATGACCGATAAAAAATTAACTATGGAACAAATAGCAGAAAAAATCAATGCCGGTTTTGGCGATGATTTGAATTGCATATTCAACGACGATAATGCAGATAAATTAGTTCTTCGTATAAGAATTATGAATAGTGAAGAGAACAAATTTCAAGATGAGGATGAAGCCGTAGATAAAATGGAGGATGATATGTTTTTGCGTTGTATTGAAGCTAACATGTTGTCTGACATGACGTTACAAGGCATTGAAGCTATCGGTAAAGTATATATGCATTTGCCACAAACTGACAGCAAAAAAAGGATTATTATAACGGAAACTGGGGAATTCAAAGCCATTGGAGAGTGGTTATTAGAAACAGATGGTACAGCGATGATGAAAGTTCTTAGCGAAAGAGATGTAGATCCTGTTCGAACATACAGCAATGACATATGCGAAATTTTTCAAGTATTGGGTATAGAGGCTGTTCGTAAATCAGTTGAAAAAGAAATGAATGCTGTACTTCAATTTTATGGACTTTACGTAAATTACCGACATTTAGCTCTTTTATGTGACGTAATGACAGCTAAGGGACATCTAATGGCTATCACTCGTCATGGTATCAACAGACAGGATACTGGCGCACTTATGAGATGTTCGTTTGAAGAAACGGTTGATGTTTTAATGGATGCAGCAGCGCATGCTGAAAATGATCCAATGAGGGGTGTCTCAGAAAATATTATAATGGGTCAGCTGCCTAAAATGGGAACAGGTAATTTTAAACGAAAATTATCCGATCTAATCAATATCATCTGTTTCTGCTTTCTTTAAAGGTTGCTTCGACTTACTCTTAGACGCAGAAAAATGTAAACATGGCATTGAAATACCAAGTACATTAGGCCCCTCTCTTATTGGTGGCACAGGAATGTTTTTCGGAGCTGGAGCTACACCCTCTATGACTCCTCCAGCTACTCCATGGGGTCCGTTTAATACACCTAAGTACTCCCCACTAGGACCAAGTAATTTTTATAGTAAATTGAATATATTTTTAAGTTAAATTATTACATTTATTCAGTGAGTGGTATGACTCCTGGTGGACCAAGTTTTTCACCATCAGCAGCTTCGGATGCATCAGGTTTGTCACCGTACTATTCTCCAGCGCATTCGGGATCCTCTCCAAGCTCTCCCGGACTTTCGATGTCACCTTTTGTACCAATGTCTCCAAGTGCATCTCCTTCATATTCACCAACAAGTCCACATTATGCAACTAGTTCTCCAGGTGCAGCTTCTCCTAATTACTCTCCAGCATCACCGCAATATTCTCCAGCAAGCAGAATTGATTCAGCTAGTCCAAAATATTCTCCATCATCTCCAACGTATAATCATCCGTCACCTGCATTTCTTGGTACTTCCCCGGGATATTCACCGTCGTCTAATCTTTACTCTACAAAATCGAATTTCGCGACGTCACCGGCTTTCTCCTCAGGAGCGGGCGGGGCCTCCAATATGTATTCGCCAACAAATAGTGTGTATTCTCCATCTTCACCAAATTATTCTCCGAATTCTCCTAGATATTCACCCAGTTCACCTTTTTCCCCGTCTTCACCATCCTACTCTCCAACGTCGCCTGGGTACTCCCCAACGTCCCCATCATATTCGCCGTCTTCTCCAAAATATACTCCAGCAACACCATCTTATTCTCCCACTTCTCCGAGCTATTCCGCTTCCCCAAGATATTCTCCGGTTTCACCAACTTACCCAAGGACCAGTCCAAAATATTCTCCTGCAAGTCCCACGTATTCACCACCCTCTCCCACTTATGATGGAAGTCCCCAGTATACACCCGGGAGTCCACAATATTCTCCTACTTCTCCAAAATATTCTCCAGAAAGTCCTATATATTCACCACCTTCTCCTCGACATTCGCCGGCAACTCAGTATAGTCCAAGTGGTAGTTTTTCAACAAGTCCACATTATTCTTCTAATTTATCTTCTTATTCGCCAAACAGTTCAAAATATTCCCCAACAAGCCCAACCACTTATACTCCTACCCCTCACCACTATTCCCCAAGCAGTACATTGTATTCCCCACCAGCTTCTCAACGATATAGTCCAACAAGCCCCGCCTACTCTCCAAGCAGTCCATCATATGAAGAACCAGATTAAATTTGAATAAATTCAAATTATTCATATTGTATCCATTAAACTTAAGACAAAGTGTGGGAAAATTAACATAATCAAAGTAAATTAGAAATTAAATGAGTTTTAATTGTTAAATTCACAAAATTTTAAATTTTTGGAAATATTAATTTTTATGTATGTATGTTAAAAATAAACAACATAGATAAAAAAAACCCTTGTTTTAATATTAAAATCAAATTCTTAAACAGAATTTTTTTAAAATAAACAATGAATGTAAAAACAAGTTCTTAAAATAAATATAATAGAACTTTAGAACATGGATACATATGTATGTATGTAAATATAATCATTTAATATGAAATAGAAGAAACTAAAGGCCAAGTAAGCGACCTCTTGTATAATATATTCAACCATAATTTTTAATTAAATAGTACAAAAGTATGTACTCTTATATTTTAACAAAACATACATATGTTTAAAAAAAAAAACGTATGTACATAAGAACACCAAAATATTATTTCAAAATAAATTTTGGTAAACCAAAACTTTTTTGCAGATCCACCACTGATGATTTTTAAGATAGATTGTTGCATTACAATGCTTGTAAAATGAAAACAGAACAATTAACAAGAGCGATTTTTCGCGGCAAAATGTCAGAATTCATATAGAATACACATATTAAATGAGACCAAACAGAATTCAGCGAAGTAACTGTTGCAAATTTAACCGGCGGCGTAATAGCTTAAATTTCTTTTTTGCTGCTGACTAGTATTTTTTTACATTATCTGTTTCTATAGTTGAGTAACATTTCATGCAAAATACGGTACGCTTCATTTTATAGTTTCGCTGTTGTTCTGGGTTAAGAAGGAAAAGCGTCCACCGTTGCCGCTCACTTCTTTGGTTCTGTTTTTACAATAAAACTACATCCTGTGTCTCTATATTTTTAGAGTTAGTACAAGAGAGATGGTATTAGAATAATTTTTATACGAAAATGCTATAAAAATATAAATACTAAAAGGGGGATAAATACGTTTAAAGAAATATACATTTATTTTGATACCTTGTTTCATTTCATTAATTATTTTACAACTGGTTCATTGAATAATTAATTGCAATTACTTGTGAGTGATAATAAAAATGCTATTTTTGTCATTTTCTACAGCATAAATTGCAATTCTTTGTTAATTTTTCCATTATTATTCTGCTTATTTTGAATTATTTCACAATTCAATGCATAATAATTAAAATTGAACTAAAATTTAAAATGTGTTTCAACACAATTGGTTATGTTTATATATACTTAATTTAAAAATATCTAAAAACATGTAATTGATTACTTGTTTAATAATATTTAATTGTATATTTATTAACTGGTGGTCACTATTTTACATATTGTGTGGAGACACATTTTTCTTAAAAATTTGACAATAGAATGTTGACAGTTCGGATTTACTGACACTTTTATAAGTAAGAATTGAATAATTGTCTCGTGTGATCGTAGGATAATGAAATAAGCCCCAGAAAGCAATTTTTATTAATTGCAAACATAATTCTATCACGGATTTGCAAAAATTTTGATGGCATCAAAAATTTAAGCAGTAATATGTAGCTCTCGGGACCTGTCTGTATCATCCATTTTTAGAAAAACATAGAATTAACAAATTTACCATAATGTGTAAATACATATAAAAAGACATGCAAGGAGGGGAAAATAATTTTATGTCGCTATAATAATTTTTGCTTCATTCTTTTAACATAAATTTTATTCCTTATACTTATTCAGTTCTTTTTATAATTTTATACATACAGGATTCCAATTTTCCAAATTTTAACAATTAAATTCTAAGCACTTATAAACAGATATTTAAAAAAAAAAATATTGTATTTGCATAGATATACATATTTACATATATATGCATGTATATTTTTTTTCACGAAAAAAACGTGATAGCTCAAAAAGGGCGAGAAAAATATCCCATATTTATTGATTTTTACCTCTTGAATGATAGGAGTCGATATCTCCAAGGCAAAAACAAGAAGATAGATATATATTTGTCAGATCTTCTTTTTCAAAAAGATAAAAATTCAAATTCCGGTACAAAACCTAAATACATACATACTTTTATTTTACTTAAAATTATAATATAAAATATTGAAATCGTGGAAAATGATAATGGACTGAAGACAAAAATTTTGTACGGAACATTATATTGCTTGCCGGGATAAAATATCCAAACATATACATTTATGTACACATAGCAAATAGAAAGTGATATAAACAATAATATACGAATTAAATAACTTTAAACATATGCAAATAATAATATATTTGAAGCAACACACATAGTAGTTTAGTTTTGTATTAATGAAACTAAAAAGCAAAGTTTAAAATTCTTACATTCATTGTAAATATTTTTTATAATCGCTTAACGTTTAAAATATAAATATTTCTAAAAAATTTAATACATAAGTACTACCTATCTACCTACATACTTATACGCAGTAGCTTTAATATTACATTATTTAAATAGTTTTACATATAGCATTAAATTGTTCGCGAGTGCCTTTAATCTTTGTGAATATGTAGATTCAATTTAAACATTTTGAATGAAGGGTCGATGATTTCAAATTTGAGCTTCTGTTTATTATCAATCTGTATATTCAATGCAATTGTACGAAGTAAGTTAAGAATTGTTACTGAAAGAGAAACTTGACAATCATCAATAATGAACTCACTAACATTGAAACCGGGTATTAATTTGAAAATCGAAAGCAAACATTCAAATTTTTTAAGTACGGTAGTTTTTTACGCTTAAAAGTTTTTTTGGAATTTTATTGATATGTATTTCCTTTACAGATGACCAGACTCCCACTCCTACAACCAGATTGATAAAAAATTGTGAAGAAGTTGGCTTATTTGATGATCTAAAACATGTTAATCCGTTTGACGAAACATTCAGACGGGCTGTAGAAGAATCCACTGTATTGACTAATGAAAAGAATACTAACAATTTAAATTTACCTTCCAGCGAAGACACTTTGCATACGCCGCATATTATTTATGATGACAACAGTAACTCAAAACATGCAACTAACAAAGATTTTGAAGTGAATAAAGATCAATTAATTTCGTTGAAAACATCTTGTAGAAACAGAGTTTCAGAAAATTCTAGGGACATGAAAAAAAGTTCCAAACTTCCACTAAAGAACAATAGAAAAATTACTCATAAGAAACTAAGAATGCTTTTACCGAACCCTAAACAAATTAACGTGAAAACTATTCAACCTCAAATTATTTCCTTGAATTTTCAAGGACAAATTGAAAACGCAATAAAAACTTCAAAAACCATTGTAGGGAAAGCAAGTATTAATAATGAAAGTAATGGCAAATCTTCATATTTGATAAAAAAGAAACTTAAATCTATTATAAAATGTAAAAGTGTAGATAAAATGGAAACGAATGAGAGTGATATAAATGAAAATAAAAATAACCTGGCTTACAAAAGTGCAAAGGAAAGAAAAAGAGCAGCTTCAATGCGATATCGTAGCAAGAAACATAACGAAATTTGTGAATTGAGAAAACGTTTGTCTGAGTTATTGTCTGAAAACCTATTTTTTAAAGAACAAATTAAACAACTTCAACATATACTTTTTACCCAGCATTCTAACTGTAATGTGACAAAACAGCAATTAGAAAAAAGTCCTAATGAAAATTTGAGTGAAACATTAAAAGGTTCAACTCCTATTATTCATATACCCTCTTCAACTTTGGTGCTGAATATTCCTAAAATTATTATACAACAAAAAGCAGAAATTTTTGATATGGTTTCAAAAAATTAAATGTATGCATATTACATACATATATCATACTTAGCTACGTGTATTGTCTGACTTTATACATATTGTGTAATTCTAAAAACGCTGCTTTTATAACACGGCTGACAAAAGTGCAGGTTTGGATACTAGAGAGTCAATTCATCAGCGGAAATAAATGGCAATTTTATGAGTTATGAAAGTCGAAAACGGACACTTCACCTTTTTACGAAAAAAATTTTCACGTTTTAGACTACTTTGTGAATAAAAAAGTCCAAATACAAACGGAAAATATGCATATCACATAAATGAAAAAAAAAGAAAACTACATATATTTCAGGCGTCATTTCTTTAAAATAATTCTACATTTATTAGGAGTGCATATTTTGTCAGCCATGATTTATACCGTAACCGAAATAGACTATATTGTAATGTAACTGTCAAATAAAATTGTGACGATTATACCGAACAGATATCGAGTATGTATTAATTAAAAATTAATTAACAAAGGTTAAAATATAAAATCACTTTTTTATTATTATAATAAATTGAACTTCCAAATCAGTTTTGTTTATAAATATATATTTGTCAAATGCCTATGAATTCCCTAAAGATTTTCATCATTTAGAAGCATTTCAAAAGCAAGTATGTACGTATATTAAAAAACATATTTATTAGAAGCGACGTTGTGGAAAATCACAGATATTTTGTAATAAATTAATTATCGAAAATTATTTGACGGTAAAGTTTCTTCATTTTACCAAAAATAAAACGGAACTTCTATATACATAAGACTAATTTTAGAATTAGAATTATCTTATGGCTTATAAAAATACTTTCTTATTTTTAAGTGTAATAGATAATGTAAAATGCGAATTATTTAACATTTATGTATTTATTTCGTTCTATTTTACTAAAATAAGGAATTGTTAGAACATTCCCAAATTATAAAAATTTATTAGAGGAAATGGGTAGATAGGAAATTCCATTAGAGAGAAAAGGAGAGATAGACCATACTGCCAGTTGGTCTATTACTAGAATTTAGAAAATATGAAAAATTTGCTGCGCTAGAACAAAAAAATGGTATGTACCGCAATTAAAAACGTTCATTTGCAATAAATGTTGTTTTTGAAATATTTAGAAATAACCACTCAATAGAAACATCACGGATATTATGTCAGACCTATAATTGGACACACAAATGCCTAACTTTATTTAAAATTAACTTTCGGAGTTGTAGGGCAGCTACCTGAACCAGTCAAGCAATTCCACCAAAACTTAAAAAATATATCTGACATCAAATTGCCCACACGACTGCCGAGTTTCATGAATCTATCTTTAATATTTTTCCAAATATTTAAAATTAGCTTTTGGAGTTGTATGGCAGCTACCCGAACCTGTCAAGCAATTCCACCAAAACTCTAGAAATATGTCTGACCTAAAATTGGACACACGACTGCCGAGTTTCATAAATCTAGCTTTAATATTTTTCCAAATATTTAAAATTAACTTTCGGAGTTGTATAGCAGCTACCCGAACCAGTACATCCATGCCATTAAAATTTTCAGAACATATGTAAAGTGTAATATCAATCTTTGCAAAGTTTGATATTTATATCTCTATTATTTTTTGAGATATTGAAAAAAACCTCTTTGAGTTGCATGGCAGCTACCCGAACCCGTTGTCCGAATTGGCCCAATTACAATAGCAGCCGTCGTTGTCACAAAAGAATCAACTTGTGAAAGTTTGGTCGTATTTGTTTTATTCGTTTTTGAGTTGTCGTACGATCGGACGGACGGACATGTCTAAATTAACGCAGAATTTTACGCTAAGCAAGAATATATACACATGTTCATACCGGAGACGACTCTTTCAAGTGGTCACAAACTCCATACCAAAGTAAATATACTCTTTACGAAGTGCAGAGTATAATTAACAAACAGGAAAGTAGCAAGTTCGTTTATGAGATTGATCAAGCAATGAATCAAAAGAACCGTTAATATGTATTAATGTAAGTATAAATATCATACGTCGTTTGAATTAGTTTTTCAATTAATCAAAGACGCAGTTAACTTGTCAATTTAAATCAAACTTATTTATTAAAATTATTTTTTATGTATTAGTTACACATCAGCTAAATGAAATAATATCTGATGTTTGTGGTCTATAAACTGGCAATTTGGAATTAAAAAAAATCCAAAATTAACTAGTTGCGGCAAAATTTTTTTTTTTACTTAGTTGCACCATATTATTTTTAAAAATCTCTAAAACGCAAATTTCTATTTCTTCTATCAGATTCAGTCTCATTGCAAATCGTAATTACACTTCAGATTACGATTTAACCTGATTTGTAAAAGGACCCGAAGTTTAAAACGCAAATGTTCTTAGTGTCATTTTAAAGAGTCATTCTACACAATCAAACAACTCAAATATGAAACGACAACTCGGTATTTCAGAGTGACCATCAAAATTTGTTCTTAGAAAGCCGTTTTACAGCATGCTATTTATTCTTAATAAGTTATTGACGGCAAGTCTGCGGCAAGCTATTTTGCAAAGTTTTAAGTATATAAGGATTTGTACGAATGAAATAAATTTTTTGCCGACATTAATAGATTAAATAAGTTTACAAATCTGTTTCTAACAAATATCTTTCTACGTACAAAAAATGTCAAGTTTATCTAAAAGAGCAAAGGTAGATGATATACCAAATGAAAACGAAGCAGAAGCTTTAGAGCAAATTGATGCCTGCCAAAATGAAATTGACGCATTAAATGAAAAAGCCAGCGAAGAAATTCTGAAGGTTGAGCAAAAATATAATAAACTAAGGAAACCTTTCTACGAGAAAAGAAGTGAACTCGTCAAAAAAATACCAAATTTTTGGATAACAGCGGTGAGACTTAATGTTTTTTTTATTGAATATGTATTATTAAAATCTACCCAAAAATAGTTCATTAATCATCCGCAAGTGTCGGGAATCTTGGATGAGGAAGAGGAAGAATGCTTGCACTTTTTGAATAAACTGGAAGTCGAAGAGTTTGAAGATATCAAATCTGGCTATCGCATTAACTTTAGTTTTGATGAAAACCCGTACTTCACAAACAAAGTTTTGACAAAGGATTTTCATTTGGGAACATCATATAATTGTTTGTATTAAAATAAGTTTTAAAATTTTATTTCAAAATTCATATTTTAGCTGACGGCGAAGGCCCTTCATCAACAAGTACGGTAATACAGTGGAAAGAAGGCAAGAATTTATTAAAACAATTACTCAACAAACCTTATAATAATAAAAAGAAAAGAAATATGGAATTTAAAACATTTTTTGATTGGTTCACTGATAATACCGATCCAGTAAATGATGAGATTGCGGAGTTAATTAAAGATGATTTATGGCCGAACCCACTGCAGTATTACTTAGTGCCTGATATTGAGGTTGAGCCGGAAGAAGATAATGAAGACGAAGATGATAATGAAGAAGAAATTGTGGATGAGGAAAATTTTGAGGACGAAGGTAAATTAGTTCATTTTGATTGTATGTGTAGCAATTTTTTATTGATTCTAAAAGCATTTATTTTTAACTTGAAATACAATAATTAATTCGAGTGTCAAAATTTAAATCAATTTTAATTAAATTGGAAAGATTGCTTATAAGTTGTAAAAAAAAAACTATTTATTTCACTATAAATTGTTACTATGTAATGGTACTATGTAATTGTTTTAATACCTCGTCGAAATTAAATTAGACCTAATATTAAACCTAATGAGACGATACTAAACCTAATTGATTCGTCGTCGAATATCCACTTAATTTTAATGAAAAAGGAACTAGTTTAGAATAAGAAAATAGTTTTCTAAATTTAATAAAAATTTTGTTAAATGAAATTTGAAAAAAAATCACTTAATATTACGCTTTCAAATATTTTACTTTGACCTGGTACTACATAAATCAAATAAGATTAATTTTGGAAAGAAAAACAAGTCAAAAAAAAAAATTATCACCTTAGAATATCCAAAATACCCATTTTATTTTAATATTCTCGTACATAGTCCGTTTTTTTTTTTTTGCAATGAACCAAAATTTAATTTGAATTCAATTTCATTACCGTAAGTTACCGGATGCAAGCAGGATCATGCTTTTTCTATTAATTATGTTTATAATTCTTTTCTAACGTAACGATTCCAAAGAATCTCGTTTTCTTAGATATTAAAATAACTTTTGTGAAATTAAAACTTTATTTGCGGTAATTTTTGCAATAATTTATATTATCGAATTTTTTTCATAAGATATTTTTAAAGGAACAAAATGCATATATGTATACATAGAATTACATACGAGTTAGTACATTAAAACAAATATAAGCTAATGAAATTGTTTTTTGAATAAAATATGTATTTTATAACTTTCCTTTTGTATGTTCCCCCGTATTGACATGTTGTCTGACAAAGTCCCAAGAAATTTGTCAGATAACATGTTGATATGTTCCATTTTTAAATTGGGAATTTCCATTTTGAAAATAGTATTTTTTTGAGTGCTTTAAAAAAATTTTTGGTTATACATTAGAATTTTGAGAATATTGTAAAGACAAATAGAAATGTAAAAAATGTAAAACATACTCTTTTTTACAGAAGGAGCTGCAGGCGAAAATTGAATCTGAATACAAAAATTTATGCTAATTTTAAACATGAAAATATTGGATGACATTAAACAACAGAAGAACCTTTATTTTTGAATTAGGAGTTTTTTATAAAATAAAATGAAGGATAACTTGTAAAACAGCATTTCTATCTAATGAATTATAATAATTCAATTTAAAATTATTTGTAATTTTTTATTTGTCACATAAAAGAATAAACTGTAATTATAAAAATTTATTTCTCCTCAAAATTCCAATTTAAAAAGTTAGCAAATCATAATCATAATTCTTTTATTAGTCTTTAATTTTTACAGCTATTCCTTTGTGTTTGTATTTAGCATGATATGAAATCAGGCAAATTTATTTGAATATTAGAAAATTTCGAGAATAACGTTCTTTTAAGTTTAAATTTGGAAGTTTTGCAATTCTTTGTACCCGCATTTAATTGAATTTTACTTGTTAAATTAAAAACAAAATTAAAAAAATTACCCGGAAGGCAACTCGGGATATAGGCAATGTAATATCAAGTCATTTTCTTTTTTAGCAGCATTAAAAATCTGACTACTTTAAAAAAATATATGTAAGTGACTGTTTCAGTGACTCAAAAATCAATTTAAAAAATATCAGTTCACTTTTGCAAGTGAAGTTTTCATGTTTTTTGTTTAAATTTCATTAAAATTGAATAACGGAATAAAAATTTCAAAAAGAAGAAGAATAAGCTTTACAAATTATGTACATAAATGCATTGTAAATACTTCCAAACATTTCAACAAGTATGATTGCTTTACATCCTCAAAGGCTCAAAAGGTTTACTGTGTAATTCTATTTATATCAACAGTCAAGCGAGTTTTTTGTATGCATCCTCAATTTTTGTGGTAAATTATGAACTTTTAAGTTTTTTAATTCCACATATTTGTTATATGGATATGGGTGAATATGCCAGTGAAGTATATTTAGACCCGTCTTCAAATATTATTCTTTTTTAATAACATTCAAAAATAAAATAACGAAGAAAACACAGGGTGACTTTTTTATAAAGAATAAGATTTCATATTGTACGATTCACAAATAGAATCTTTTTTTTTTTAAAATTGAAAATTTCTTGAAAAGCTACTTTGATTTCGACAGAAACATAGCGGTATTAGAGAAACTTAGCTCAAAAAAAGTTTCAGTCAGGCGAAAAGCTATAAGGAACGGGATTCATACATAGATCTCTGCAAAACATTTACCTGACAAATACTTAGTGGGATGAAAATATGGTATAATCAAGTTTAAGTTGATTTGCCAAAAAAAAAACTATTTTTGCATTTGAGATTGTAATTTTCAGTTTTGTGATCCAAATTTTATGTTTAAGAAGCTATTACTCCAAAACGATGGTGTTATCAACTAATAGAGTCACTTGACCTTTATGTGGATCTATTAACCGAGAAAAAAGTTCTGAAAAATACTTTGCTCTAACTTCAACAGCTTTGAAACTGTTACACGCTTACAACTGATAGATGATATTTTTGACCCTCGAAAAAAAAAAAGTAAAACTCCGATTCCCCTTCGTTCGCACGTACTCGTATTAAAAAAATTGAGCTTTATCTAATAGTTCGTATGTTATAGAATTTACATTTGGGTTTACAGTGTGTAAATCTAAAAAATATTGTGTTGTGTAAATAATATTAAACCTGATTATATATTACTATAACTTGCTATACTAATCCTTAGAGGAATGTAAATAAATTTTATACTTCACGTGAGGAATACTTACATTAATACTAATTCATACAAAATCAAGGATACATGTATAAAATTACAACTTTTTGTCTTTCAAGAGCTGCAAGTTACATAGAAGCATACATACATATGTATGTATTTCGTGTTTTACAATAAAAAATAAGAGTAAACATTAATTTCAATTTGGTTTTTAATAGAATTTCCAAGAGTTTTGAAAGTTTTTTGTGATTATCTACATCAAGTTCTATTATACATACAATATAAAAAACGTAAGTTGCACCTAGACTGCAAAATATGCAAAACTATTCTGTAGTTTCATACTGGTCGCTTTCCTCTTTCATCATTTGAATTTTTCAGTCTACGTTTCGTTTTTCTTCAAAACAAAGGTAAAATTTAAACTTTTTCTATTTTACTAGTGCTAACATTTTTATAGTTTTGTAAATGTAAATAATATTTGTAATATAAATAATTATTGTAATATAAATAATTTAATATAATATGTAATATTTTTATGCCAGCTAAATTTTATTATTATCATATTGTCTTTATTACCCCGTAATTAATCTTTTAGTAAAATAAAATTGTTTAAAATTAATTAAAATTTAAAAATTTTGCTTTTATTAAATTACATTTGAAAATGTTGTATACATACATAAAATATAATTTTTTTATTCATGGTACAAAAAATTCTTATTTTTGTAAAAATTTTGGAACGTTTTTTTTCAAAACTTCTATATTTTATTGTTTTAGGATGTTGGTTTTTTTACCAGTTAAAAATTTGAATTCTTTTATTTTTATATAAAAAATTCTTATAACTTTAATTGTATCAACTACGCGAAAACTTGATTTAGAAATTAAAAACCATTTGCACAATTTTACACTGAAATTTTAAAACAACAAACCGATTTTTACTTTCAACTCTCTACCATATATTGCCTGACATCTTAAAATGGTGACTGCTTAAAAAAATATGGGAAAAACTGTAAGTAAATTAAGATATATTCACAAAAAAGCATGGTCCAGATTTTGATATAATGTCAAGCTATTAACATAGAAACATTTTTCTGTTTACTTTTTTTAATTTCCAATATTTTCTCTTCTTTTTTTGCAATATCTTATCTAGAATTTCTTTTTTCGTTCTTTTGACTTTTTTAAAAGCAATAATCCAGCAGGTGACGCCAACAAAGATGCATTTCCTTCCATTTACTTTTGAATCCAGAATGTATTTCTGTTACTGAAAATAAATAAGTAATTGAGACTTTATGAATTTTAATTCAAAAATAAACAAACTTTTTATATATTATCAATATGTACGTACATATGTAATGTTAAAACCTTTCGCTTTTTTTTCAATTTGGCCGTTTAAACACAAGTATTCATTGCATTTTCTTATTTTTAAATAGTCGTCTACTTTTCAGATTATTTGCTTTTGTTTTATGCTCCTGTCACTTCAAAATATTATTTAAAACTCGTGCAAAAAAGAATCTACTTTTTAATGAATAGTGTGGAAAGAAAGTAGATTCAAAATTAAAAAGGTGAAAGAAGAAAGAAGACTACTGTGGTGAGAGCCAAAAAGATGAAAAAAGAGCACAACACAACTGATATGGAAACAAAAATATGAAAAAAGTGCAAAGCAATGATCAGTTTTTTCGTTACTTTTTAGATTTGTAAGTACTTGTTACTTCTTACTCAACACTATTGGCGTTCCATTTACGTGAGGAGCTAAAACTAAACACAACCTCGAACAAATGCGTCGATGATTTGTGCACCTTCGTATTTCAAACCTACAAAAGATGGATTTTGCGTATTCTGAGTTTTTTGAATTTAACTTTTATATGTTTTGCAAGGTCCTTTTTTAATAAATTGGCTTTTGAACAATAAAAATAATTGTTCAATCAATACATCAATGAGCGACCATCTCTATTAAATTTTTATTGAATATCGCAAAAGAGTATTTTTATTTTTTTTATTTAATCTTTTAAATCAATTATCAAAAACAAAAATAACCAGCATGTAAAATAAAAAGCAAACATAAAGAACGTGAATTTTAAAATTTGTATATGGGTTAAAAAACTCAAATTTTTTCTTGTCAGAAACTCTTGGTTCTCTTTCTGACAGTTTTGGGTTTGATTATTTTCATTTTATTGCTCCTTCAACTACTTACGACATTTTATAAAAAACAAATTGGTATTGAGATATCAGAATTAGCAATCATGGTAAATGAGTCAAAGCCGGCGGAGTCATGCAATATTCAATCATTTGATCGGAATATCATTTTATGTGTAAACTTAATTTAGGAAAATAATAATTGACTTACCACTTGCCTTTTATTGAGGTTTTGAAAAGAGAGAGTGTAGTATTTTATTGTTTTTTAAATCAATTAAATTTTTTTTAAATATGGCTGCCTGACTGTTATACATAAATATATTTTTGAAGTGAATTTGTAATTTACAAAATTATATTATTAAATGAGCAAGATTTTTGGAAATTTTTTCGTGCGCGATAATTATTTAAAATTCTTATTTAAAAAGAAAAATACAGTGTATATTTAAAAAAAAAGGGTCTGAAATTTTAACGCCCTTCCATCTTTGATTAAAAAAGATTAATGTGTAAAATAATTTTGTTAATTTGACTAACAACTATAAGCATCTACTGCAAATATTTCAATATAGTGCTAAGATAGTTGATTTTTTGTCTAAAGTTGTAGTTTTTTTTTCATTTTGAATAACAATACATACTAAACTTTGAAGTCATCATTTTTAATATGGAATTAGAGAACTTACAGAACATAAATCAGTTGGATTTCTTTCCTGCAGTGCCTGTTATAAAACAGGAACAATCAGAGCGTTTGGATGAAAATAGCTCTAATAGTGCTAATCCATGCGACAGTGTAGAAAAACAAGTAAGTTATTCAATTATCCTTTCCGAAGTTAAACAAATCAAAGATAACAAATAAGGATAAATTTCAAATGGGAGGATATGAAATAATTTAATTATAAAATATTAATAGCTATAAGTATAATAGTATTAATAGCAATAAATGTATTATAAATAGAAGCATATACATAATATGTATACTATTAATTTAAAATTTAAATTGAAGAACAAATTCGTATTAAATTTTATTTTCGGTTTGCAAATTTACTATTATACTTAAATATCTAATTTTATTATTAAATAATCAAAAAATATAAATTATTTTTACAATGGAAGAGATCTTTACAACGAGTCATTTCCAAATTATTTACTAATACCATATTTATTTATTCATTGATTTTTGTCTGCGTTAAGTATTATACTACATACCTACATCAGTTTTATATTATTTTTATATTTGTTAGAGAGGCAGATGTGACACTTTATTTTCCATTGTCATTATTATACTTTACTTTTATTAAATTTATAATATTTACTTAAATTTAAGATTTATATAATATTTTTATATTAAATAAGCAAGTTGAATAAATACATATAGATTGAATCAGCTTTTTTTTATATGAATTAGATACCTATTTATTATCTACCAATTTGTACTCTGAAGTTTCGAAGGCATGAAGGTGCATACCTACTTGGCTATCAAAACTTATGGGAACTTTTACTGATGAGCCTTCCTATTTGCTTTAACTTAATTTAAAAGAAATAATAATTATATTTCGTGATAGCTCTTTGATTAATGATTTAATACATGCGACATTTTTTTGTTTGCTTACCACCTACGTGCAGTTCGTTTTCATAGCCGTAACTAAATATACACGTATCTCGTGGTTCCTTTCATTATGTAAATTTTCTCTCCCTCTTGGAAATTTTTTTCTGCCAAGAGCAAAAAGGTTTTTAGAATTGGTATAAGTTGGTATGTACATAGGTACCTATCAAGAGTTAGAGAAAACTAATAGATATTTTATGTGAATTCGATTCATTAATGAGATCCCAGCAGTATTGTTACATTTAATAAATTTTTTATTTTTATTATAAAAATTAATTTTTTATAAATTTGCACCTTATCTTTTTATTTTAAGAATAAAATAATTATTTGGTTTATTTGCCTATTATAAAAGGAAATGACTAAAAAATTTTGAAGTAGGTAGTTGAAGGAAATTCAAAATCACTAGTATCTGGAAACTATACCTAATTAAGGCCAAAGCACTATTTTGTGTCAGCTAGTTCAGCTAGGTATTGTTGTTTCTTCTACTGTTTCAGGTTCGGTTATATTTTATTAGCTGTCGAGTTTGTATGTCATTTCGTTTGATGGTACATTTAAAGTAATATACTAAATTGGTGTCTGTTTTAATATTTTTCTTAATTCAATTGGTCATTGATATACCTGCCTGCTTTAGCACACATACTTATATGGAAAATGCAAATAGATTAATCAAAGAAACCAAAAGATTATTTTCAGCAAAGAAAGCAAAAATTATTTGAAAATTTATTTTCAAAATAAAAATATAATAGATAACTTCCAAAAAAAATTAAAAGCCAAACTATTGTGCAATTAAAATGCACGTGCAAATGCAAAATACGTACCTACTATAGTAATTCGAAACGTTTCATAATTATAAGTATACAGTTTTTCTCTTTTGCTACATCTGTTAGCTCAAAATGATAAACAATAGTTCTTGCACTCTATTGTCCAAAAATTCGCGCATTTTTATTCCTTGATCAATCAATGTATCGATAAATTTGATCATAATTCTGATTTCGCGATTTTCGCAAAAAATAAATATATATACATGTATTGATATTGTTCAATTATAACTTGTAGAATTAGCAGTTTATAATTTGCTGCTAATTTGCTAAATCAATTTTGATCAGTCCCAGTATAAAAAAACAAAACTGAGAAAAAAAGATACCAATTTCAAAATAATTTTTTCAAAAATGTTATAACTACAATTTTCTAAAAAAATTTTGAAATTTTGCCTTTGTAAATTAACTTGTTAAATATTAAGTTTGGAAATAGTTAAAAAAATTTGTAAGTCATCCAATTTTTTTTTATATTTTTAGACAATAAAACCTTTATCGTAAGTTTAATTTGTAGTTCATTAATTTAATTTACATGAAAGTATCAAAATCATTTGGAACAAGAATAATGTTAAAATTTCATATAGCATCTTTATAATTAAAACCTACTTACTTAATTAAACTTTAATAAAGTTTATTTTTAATTGTATATTTCAGGTTGGACAAGCAACAAGTACTCCAAATGAAACAATTCCAACAAAATGTGTTTGGTGTGGACAAGTTCTCACTCCAAATGATCATCCAAAACTCTTAGAATGTCTCCATGTTGCTTGTGGACAATGTATTAACACCAAGTTCACAGAAGTGGATCGTACTATGCCACCGATAATACATTGTCCATTATGCAATATGGCAAGTCAAAATGACTTTATTATTGATAACCAGTTTTTAATAGAATCAATTAACTCCAGTGATGATAATCAATCCCTAGAAGGTGATAAATCATCGGTAAGAAAATATTCTGGATTTTAGCTGCATATGTAGCTGAACAAAATGAATTATTAGTGATAAATTTAATCGAAAATGAAATTTATGGTTTTCAAAATAATTTGTATTTTTTACAGGCTCAGGTAAAATGCAGCAATTGCAGTGATGAAGCAACAGCGACTTCTTGGTGTGTGGATTGTTCAGAGTTTATTTGTGATAATTGTGTCCAAGCACATCTTCGTTTGAAAATAACAAAAGATCATACCATCAAGCCAAAAGATGAAGCTAATTGCGATTTGCAAAACAATAACAATAATGCCAATCGCAGTTTAATGTGTTCAACACATCCACAAGAAAAATTATCATTATTTTGCGAAACTTGTGATAAATTGACTTGTAGAGATTGTCAGTTGGCAAATCATCGGGATCATAAATATAAATTTGCACATGAAATTGCTACTGAAACAAGAAATCAACTCACTTCACTATTAAGTGATATTAATTATAAAAGATTTCTTTTAACTAGTGCAAAAAAAGTTATTGATGACCGTCAAAATTTAATTATGGAACGAAAAAAAGATATGATCAAAGATATTACAGCAATGGTTGTTAAAATAACCAACACAGTTAATGCTCGAGGCAAGCAGTTGGCAATGAGAGTAAATGAAGTTTGTGATGCTAAATTAAAGGTACTGTGTGAAAAAAAGGAGGCTTTACAGTTGCTCTCGGACAATACAGACCATTGCATTGATTTTGTTTCAAATGCCCTAGAAAAAGGGAGTGATGGAGCAGTTTTATATAGTAAAAAATCGTTGTCAAGACATTTACAAAAGCTAAAATGTCAACGGGCTGATATTCCAAACCCAGAAATTCCAGTTCGATTAAATATTCAATTAAATCAAGTGAGCGAGTTGCAAAAAGGTTGTCTTTAACTATTTGTATGGTTTTTACTTCTATTTAAATTTTTTTTTTTTCAGTTATATCTCAAATGGGTACAATTCTTGTTGATGGAAAACCATACCCCTCGCAACCGCAACTGAACGTTCCACCACGACAGGCTGTTAGTCCAAACATGGCTCCGCCTCTAAGACCTGGATTACAACCACCGGCTTTGCAACAAATTCCTTCTGGACACCAACCTCCTGTTCCTACAAATAATTATCAAAACGGATCACCATACCATAATGCCCCATCACAACCGTTTAATAGCATGCAGATGAACAGACAATATCCAAATGATGCTCAAAGTTTGTATTTTTTTTGGTAGAAACTAAAGTTTCTTTAATATACTTGGAACAAACTAATTATGAAATATGAAATACAATATATGATAGAATATTATGAATGAATATGTATTTAAATTTCAGGAATGAATGGATATCCAGGAATGGGGCCTGGTTCTATGCAAAGGCAACCTGGGCAGCCGCTTGTTAGTTCTTCCACACATCCTCAAAATATAGGTATGTAAACAATTTTATTTATTATCTAAATAGTTAAAGTTAATTTTGTTTTGAATAAATATAAAATATTTTATTTTTTGTTGAAGTTAATCAAAATCCAAATCATATGGGTTTTGGTAATCCAAGTATGCAACAAAACGGACCATCGCCTCCAAATATTCAACATCAGATGCGACAGCATTTTATGAGTGGAAACCCTGTTCAAAATCCAAATCACCAATGTCAAAATTTTCAGCAAAACCAGGTTGGACCTAATGGACCTCCTGGAGCATTTATGAATAGTGGACCTAGGTTTCAAAATTTTCAACGCATGACTCCTAATCATCTTCAAGGCATGTCAGGCACAAGTCCTATCAGCAATAATGTTGCAGGACCTATTCGCCCGATGATGCAAAACGTAAGCTTGAGAAAATTCTTATTTAGAAAAATAAATAGTAAAAAAATTTTAGTCAATGGGTTATGGAGTACCACAAAATACATATAACCAAGGGGGTCAAACAAATCAACCGATTAACGTTCAAATGGGACTAAGCATGCCAAACACAGCGAATCACTCTGTTGGAGCTAAATGGCACATTCCTCAGTCGGCGCAACAAGATAGTGGTAAAAAAAAAATTTCATCAAATTTTGACAATTAATGTACAAATATTTATAATAGGCGCAGTGTGTATTCAACAAAATCCTTTGCTACAGTTTCCTAACGGTCAACAAAGAGAAAATTTTAAAATATCTTTGAAATCCCCAAATACTATTAAAAATACCACACCACCAGCCACAACCCCTAATCCAAGTGTGCAGCCAAGTATATTACCCAATGTAACCTCTACAAATCCAAAAACACCGAGTCCGAGCACCAATGATGTATGTTTGGCATTAAAGATTAAAAATTACAGGGAAATTTATATATATACATATTTACTCGATTTTAGGCGTCCAAGGATTTTACAGAGCCAATAGATAAAGTAAGAGAAGATTCAATCAACGATTTGATGGCTACAATCGCTAAATTAGACTCAAATGGAGTTCAAGTTCTAGCTGAAGGAAGAAATAAAACAACTTCTCCACAAGTTCACAGTTCCACTGATTTAACAAATACTCAAGAAGGTAGTTTATAGAAAATATGCCTTATTTACTACTTTTAATGCTACTTTGTTTTTAAAAGACGCGAGATTGTAAATTGTATAGTTGGGGTAACAGTGTACCGCTATCAGCGTATAACAATCTATTATGCCCTTCTCCAACAGTGCGGCACGTCCCTACCCATACCCATAACAAATATATAGTTAGTCAGTATCTTCCTTATCCTGCGGGTGAGAATTTCACAATCCCCACAACGGTCAGAATTCTCGACTGGTCCTTGCCCAACTTGATGAATGTTATATTTATAATAATTTCATTGGACTGTCGAAGTCTCAGAAGATCCATCCAGTAATCCAAACGCCTCTTCTCCAATTCCTTTTGTAAGTCTCCACGAACGGTTTATTCATTGACCTTTCGGGCCTTTGATTCGGATCGAACTGAAAATGAATTCAGCGCTTTGGTGGCGGTAATATTTTCTTTCAAGGTTGAACTGCATGCATATGCTAATGGCGAGACCCTCCGCTCGAAAAACGCAACCACCGTCTTTTATGATAGGAGCGCTAACATAGGCATCGCTATCGTTCTAAAAATCTACCCCATAATATATAATAGAAAGGAGATTAATACCACTCTTGCTATCCGCTAGAATCCAAAGACTCGAGAGTCAAGCTTACTCCTTTCGAATATTTTTATAAAGAAATGCAAGACCTGCTTCAGACCAGGTTGCAGAAGTAGACGCAAGACCTTTCTTCGGAAGCGAACCGTGTAAGCGTGGTATTCCCTCCAGGGTTTCTAAAGGAAGGTGCCCAATCAGCCACCCCACACCAAAACGGAGCATTCTAATATCCGATATAGAAACCTTCCTCGAAACCCTCAGGTGAAACTCTTGTAATAAAAGTTGAAGAACTCATTACATTGAATATCTAGGTTTTCTTTAATTTTATATTTCAACCATGACTCGCATATGTTATTAGAATCGTTTCAGCCACATGTCTTATTATGACATGTCTCAACCAGCTTTTATTGCTAGAACAGAATGCTGAACATCTTTGTAGAACGGATGCTATCCTGGCATGGTAGAGGCTCACTTTGATTCTCCCTGGAGCCCTCATTCCTCCTTTCTTCTGTTTCCTACCGATGCATCTCTCTTGCTGATTCACTGCTTCACGGGAGGTCTACAGTATATAACAGGAAGGAGGCTTTATTATGAATGTAGAGGGTTTGCTCCGACCATTCTTCTTTTCATTGTTCGCGCCACGGTCTTTACAAGGGTCATGATAGGGTTTGATCTCCATTATTTTTGCAACTCCCTCCCTTTTCGTACAACCTGCGTTGTCCCGTTTTGATCTGTTACAGTAACTGCAATTTTTTTAAAATTTATTATAGTTCATTATTGTTTTTGCAACCAATCTTTAAAATTAAAAAAAAAAACTTTTTTCTTTCTTAAATTAAAAACATAAAGAAAAACATGATATGAAAGACGATCCTAATGAAGACTGGTGTGCTGTGTGTTTGGATGGTGGAGAATTAATGTGTTGCGATAAATGTCCGAAAGTGTTTCACCAGAGTTGTCATATACCCGCTATTAGTTCTTTACCAGATGAAAGTGAAACTTGGCAGTGTTTATTGTGTGTAAATATGGAGGCACTTACTGCTCAAGCTGAACAAAAAGTAAATAACACAGGGGAGCTTTTACCTTGTGAACTAAAAATTATTCAACGTATTTGCTTAGAGTTATATTGTCAATATGAACAAAGCTTACCATTTAGAGAGCCAGAACCTCAAAGCAATACAAGTTACTATGAAATTGTTTGCAAGTAATTGAAATATTTAAAATGTGGATACCATAAGTTTTTCTGAACTTTCTAAATAAATTTTAGCCCAATATCATTGGACGAAATTCGAAGTCGATTAGACCCTCATAAACCAAATCATTATAAGGACATAGGATCTTTCGTTCGTGATGTAAGGTTGTTATTTAAAAACGTTCATCTTTTTTATCAGGCAAGTTTTGTATTGTTTATATTTTAAACTTTATAAGTTGCATATTTCGTGTTGCGATACGTAATGAACAAAATTAAATATTGATATTAATAAAAATCAAACATATATAAAAGTTTAATTAAAAATGCGATAAAACAAATGTTCAGCAAACGAATAAAACATTTAAGTAACTTAATTCCAACCAGAAACAAATAACACATATCGCAAGTATGGACAACTTCGTCCTCTCAATTAACATTTTTTTTGTGTTAATGTTTTTGTATTAGCAAAATTTAGTAAAAGTATCATTTTAAAGATGATTTTAAATTGACGTATTTCATCAACATCTTCATTTATTTTCAAATCCATATGATTTTAACAGAACAAAAATCTTAAAGTAAACAAACTCCATGAAAATTCAATGCTAATAATCAGTGCATTCATTTCTCATGTTAATTGAAAATGTTCATTCGTACGTTGTAACATAATTTAATTTCTATTTAACGCATAAATATTAAAGTTATGTTTATTTTTAAGGAGGATTCAAAAACATTTACCAAGGCCAGGTATTTGGAAAGTTTTTTTGATGAACAATTACGTAAGTGGCTACCAAAACACACTAATACAAAATCTAGCGAGGGTAGCAATAATGAAACAACTAGTAATGAAGAGAGTTCTGCAAAGATCACTGAAAGAACATATGATGATGGAAACGGTACAAACAGAAATGAAAATGTACCAAATAATACGAAAGATCGAAATTGTTCTGAGGAACCTCCACAAAAAAAATCAAAAGTTTAGATTTGTAATTTAATATTATGGTTTAAGTATTTCGTGTAACAAATAGGAAAATTTTCACAAAACTTTTTTTTTTTTAATATTCTCATGATGATATAAATTTGACTTTTAATTTCTCAAAAGAGTTGCAGCGTTTGCTATTAAAGAATGTGTATAAGATGATACAGCTTTACTCTAAGCATTTTAGCACTATATCGTAACCAAAAAAAAGTATTATATTATAATATGTATATTATATAGATTTACAGAACTCCGTACATAATAATGAGAGTTCTGATTCGCATTAAGTAGTGCGATAAAAAATAACTATTGATCTATTATTATGAAACATCCAAATTACGGGGAAAGAATACTATGAAAATTATTTCTTTAATTTGGTTTAAAATAATAGACTTGATATTTATTACCAACATGACAATGGAACTTATTATTTAAATTTGTCAAATTTATCAAAAACTTGATATTTTTTCTATATGATCTTGAATTCAATTTGTTATTCTTATGCTTCACAAGCTTTTAATTCCTAACTTCAATTATCGCCATTTTTTCCTACTAGAAAGTATGAAAATATGTACGTTATGCAGAGATTATAATAGAAGCATATTAATGAAAAAGCAAATTTGTTCAAAACGTATGCATTGTAAAACAAATTGCATGAGTTGGGTTATACACAAATTTCCATATTTCCTGTTTTCATTTATGTTTTTTTTTTTAATTACAATAATTTAAAATAATTTCAAATTTGTATAACTAAAATTCACAAAAGAATGACTAAAAAGATTTGTTTTAATAGAAACAAACCTGATATGTTATTAATGAGGTGAAGAATGATATATTATTATAGGTATCATTGCACTTGAATTGGTTATGTTAAATTAAACTGAAACTACTGTCTTCCTTAAATTTTTTGTTCAATTTAATAGATACCTACTTAATATGTGCACATATATTGTAATTGATTTTATATGACATATTCAACACAGATGTGCGAGATATGGATAAAAGTTTCGCATAAAATTTCAACGGGCAAATTAATGGCGGCAAATGCTTTTTTATCACTACATGGGACACATTCATAATGTACTTTTTATGGAATAATACATAAAAAAAGGTTTTGCCTGTCATTGAAATTTTAAGCTACACTTTATTCATATCTTTTTTTTAATTATTTGTTAAACTAGTAGTATATGAGTTTAAGATTTCCTTGAAAGCAGGTAAAAGTAAAAAAGAATTATATTAAAGTTTTAGTTTTGATTGCACAAACCATTTAATTTAGTCTTCAGTGTTTTCTGCTAACTAGCTTTCAGCTATTCAGTTTTAAGCAATTTATACGTAGCAAGATTATCCTAATTGTTCTCTTGTCAGAATTACATATATTAACAAAAATCAACATACATACATATTTTGTATAATTTTATTACATAATTTTAATGTTTTGTTTTAATAAAAGAGCGTAGCCGGAAGTAAAGAGTTTTTTTCAATTATATGTACATATCTGTCTAACCTAGACACTTAGCAACATTTTACGAGAAAAACGGTTACTCTTGCAACGGGAATTTAAATTTTTTTTTTCCATTTTTGAAAAATTTCTGATAGTTTTCTGCGATGTATCTAATTTAAATTGGACATTTAAGCATCACAAAATAAGTTTATGCTTTAGTTACTATTTACATTTATACGAAAAAATCTAAAAGATTTAATCTGAAAATAACCGAAAACCAAATTATGTACATATGTAAAAAGTATCAGTTAATCGCAACATTTTAAATTCATGTTTTTTGTTCAATCGTTTATTACCAGAGTTCGTGCGGGAAGCAGTAATTTCGTCAATAAAAAAGAATCATACTAATATCATTTTATTTCATCAAGTGATATTGTAAGAAAATAATCCCTATCTAGCAAATTTTCTGGCTCAATATGGGGGTTACGGGTATATCATCCACTGATGAGTTCCATCTACATTGTATTTGTCTAGCCGATGAGTTTAAGTGGTCTGACCCTTTTTAGTCGTCTATGTACTTGACCAACCTCGTATCTCGGGGTTATCATGAGGGAGTAATCTTGATTGATTATTGATTGCATACTTCTTTATTTCATCTTTGGATGTCGGCACGTTTAGATTTTGATATAGAGTATCATTACTTACGTACCATGGTGCATTTACAATGATTCGGAGGACATTGTTTTGGAAAGTTTGGATAATTTTCAAATTGGATTCTTTGGAATGAGACTTGCAATTTATTAGCTTCTTCAACAGTTTTACCGGTCGCTAATATTTCCGTATCGTCTGCAAAAGTTGCTAAGAAAGTTTCTTCACTTTGCGGGATATCTCCGGTGTAAAGCAAGTACAAAAGAGGTCCCAGCACACTTCCCTGAGGCACACCAGCCCTCAAATTTTTAAAGATGGAGTACTCTTCCTCAAATTTTATGAATATTCTGTTAGAGAGATAGGACTTTAATATTTTTGGAAATGGCTCCGGCAGAAACTCCTGTCGAACCCGGTCGAACGTCTGGGCTACGTCCAAGAAGTAAGTTGAGCAATATTCTTTTGTTTTCAATGGCGTTCGTTAGTCTGTGTGCTTGGTCGATAGTGGAATTCTTAGACCGAAACCGAAACTGATGGTCAGAGATGAGACCTCTATTTTCTATTATTGGTTTCAGGCGATTCAATAAAACCCTTTCAAACAGCTTCGACAACACCGGTAGGAGTGATATAGGTCTATACGACTTCATTTCATTGGCAGGTTTTCCAGGCTTGGGTACCATGATGATTTCTGCGAGTTTCCACTGAGCTGGGACATGATTAAGCCTCAGCGACGCATTGAAGAGAAAAAGCATCTTTTTTATAGCAATTTCTGGCAGCTCTTTCACTATTTCAGCTGTTATCAACTCTTAATATCAAAATAACAAATCAAATAAAGTCTATTCATATATAGACACTTCAAATAAAACAATAGCTATATCTACAAATAAATAGATATACTTGAGATAAGTAGAATATTATTAATTTTAACATTCGCTGCTTAATATTACTTACGTGTGTTAAAGTTAGAAATATTAAACTGATGGCTCAGACTTCAAAACTAGTTTTTAATTCGGGTATTTTGACAAGATCAGGGTCCACGCTCACGTTGTCGTTACCATAACTACGTGTCATTGCCGGTTAAACATCAACGTTCCAATTTCTCTTCCCGTTATAAGAGGAAATACCCCGTTATAAGAACGCAAAATTCTATTTACAGTGTTTGTTCCAGCACTTTTATAATAATATCTCTGTATTTCGTCATCAATTTTTTCGATTGACCGGAACTAGCAGGATTTATTTGTCACATAACCAAATCGTCCGACAATATTTGGCACCTCCTTTTCACTATTTCTTCAAAATATGTACATATGTAGTTGTCTCTGTTATTTTTTCGTGAATACGGTATTTTATTTTTTTTTAAAGCATTTCTCGGTAGAAAATCAAAAAGAATTTCTTGAGTAATTTTTACATGCTATATCACATATGATTTACATAATTCTTCAAACGTTTAGAAGGAAACGCAAGTCAATGGTTTGTTAAAATTCGCGCTAGCATTCTAACAAAACTAAACAAATTTCAAATGTTTTATAAGAGGTGTTGTGAGGGGTGCTAAATAAATCAGAAATTCCGACTACACATATACCTACATATGTGTATACGAAAGTAAATTACATACATGTATTTCTTAATACTTAACTTATGATAATTGACTAAAAGTTATTGTTGTTCTACCATGTTTTTGTGTCAATATTCCCCAAAGAAAGGCACGGAAGTCCTGCCTTAGCCCTTGAGCGTAAATCGAGAAGTCTCGTTTGTTTCAGTCTTTCTGTCCTGAATATTTACACGCTGCTCCAAATGCGCGCTCTATGTTTAATGGCACAGCCAAATCCCTATTAGTGTCACTATGGCGCACATATCAGCGAATCTTGTTCAATTTTACATTTGCTTTATATGGAGTTATTTGGAATAACAACCTAGCTACATATATACTATGCGTCTATATTATTGATTACTGCTTAATTATTTGGTTATAATATATCAACGCTTTGTTGTATGTTATATACGACCTATGACCTGGGCTAATAGTTTTTTCTACATCTGTTTTATAATTCTATCCTTGATTTGTTCTTTCCATCTGAGATCAACAATTATTTTATTGTTTGGGGGGCGCGACTCTTGCCATTTACGTCTGATCCTTCTTTTTTAAGTTTTACGTCTTTGAGGATGCTTAATAATTGCATGTAATTTGTTATTTTACCACTATTACCACTGGAGCAGATTTACATGTTTTATGTCCCAATATTTTTATTGGCGGAGATCTGTTATATTTCTGTTAAACTTTTGGATTTTCTCTTCTTTAAGTTTCTCATGGTTTTAAGGATCTAATCGGTTTTCCTAGCCAATTCTTCCTTATTTATTTCTTACACCACAACATGAATTTTTTTATTCTCGGTACTATTTATATAATAAACCATAATTTTCGATTTAATACCAAAAATAAAAATTAAATTTTCTTCCATGAGTTTGCAGATTTCATTTTTCAGTTCCTTACACAAGTTTTCTAAATTGCTTATACTCGAATCCATTATTACTTTGCTTTCTTGATGTAATAGGCTCTTTATATTACATATTTCTTTTAAACTACCTCCATAAGGAAAAATCTTATAACATTAGAGGTCCTGGCAATATTCATTTATTTCGCCATTATATGAGAAGCATGCAACAATTGGTCGAACAATGATACTACTTACATGTTCAAACAATTATTTTCTGGATTGATCTCATGTTTCTTCACACAGTCTCGTTGAAGCCTATAAAACTCGAGTGGTGCTAATTTAGATCAGGCCTGTAGTTCAGTCGCCCATCCAGCATCACCTCTGGATACCTGACCTCCATTGACGGTTCGATAATTTTACTCCCCAAGAACAATAATCCTTTCTTAGAAAGCCGATTTCCGGGAGTTGTGGGGTCATTTTGAGTTCCTTCGAAAAAAGTTCGTCAAGCCAAAATTTCTTTGTTTTGATATATGAGGGCCCTATGATAACGTTGCTAGACGTTTTTCATTTAAACCGGCTAACCATTCTACGCAGGCAGCATTCATTTTTCTTAGCTTTTAATTTTTGGGACGGCCAACTCCCTTCAAACGATTGTTTGAGCAGGAGGCTCAAATCCTCGGAGAATCTCTTTTCTTTTCAAAAACTGTGGCTTCACGCTTTGATTTCGCTGGTTGAAGATATTTTTAAATATTTCTTCTTGAACAAGGGCAAGTTCAATCCTGGCACTTCCTGTAATCCGTTAGTAAATCCACGCGACACTGGTAGTCATTGTGGATTTTAAATTATTATAAAATTTTAAAATCACTATCATAATAAATAAATATAAAATAAAACCTAAAATCAAATAATTACAAACTTAAATTCTAAATTTAAATCTAGCAAAATTTTTATTAACTTTGTTTTAAGTCGTGTATTCTAGACTAAAAATATAGCACAAATTTTATTTTATTCAGTGTATGTATTATCGTTTTTTACTTTCAATTCTCTCAGATATGTTGTCCGAAATTTGAATTTTTGGTATGTTGTCCAGAAAAATCCAAATTTCATTTTAATATAAAAGCTTTTAGGTCACTTTTCTAATATAAGTTTTTTTAGTCAACTTTTCGTATAGAAAACTCGAAATGAAAATAGGCAAAATCATAATTTTTCCAAAAAAACAACAAAAAGTGAAAAGTGATTCTTCGGAAATGCCATTTCGTCAAAAACACATATGCAATTTTACAAACCCATTCACAAGGAAAGCAGGGTCCGGACCTTGATTTTTTGTAAGATGCCTGTGTAATATTTTACTCACGGCTGACCGAAATATCTAATTTTTTGTAATGTCAAGATTTTACTATACATATGTAGACCACGGCTGACAGCATTTTTTATGTCAAGTATAAGTTGCAAGCATAATAAATTAATATGCCTTTGCATTAGAATGTAAACTTATTTCATAGAAAGAATAATAAATAAAAAGTTGTTTATTGAATTAATATTTTCTTTATTTTTCATTGGTTTAATGTAAAGAATTTTCTTATTTAATTTGCTTAAAATTTGTTTAACTAAAAAAAAAACTTAAACTAAATAGCTGTGTTTAAATCGAAATGTTTAAATCGAATCTTACTGCTTTGGAGCACGTTACTCCCTCAAAATTTGATTGCAATGGTAATTTATGAATTTTTTTAAATTTTTTTACAAGAACTATTAGTTTGCAATTTTAGATAGGAAGGAGTTTGCTGCAATGGTTTTGTGGTTAGAAGATATGAAAATACGTAATCTACGAATTGAAAACCGTGAAGCCTTAAGAAAAATAGACAATCTACAGCAGTGGGAAAAGGAATACACAAAGTATAAAGCAAATTTGGGTATGCCAGTTTTTAACAAACCTGCTGAAGAAATGGCTTGGCTACTTAGCCACGCTGTTCGTTTGGAATATTTGGATTGTCCTGCTCGATACAAAGACATCACCTCTGTTAATGTAGAAAACAAACGAAAAAGCTCTAACACAAATGTTCCAAATATGAAGTCTAAAAACGTATTTGATAATATGGATTGTAAGATATTTTTAATTTAGGTGTAGCTCAAGTTTACTATCAATATACTTTATTCAAAAATTAAATTTTAAATATTGAATAAAATAAATTTATAAGGAACTATAAGTTGCATTCGCAATACAAGTTTACCTTACAAAACCAGCGATTAATTTTGATATTTAATTTTAGATTCACATCCGGATTTCGAACAAGGGGTGAGAACACTAGCTAGTCAGCTTGGATTTGTAAACTATTTAAGTCATGAAGTTTTATTAGAAGCCGCAGCTATTTTTATAAACAAAAATAAAGACATCCTTGCTGGAAAACGTACCCAAGTTACTGGTTCACCTTTATCGTTTGAAGAGAAATATATTGTGTCTAAGGATCGTCGTCTTGACTTAGCTGTAAGAATCATGAGATTCAACCAAATTTATAAATTGAGAGACTTGCAAACTAAAATCAATGAGGCTATAGTGGCCGTTCAAAACGTTACAGCAGATCCAAAAACTGATACTAAATTGGGAAAAGTTGGCTTTTGAAAAAATCTTTTTGGAATTAATAAGAATCAAGTTTTATTAAAATACTTGTATAATACATGTGTCTACACCAATAAAAGCAAAATACTTGTCATGTGAAAAAAAGTAAAAATTACCATATCTTTTTTTCTATAATTACTTAATAAATATTACAATATTATGCAACATAAAAGTAAGCTATAATAAAACTGAGCCATAACAAATAAATAAAGCTACATATAGTAACGAATGTGCATACATAAGCGACTTTTTATTAAAGAATTATAATTTTACTACTAGTTGAAAAACAAAACATCAATTGTTTTTATATTCATTGTTAGTACATTTGTTATTTAAAAACCACAAAACCCCAAATAGAAAACTTGGAGGACTATTAATGACAGATCCTTGAATCAAAGCTGCTGCTTCAGGAATAGAATATTCAACAACTTCAATAATTTCATCGTCAATGCCACCTCCCTTGTTTACTTTTTGTTCTTCAGTAACTTCACAAAAGAACATTTCTTGTTCAGCACCTGAAGTTCCTACGTTGCACCTAGAAACATAATATCCATAAAAATGTATACGTTAGTTCCAGATTTTTTAATTAAAACAATTAGTATGGCAACAAGAGTGAGGTTACTTAAACACTGCATTTAAATTATATTTTAACAAAAAGGAGAATAGCAAACAATTTCTTATTTTAATATCGATTTTTAAATTATAGCTAAATTATATTCGCATATTATATAATAAGTTAAGTAAAACTTATGTATAATATCCAAAACTTCATATAATTTGATTATATGAAGATACAAAATTAGGTTTTGTAACTTCATCAATTAGGTATCAAATATTGGACATGAAGTTCATGTCCAATATTTAATCTAACTTCATGTCCAATATTTGATATAACTTCATGTCCAATATTTTATATAACTTAATCGTCTGATGTACATAAACAAGATCAAATAAAAAATGAGATCGAATGAAAAATGAATGAGGTTTTATGAAATTATCTGATAAATAAAACAATGTTTTGCAATAATGATATACTTATTTATATATGCCTACTTGGCCATCGACTGATTTGATTCTGCAATATTTATTTTTCATTATAATATCTACATGTATGTTTGTACATACTTGCATAAGCGTTAATTTATTGTGTATGAATTATTAAACATACAAACCTGAACTTAAGAACACTTTCTAAACTATCTAACGGAACTTCATAGCCACATTCTTCCAAAACTTCTTCCTTTGCTATTTCCTTAAAAGATTTATTTTTATCTACAATTCCTGCACATAACTCAAGAGTTATTGCTAACTTTGGTGGAAATTTTTCAAAATCAATATTATTAATGTCGCCACAATTGCTAACAATTCCATAATATACCGCTTAAAAAAAATTATTTTTCCAAATAATTGTAAATAATTAGAAAGATTACTTACGTGGTCGGAATTGTTTAACGAAAACTAGACTTTTATTACTTTTGTTATATATTATTATTGAAACCGAGTCATGAACCTGCAGCAAGTCCCAATTTTTTTCTTTACCGTCTTGAATATAATATAGCCTTTTAGCTTTGATATAAGGAGAATCAACCGGCAAAGGTCCAGTCCACATTTTAGTTACTTTATCCATTTTCTTGAATATTTCAAAACAAACTAAAGAAACATGAAAATTTTTCATTAAGATTGGATTTCTAATCTCAATTCTTTATATCGCATTATACTAATAATTAATTTTGAGTGGATATCCAATTTTGAGAGCTAAAACATTATTTGATAAAAAGCTTTTTTTGATAAAAACATTATTGGATTTTACCAGTATAACAGAAACGAATGAAGAATAATATTTAACTGAAATTGATTATAGAAGATCAAAATAGAACTTGAATGTTTGCTGATTTCGAAATATCGGAATGCCATATTTGTCAGTAATTTATAATTTTGGTCATCCATCTGGTGCAAAGTAGCTCAAACTAATTCGATAAATAGTTTTTTGTTTGATGAATCGTCACATCTCGCAAAAACGATTGACAGCCATTTAAATTTTGGGCGGAATTTTATTTTCGTGGGATGTATCCGGTAATTCAGATACAATGTTCTCAATACTGGGGCTAAAGTACTTAGGTTTTTCATTGCTTAAACTAAGAACTTTAACTGTGCTAATTTCTTGAAATTGAAATGGGTTGTATGGGAATGTAATCGTAACCAAATAGCCAAAATTTTCATTATGCAAAAAAAGTTTTTTACATCACATCTGATATCCAACTGAAGAGAATTGAACAAACATACTGTTACTAAGTAAAAATGAGCAAAATGAGCCCCGAAAATGCGGCGAATAACCAAAGATATAACACTGACTCTCGGCCTAATCACGTATCTCGTTTTTTCATCTAATTTTTTATTCACTTTCAAGTCAAAATTGGAATAATAAAATATCTAATGGATTTCAATAAGATTACTAATTTTTTAATAGGACTTTTGCATTTTTTCTCAAATTATCGACATTTTAGAAAAAAAACAAGATACGCAATACCAAATAATTCTTCTCGCTCTAAAATTACATGATCAAACATATAATAATTACACCCAACCCTCGATTTGCACGGTAGATTGGTTCCTCAAAACTACCGTGTAAATCGAAAATCGTGCAAACCGAATCCACATTATTTTAATATTGAAAATTAGAGATATACATATTTTACAAATCCGCAATAGGTATGATATCAATGGACCATTCAGGAAATATTCCTCAAAAGGAAATAATGAAACCATGTTATTTATTTTTGTATAATCACTTGTGTTATTATTATGAATAAACTAACAAACAAAAATTTAAAAAAAGTTCATTTTTATTTGAAAAACAAGAAAAAATAGTTAAAAATGTTCATATATGTAATTTGAAAAGCAATAACAAAAATTAAAAAGTTCATTCTGTATCATCTTATATAACAGTGATTTATGATTGAAGAACGCTTTCTTTTAAACTTTACACTTTCGAAAAGAAATATGTACTGAAATATGTACATATAATTTATTCAACAATGTATTCAAGTCAGAATAAAGTGCTAGCTAGCAACGGTTTAAAATCTTACGCCTACTTAAATTTAAAAAAAATTTCTTCCTTGAAAACTATTTTTTTGTACATACATAATTTATTCAACTGTTTAAGTTTACTGTTTATATAAAAAAGTGCTACTTAGCAATGGTTTAAAATTTTGAAAACATTTTTTTTTAATTTATGTGATCGTGCGTCACATAGAGTAAAATAGTGCGATAGACGATCAGGCCCTAAATAAAATAAAATAAATATGTACGCTCCTGTTACTACTTTGAAAATTCTTAGAACAAAGAAAGAGACAAATTTTTAAGATACTCCTTCGCCTTCTTTAATATTTCTAATTCTTTGGTCATATGTATCTTTGAATAGGTCGATGTTTAATAATTTTTAGTGGAAAATGGAAAAAAACAAAGCTTATTATTTTTAATAAGATAACTGGAATAAAATTGAATTTTCTCACGTGAAAGACTTATTAATTTTTTTTACAATAACCACGTTTGTTCTGTTCTTCTTTATTGAAATATATTTGTTAGTAAATAATAATACAACGACACCTAATCTTATTACACTAATTTAATGACAAAAATTCATGAGCTAAATATTAAAATTTTATTTATATGGCAGTACCATTTTTTGAAGACAAACTGTGATAAAACAAAAATCTGGTTGGCTGAAAAGCTGTCAAAAGATTGAATAAAAATAAAGAAAGCTATGTTGTTTAGTTTTTTAAGAAAATTTCGTAATATTAATGCAATAAAGTGTAATATAATAAAAAATATAATTATAAAAATTTGTAAATGAATTTGAAAGAGATAATATGAAGAATATCGTATTTTTTATTTTTTTTGCTATTTATTGGCGATTTTCAATTCCTTTGGATTCAATAGGATTTTCTGTGGAACAATCCACGAAGGTAAAATTCTAAAAGAACTTTAAGATCATATCCTTAAGGTTTCAAAATTATGTTTATCTTGTTAGGATTGTACAGCTCTTGCTAGAGATGATATAACACTGCTAGTGTTTTCAACATTGGGAGGCGGATTAATAGCTATCGATTCAATAACAAGCGAAATAAAATGGTCAATAGAGGATGGTAAGTTTACATTTATTTTCATTTAAGATAAATTCTTAGTTTTAAATAGAAACGATTCTTGTTTATTAAAAAAACAAAAAAAAAATTTTGTAACATGAAATTGATGTTATAAAGTAGTTACAATTTCTTAAAGCGTGGCATAACGCCCACAATTTACTTTTATGGGCGATATCAAAAACGACACTTTCAAAATTTGTTCTGTTTATTACACTTGAAAGTACATGTAAAAAGTTTTAAACAAATGTATATAAAATTTCGTTATCTATTTTGTAACCGATCAGAAAACTTGGACATTCATCCTATGCATCTTTGATAACTCAGGTTATTTGGTGACTCAGGTTATTTTTGTGAGAAATTATTATTTGTTGCACACTATTTAAAAAACAGAAAATGTTATGAAAATGAGATTGGTTTACGAAAAAAAATTATTTTCTAATGAAAAACGATAATTTTAAAATTAGGAAAATAATGGCTTGTTCTAGCAAAAATCTGAAAACGGTCAAATGAGACACATATACGAATACCATACAAGACGCTAGATATGCCATACTGTAAATGTTAGGTAAAAGATTTGAATCTTATTTAGACTACAAACACAATTTTTAAACTTGTAAAATTCACAAATTACTACGTAGATTTTGGACAATATTTTGTTGCACTTTAGACGATTTATTTAAATTTATTTCAGTTTTAACGAGAAGATAATTGTTTTTCGTATTGGTAGGTACATATGTATATGTACCTATGTACGTTTTTTTATTATTTTTATAAAGCTTAAAAAGTAAGGTTTTATATCGTCAAATAAAATAAAATGATGAACATATTTCAATTAATAATCATCAAAGTCCGCTCCATATATGTAGGTATATAATTTTTCTTTATGTTATAAGGTTTTGTATAATGCTGCACAATTCGAAAGACATAAAAAAGTACTTACGATACATGCATAATGTGAAAAAAAATTAGCTACATAAAAGGTTTTTGGACATTAGCCTTGCTACAACAAAAAATTTAAGTTGCTATTAATTATTACCTACATCAATTTGATAAAGGCCATAACTTCTTTTTTTTAAAAAAGTCTTAAGCTTTTGTATTTTAAAATTTCCAATAATGAAAAAAAATTAAATATTAAAAGGAAATTTTGAAATATAATGTTTTTTTACTTTTATCTCTAATTTAATTTTTGTACAAAATTTTAATTTGTATTCTTAACAGACATACAACATAAATACATACATATGTATATATTTTTTACGAAATTGAAAAAAATTTTAATTTGCAGAACCGGCAATCAAAGCAGAGCGTGAATCTCATTCTCCATTGCCACGAATATTACCAAATCCAAAAGATGGAAGTTTATACCAGTTGGATATGTTGGGAAATTTAAAAAAACTGCCTTTTACTGTACCACAGCTTGTTGCAAATGCCCCATGTCGTTCTTCGGATGGTATTTTGTATTCTGGAAAGAAAAGTGATTCATGGTATTTGGTAGACCCTAAAACTGGTGATCGCGAAAAAGTAATGGGCTTCAGTCATAAAGATGAAGATATTGAAAAACTAGAGTATGGTAAAATAGGATGCACAACATCATGTTCCGTTTATTTAGGTAGAACGCAGTATACTGTAATGATGTTAGATAGTTTATCAAAAAATAAAAACTTGAAACCTTGGAATATAACGTTTTATGATTATTTATCACATGTCATGGCACCAGAATCTTCAAGTGATTATGGATATATTCATTTAACAGCTTCTTCTTCGGGTGTTGTAGCTACTTTAAATAAACAAGGAAGCTTATTATGGAAAAAAGATTTAGGTAGTCCCATTATTTCAGCATATTTGCTTGGAAAAGAAGGATTATTGAGCGTGCCTTTTACAACTGTTGCAGATAATGTCTTAGAGAGCATTGTTCAAGATGCCAGGGATGATACAATTAATGAAATAAAATTATCGTTAGTTTGATAAATTTATTGTTAAAACAAAAAATTAGTTAAATTAAAATAACGTTTTCTTTTTAGACAATCCATTTATATTGGAGAGCATTCTCATGGTTTCTATGCTCTTCCATCATTAGTCGACGAAGATACAGCCCGATTGACATCGGTAACAAACATAAAATTGCTTGAAGGACCAGATAAAAAGGATGATCGCGTTAAACCAAACAGCATCTATATTACAGATTACTCCATTTTAGGACACTACGATATACATTCGAAGGGTAAATGAAAAACTCTTTAAAAATTATTTTTTTTATATAATTTAATATTGAACTAATTTAATTTTGAACTTATTTGATTTATTTTATCGTTAATTTTACTATTATTTCATTTTAATAACCATCCAGATTTATGGCAAAAAATATGCATAACAGAATTCGTTAATATTTTTTTACATAAAAATTTCTCAAAACAATAAAAATTAATTATAAAACAAAGTAAATATTAAAAATTGGGTAATTAAATAACGCGATAGCTTATTTCAATTCGTGGTAGTTTTTGGATCTAATCTTACTTCCAATATTTTCTAAAATATATTTTAAATTTTCTAAAGCTCAACATTTCATTAAAAAAATTTAAACCAATTTATCGCAGCTTGTTCTGAGCGGAGTTTGTTTTATAATTATTTTGTCTATAAATAAATCAAAGGAGAACTAAGAATGTCACTATAAAATTGTATCAAATAAATTCTTTGGGCAAAGGCCATTTTTAATTTTAAAAGCTAATGCTAACACCAATAAAATCCTTACTCTACAGAAGCTTGATTTCCATTTGTTTTATACGTACATTATAAATTTTTGTTGTACTTTTAAAAGACAATATGTTTTATTTATTTATTTCTATAACAATATTAAAGAAATTTAATTTTTAGCAATCTTTTTACATATTATTCAATGAATCATAATTTTTTATCTATAACAATGCAAAATAATTATAATTATAATTCCTTATTAGTTACTGTTGACGATTCAGTGCATAATAGCAAGGAGGTTTCCTCAAATTTTCAGCAAATAGAATTTAACAAAGATTTTGTCAAAGCAGCAGAAAATAGTTGTTTTTATTTTAATCACAGCAACAATGCACTCTCCAATTCAAGTCATATAACAAAATTTTTATATGATGCCAAGGCTTGGTTACCTTACTCACGTAATGACAATGTTTATCAATTATTGTTAATAGTAATTCTTCTGAGTATAACTTTAATGTGGTATGCTGGCTGCTCATCTCGGCAAGTATATTTTACATATTTGAGTGGCTCGCAATCTTCTAGCTTTAGAAAAAGTAGTAAACATCCTTTCAGTTATAAAGCCTTGGAAGAACTAGGGGATGGACAAGTTCGAGTTGGTAAAATAATTTTTGATCCGGAAAAAATTTTAGGCAAAGGATGTGAAGGAACTTTTGTTTTTCGGGGAACATTTGAGAAACGTAATGTTGCAGTCAAAAGACTTCTTCCTGAATGTTTTACTTTTGCTGACAGGGAAGTTGCTCTGTTGAGAGAAAGTGATACGCACGAGAATGTAATAAGATACTTTTGTACTGAACAAGATCGACAATTCCGGTACATTGCTTTAGAACTATGCGCTGCCACATTGCAAGATATTAGTGAAGGCTCCCGTTGTCATGAATTGTGTTCTGTTATCGATTTGTGGGATATATTAAAACAAGCCACATCTGGGTTATCTCACTTGCATTCTTTAAATATAGGTAAGATCTTAATTAAATGCACAAATGCGATTTAATAAATTCTTGTATCTTAGTACACCGAGATATAAAGCCTCAAAATGTATTACTATCATTTCCTGACTCAAATAATATGGTACGGGCAATGATTTCTGATTTTGGCTTATGTAAGAAGTTGAATCATGACAGTAAAAGTTTTTCGCGCCGATCAGGTATAACAGGAACTGAAGGTTGGATAGCACCAGAAATGATTTTGGGAAAAAGAACTGTAAAAATTTCAAATATTTTATTGCATTAAAGTTTTTATTGTGTTAACTAAATTTTCAGACAACAGCGGTGGATATTTTCTCGCTTGGCTGCGTATTTTATTATGTTTTAACCAGAGGTTACCACCTGTTTGGTGATACACTTAAAAGGCAGGCTAATATTCTAGCAAACGAATACAATTTGTGTGAATTACAAAACAAAAACTGTGAAAACTTGGAAAAAAGCAAATTGGTACATATATTGTTTTTTCATCTTTAATTAATCTCATCGAAATTTTTTGGTATATAGATCTTAGCAGAGCAGCTTATTGAAGATATGATACAGCATGAATCAGAAAAAAGGCCTGATGCTGAAGCAGTACATGCTCATCCTTTGTTTTGGAGTGAAGAAAAAATTTTGATATTCTTGCAAGATGTTAGCGACAGAGTAGAGAAACTTACAGTAGATGTAGAACCACTTTGTTATTTAGAAAAAAATGGTTGCATGATTGTTAACAACGATTGGAGTTTGTATTTAGAACCAGAAATAATAAATGATTTAAGAAAATATCGAGGTTATATTGGCGTTAGCGTACGAGACTTATTACGTGCTTTGAGAAACAAGGTAGTGATTTTTAAGGCATACATACACATATACATATGTATATTTATGTATGTACATATATTTACATATAAACTAAAAATAATTAAATATTAAATTCTTCCGTTTTTTAAATCTTATTTTAGAAACATCATTATCATGAACTTTCTCCTGAAGCTCAGCAAATGCTTGGAAGTTTACCGAAAGAATTTACAAAATATTGGATTTCTAAATTTCCATATCTGTTGCAACATGCTTATCACGCTTTAAGTTTCTGTTCTAATGAAAATCTCTTTAGGTGCTATTACAATCATAAATTTTCATTTTCAAAGCCTTCTTATTTCAATCAAAAAACTGATAATGATTTCTTCTTATTAGCAAGTAATAATAAATTTTATTCTAATGCGATATGTCCCACACGTGGTCTTAATAGAAATAATAAAAGGAATTTTGCAAAAAAATATAAAAATGGACAAAAAAACTCTAAAATTAATCAAAATGCAATAAAATCAAACATTGACACATGCGAGGAAAGTAAAAACATCGAAAACATACAAAACTGAAACAAAAACCTTTAAAAAATGATATTAGATTACTGATTTTAAATAAGGTATTTTTTATAAAGAAAATTTGAGAAATATTGTGTGAAACTTTCGTTTAATTTTGTGAGAATTCAGTATGGAGTTTTTATCATATAGGCTGTAGAAAACGGACCCAACCTTCCGTTATAAAAATTAATTTTTCATTTGAAGGTTTTTCTATTCATAGATAATGATAAATAATTTGCTGAAAAGTAGTTTGTGCTTCAGCTCACACAATTTATTTTTAATATAACAATTTTAATATAAAATGAAGTGATAATATTACTAAATTTAAAAAGGTTTATCTTTTTTTCCATTATGAATCTAATTTTGAAATTCAATTTTCTTATTCGCTTTTTTCCTCTTACTTCGTTATATATTAAATGATCGATTATGCTCTATACATCATATAGAATTTAGTGAGTGTATGTGTGCTCATATTACGATAAGTTTAAGATTAAAATTACTGTTGATACCGGCAAATAAAGTTCATTAAAAAATATATATTAAGGCTTCGAAAATGCGCCCATAAACATGAGCTTTGCATAGTATTGCATTAAATTTGTTATACATTGTTCAAAAATGTTTCCTGCACATAATTGATATGTAAAGTAAAAAAAAATCTAACCTTTTTTATACGTAATTACCAAAAATAAACAATTTATAAAACAGCATGTAATTTTCAAAAGTGAAGTACAGTAAAAATATTTTAGAACTTACTTTCGCTCTTGATCTTTCTCTTATTACTTAAATCCTCTTTCTCTTATTGGTCTTGATTCAAAAAGTCTTGTTTTTATTTTAATTTATTCAAAATTAAAATTTTAATTGTTTGTCTGTTTTTATTAGAAGCCTTTGACAGCCCAAAGTTTGTTATGAAGAACTAGGCACTAATGTACACATACAACTCTACTTGTATAAGAAAGAAAAAAAATAATGCAGATTACAAAGTAATAAATCGTATAACTACGCAGATTAAAAATCGCATGATTGCAAACGTAGTTGCATTTATCAGTTGAAATACAATATATGAAACTATAACCAAAATATTGTTACTCTATACCACTCTTTGTTAAATTTTTATGTCATAATTTTTTGATTATTAACAAAAAAGCATTTTATCTCTGAACTTTCCAAATAAATAAATTTTAAATTTATAAATATATGTATTATAATTGTCGAAATATTCACGCAGGGCATCTTTATAAAAAGGTAGCTCCACTGTCAAAGTTCACCTATAGCCCGGTTATATAATTTACTTAATTTCCTGAAAAAACAATAGTCAAAATATAAGCCGAGTGCGTATATTGAATGATATATAAATTGATTTATTTGTTTTTATCTTAATTTACTATTTTTAAATTTAGTCGTGCTAAGTTAATTAAAAATTATATTTCCGGTTTAGGGACCATTAGACAGATTTTTTCATTGGTTTTTTAGTTTATGATTAGTACAAATTTGTATATAAAAATATTTTATTGTATTTGTGATATCAACATATTGTGAATATTACGTAAACGTCTAATGTAAAAAGATTGTGTAAGATATATGTGAATATATAAAAAGTAATTTTAAGTAAGTAATATTAGTTGTATAGTTTTCATTTGTAAATAGGGTAATTCAAAAATAATTAAAATAATTTTCTAATTTTAATAAAAATTTTTACTAAACTAAACCAAATATTATGTATGTACTACTCTTTTTAAATATAATAAAAATTATTGTAAGAAAATATTTTTTAAAAAATATTCAATTTCATGGTTGTATATTTATATTTCAGAAAAAAAGGCTAATCTTTTCAACCACCTAAAAGGCATTGAATAAGTTTTGGTACTTGCATTTTTTCCAGCTTGAAAAATAATAGTTTTAGTCAAGCTTACAATTAAGATCTATAATGCCATAATGTTAATTTTCAGCAAGTTCAGATAGTAAGGCCTTCAATACGTAAAAATATATTCAGCCCTATCATGAATTCCACTTGTAGAAAACGAATTTCTTTCGTAGATATTATGAATCACCAATGGCAGTATCATTCTTCTATTACGAATGTTCGGAGCAGGATTTTAGTAATTCGTAATTAACATATCAATTACGACCATTCTAACTTTTCAGATTTTCAGAGTTGCGAACAAAATTTCTGATTATGTATTTTAAATTTTGTGGTATTGTTTATTAAATTGAAGGAATTCATATTTGCATTATCTTATTCTAAAATTTCAACTATAGCATTCAAAAGCTAGCAGAAAAAGTTTTTAATTTTGTAACAAAACAGTTGAACTGTTTACATCCGTCTAAAAGTTTGGTTGGTATGTAGTTAGATTTCAACTTTTTTTTCTCATGGAGCAAGTTTTTTTTTTAAAACTCATTTAAACATTGAAAAATCTCATTATTTGAGATAAATTGGTTCAAAATCGCGATATAATCAGTTCACTAAATTTTTTAATAATGATTATTATTTTAATATTTATTTTTCCGAAAGAAATATTAAAAATTTTTAATTTAACAAAATAATATTCACTAAAATTTTTCTTTTTTAAAACTATATTTAATTAATTTTACTTGATTTCCCGAGAAATGAAAAAAAAATCCATTTAATTCGAAAAAGACACTTTATTTGAGGTAATATATATACATATGTATGTACGCATTTATACATATGTTATGTATGTATGCATATTTTGTGTACTACAAACGCATTTTGTCGAAGTTGATTTTGTTCTATAGATTCAGATTTCGGTAAATGTATTGCAATTTAAAATACACCGACGAAGTTGGATTTTTTTACTGAATTGGTCAAATTTTTAGCAAAATTTTATTTTTTGTTTTGCATTTTAAATTATAAGATTGAAAAAAGAAACGTTGAAGAAAGGAACACTGTGATAATATGCAATATGATGTAAGTTCAGGTACACCGTGTTTGGAATTCTTGCTATTTCATTTGCGAAAATCTATTTGCTTAGTTTTCATTCATTTGCGACTTTATAAATTACCCATATTGTTTACACGAACTGCAAACATCCATGTTCCAGCTGATAAAATTAAGATAGAAGAAAATAAGGTAATAATTATCTAAAAAGAAAAAGATTATGCAAGAAATGAAAAAACAAAATAGCTATTTGATTTTTAACTTTTGAGAAAATCAAATAAATATTTTAATTGCTTTGTTTATAACAATAAATATCAAGTTTACAACAAATACTTTTTAATAAACGTACAATCAAGTACAATATAATGTAAATTTAACTAAAACATTATATAAATAAATTAACAAAATTATTATTTTTAAAACTTAACACAGATATTATATAGTATTATTAATAGTTTAGTTAGTTTACAACAACAAACATTTTAAGGAACAAATAAATGTTATTTAAAAAAAAATTATATTACAAATTTACATATTATTTATGTTAGTTATATAAATACTTTGGCAAACTTTAAAAATTACTTCAATTAAATATATTATAATAAATAGACTTTTTAAGCTTTGATAAGTTGACAAATGTTGTAATTTATGCTGACGTAAAACTTTCATTTGGTTTCTGCTTTATAAATTTGTGCTTTAAAATGTTTTTTTTTTTGTGCTATAGAAAATCACATTTTAAACTTTTCCACCTTGACGCATTTCGTTTCTTAAACAAGTTTTAAAAGCTGGCCAACCTTCAGATTTAGTTACAGACTGGAAATGAAAAGAACTTTAATAAATTATTTTGCACTAAAAATATAATTCAATTATTAATAATCATATATGTAGTTAATTTTCCCGAAATCTTAGAAGATGGAAAAAGTATTGTGTTACATAAATTAAAAAAAAAACAAAATATTTAGTTATGTGATTTATTTTTTAAATAAAAAATAGATTTTTTTTTTTTAGATTTAAAAATTTTTGTTTATTTGTTGCCAGTTTCAGATGGATTGAGATAATCAGAAAATTATTTCTTAGTCATTAATAGCACAGTTTTCGTGCAAAATAGTTTAAATTTTACCGAATCGAGTTTAAATAATTTTTTTTAAATAATACCTGATGGGACCAGAAAATTTTGTTCTGGCAATTAAGCTGTATATTGCCAAATGACAAAAGGATTTTTTTTGGTTTATAAATGTCAGTATTGATAATTAAAGTGTAAAAATAATAATACTAAACTGTAATCAAGATCAAAGATATAGGACTTAAATGGAAATTATTAAAGGGGAAAAAAATCTATATCTTAGGTAAGATACATCTGTAAATATCAGCATATTCTGTCTTCGATGTTTGAAGATTTATGTAAATCTATTTATGACATATAGAAAATATGAAAGAAATATAAATAAAAAGAAAATTTAGGAATATCATTTGAGAATTGATTAACTAAAGAATCAATTTAAGCATTAAATTCGTTATAATGGTATTACCTTAAAACCTCGATGTAGACGATCCTTCATAATTGCAATGAATTCTTTATATGAAAGCAAACCATCACCATCCTCATCGAAAATGGCGAACACAGTTTCTATCAAATGAGGAGTAAGCGTATAACCTGTGCAGATTTTGACAGCCCGAGAAAATTCATCTAAAAAAATACTTTTTGTTTTTATTCAAGAAGCTTAAAACAAGGATTTCAGTATAATCATTACCCTTTAAGTAATACTTAATATAACTTTTATTATTACGTATAATTTAAAATAATGAATTTTGATTAAAAAAGTGACTTTACTTTTTTATTTTTTTCTGTTATAATAAGAGTTAAAATTAGTCAGAATTTTCTTGATATTGAAAATTGAGAATTTTAAACGTTTCATTAATAAAGAATGAAGCAAATCATTTTCTATTATGAACGTTGCTTTCTAATTCAACTTCTTTTTTATTGCATTTTTTTTTTATTTCTTAATTAAATTTTAAGTAGTACATCTTAGTTAGTTAACTAACAAACCTTTGTTAGTTTTAATTGATTTTTGAATCTAGTTATGATACGAATATTTCAATTGATTATACGTTATCCTTCATAATAACTACAAAGATTAATTATACCTTTAGATATAGATCGATCAGCTAAAGTATACATTCTCATAGCAATAGCAAAATCTTCCAAATTATTTAGAAAACGGCAAAAATCTCTGAATTCGTTAAATGTAATTCCTTTTTCATCTTTAACTCTGTCTAAGAGCCTATCTAAATACATGTCGTATTCATCAGTGTCTAAATAAGTGTAACGTAATAATATTTTTGCAAAATCAACTTCAGTTATAGATTGTTTTCCTTTTGCAAATTCACTAAATTCTAATTCTAGGACTTCAGTTTGTAGATTATCCATGAATTTATGAAATCCCTCGTAATAAAGATCTTTTGAACCTTTCTTTCCAAAAAAATGTACTTGAAGAGTTGTGTTGACAACATGTTTTCGTTGCAATCCTTCGTTGTCCTCTACAATTTCTTTACGCTGAATAAATTCCGATGAAATAATAATATGATAATTATTATTATTATTATTATTATTTAATAATTTAAATTTATGAATTGTATTTTTATATGCATGTACATTTATGTTTTTTATTTGTTCATCTTATTTGCTTAAACTATTGTACTCTCTTAACTGAATAAATATTGACGTTCACATTTCACTTGCATTTAGTTTTTTTTATTAAATATACGTTAGATAATTTTAGGTATTTAATTTAACATACCTCGCCATTTTCTCCCGATTCTTCTGTTTCACCGTGGCGATCTTTCCAGGCTCCACTAAAAATCTTTTCCATCTGATTTAAAGATAATTTGAGTTTATTTATTTGAAAAACATTAATTAATTAATATTTTAATGCAGAATTTACATTTAAATTATAATAACACTTTTAATTAGAATGTGTTGAAAACCAAGGACTACATTAAGAATATCCCCTTCGTAATGTTTAGAATTTAAATTATTTTTTTAAAAATACATCTTAAGTTACTTAAGAAACAAATAAATATTTTAGATTAGCAAAATATTAGTTTATTTTAAATAGCATTCTTAATACACTTCTTTATTATTTAGAAAAATTAATTTTTATTTAAATCACTTAACATACTCGAAAGAAATATTCTGTATACTGCTTTTAAAATAAGATTTATGGAAAAATTTTGACAATAATTTTTTAACAATCAATTACAATTTTAAAAGAAATTGAATATGGTTTCGGGATATGTATGTATGTATGTATGTAATTAGTCATCATATTACGTAATATAAAAAATTGCAATGCACAATGTAGCCTCATGGTTTTTATTTAATTCATTACTAAAACCTATCAGCTGATAAGGTTTTTTTTTAATGACTTTCAAAAGCTTATTATAAACATTTTATTAATTTAAAATTTGCTTTTATGAAGAATTTCGAAATAAAAATAAGTTTAGTTAGTTTTTCGATAATATTTTAATCATATTAAAAAATCCTAAACAGGTTTTCAAACGCAAATCAATTTGCTTTAGTTCACATTATCAATCTGATAACGTGAACTAGAGCTGTGATCATTTATATAAAAACTTTATAAATAAAAAGCACATTTTCAATAATTCTTTACTTTGTTGATGAATTTTAAGAGTAGTTATATATGTAAATAGCAAATCAATATTCAAATAAATAAATTAAATTAACAAAATTAAAAAATTCAACTCATAAAACATTAAAAAACTGATAAAAACAAACCAAAACACACGAATATTTTCCAACTATGTTCATAATTGAATAAAATAAACGTTACGCTGACTGTTAAATATCTTATACACAACTCTTTATTATTTATTTGATTAATAAAATCACTACATCTACACAGTACTAAATTAGTTTTTATTAAATTTTTCTTGCACAGTTTGTTAAAATCTATCAATAATTATCATTAAATATGATAGAAATAAAATACCAAAGAAAAACTACTAATTTAAATAATTTCAGATCATATTCATGTTCACAATTTACATACTAAATTTTGAGAAAATACAAAAGAATAATAGTATATTATTATATATTTATATGTGGATCACATATATTAATATGTGGATTTTTAAATTATAGCTAAAACATTATACAAACACCATGAAATGTGAGCTTCATTCCGATGTGGTTATCTGAACATAGTTCATTCGAATAAGATTTCTACTTTTTGAAATTGGTATTTGTTAAATTAATCATTATTTAAATATACATATACAAGACCAGAAAGCTTCAAGAAACTTGTTTTTGACTAAGGTACCCTTCGCGTAAATTTAAGCTTTGTGAAAAATTCGAAGATTTTATTTATGGTGTAATTTATTCATAAGAATTTTTGTAGAGATGTATTAAAATTAAAACTTCAAAAATTTTTTAGAATTTTGTTTATGGATAAAATTTGAAATAGTTCTGAACAGGATTTTCAAACATAATATGTTTCATTAACAAAATATAAAATATTAAAAAGTTAATATTTTCGCAATGTAATCTAAAACGCTATATGAAAAAAAATAAAATTTCGCCATTAAACAACTCTAAAAAACGGACAAGGTAAGTACTTTTTTATTAGCATATTTTAAAGACATAAACCCAAACTAAATGTTATTTTTATTATTTAACAAAGATTAATCGGGAACACAAAGTTCTATAGTCATAATATTAAGCAACTTACAAAACCTCTTTCCTTAGCTGCAATTTTTCTTACGTTTCTAGCTTGCTCATCAGTTGATAATAAGTTAAAGAGCTATAAAATTAACATTAATGTGAAACTGCGCTAAAAATCTATCAAAAATATTTTTCTTAAACCAAGTTTTCATAAATTAATAATGAAAAAACATTTGCAAGTACGTATTGTTTTTTTTTGTAAAGCAATAGTTTTTTCTGTCTGCTAAATCGAAATAATAAAAAAAAAATAAAGAATAACTTGAAACCAGAATGTCAAATGTCTCTTCCTATATAAATAAAATTCGCTTGACACCAACTTTGCGTTTAATATTAAGGAATAATCATTTTTAAATAAAATGTATAGTTTTTAAAAACTTTTTGCAATAATGACTTTAGCAAAAAATTTCAGTGGGTGGTAAATCTTTGGTACAGAAAAAAAAAATACAAATAAATAAAAATCCTCACAACTTTACGAGTAGCCTCATCTATATCATGGTATTTCATGGATCCTCCCAATATTCTTCGAATCTACGAAACCAAAAATAGTAAAATAAATAAATAAAAATAAAATAAAGAAAAAGCTTTGAAAATTAAAAAATGATGTGAAAGCGAATGATTGAGATTTTGAAATGGCATCTGTTTTTAAAATAATGACCTTGTTATTCATAAGTACATATTTGGCAGTAATTCTGTACTTACAACTAAGAACTCTGTTTTATCTACGCGTTGATTCCCATCTGTATCAAACATATTGAATGCGATACGAAATCCAGAATGAGGCTCTGAAATTTTAATACTTTTTTATTCTTTCTCTTATAAATTAATTCGTGTTCAATTTTATATACTTTTAACGACTAATATTTAAGTAAAAAACAAAAATACTTAATGCTACTCCTATAGTTCGAAGCTCACCATTCAAGCTATAGCAAAATTTCTTTTATAACGGAACTTTGCCTTAAAACTTAAAATATATTTAAAATTAAAATCTTATATATGTATATACATATTTTGTACATACATTAAAAATAATTCAAGGAATAATGCAATGAAAAACACATTTAATAAAAATATTTGTACTTACTAGTTAAAATCGAAAGCAAAAACAGGTACTCCGTATAAGATATAATTCCTGTAAATAATAATTATTTATTTTCCATGCCAAATATAAAAATGTAACTATGTAATTATTTTTATAGCTACAAGCCTGATATTTTTTTATATGAAGTATCATTTGTATTTTTAAATTTATATACATTTATTAAGTATAAATCTTTTATTCCTTAAAAGTATAACAATAAAAATGTTTACACCTAGGATGTTCAATAAATTTTGTAAAACATACTACATATATTTCTAAAATACCATTTTAGTTTCAAAATAAGATTAGCAAACTTCATATTGAAAATAGTAAGCTTTAATATGAAAATAATAAATCTTAATATTTGATTTTTTATTTAAACTAATATTAATAATACATATTAATATAACATATTTCCTAAGTTAAGAACTCAGAAAAGACTTTCTAAGGTAAGGACTCTCTGTTTTCTAATGGATGAACCGTCTCTGTTGTTAAGAATTCTTTATAATTTTTTTGGGGTCTCGTAGCTCTTTTCAACATAACAAACATTCTCAATGGGGTTAAGCATTGCACTATAAGGTCAAATCTGAGTATATGGTTGTCCTGCTCCAGCAGAATTTTTATAACAAGGTGCGCTCAATTACAACACCTGATTCACCATGTCTAAAAATTGTTTGACGAAAACAAAAACTTCTCTTCATGATTCTCATGAAGAAACACGATGTTTATTGATCGAATTCTTTATTTCGTAATGATTAATCTCACAGTACTTATGTAGCCTATGACAATAGCATGTTTTGAACCCGCAGATATAGTTGTGTATCTTACTCCCTTTAATGATCTCCCTTGTGTTTTTGGACACATGAATATGTATATAAATTGCTTTTATCGGTAAACAAAATACATAATTTGCTTTGGGATTAAAATCTTAAAATTCTTGTTTTTAAGCTAACAAAATTAAGTGCCGTTTTTCAACAAAATAATCTTAAACATTTCAACAAAATAATCTTAATGAAATTGTCTAATTTTTTGAAATCTCTTTTCTCCTCAATTGTCTACAGTACCTTCTCTGATATCGTACTATGCATGCTATTGGTTGTAAAATGTTAGTCGTTTTTCCAAGTTGACGTCAGTTTTCATTCACTTTTCAAACGGTAGGTAGTTTTAAAACGGTATTTGTAGGTAGTTTTCTGGGCTTTTAACTATAGATTTTTTAAAAGAGCTTAAATTAACTAAGTTAATCTTATATTGAAATTTACTATTCTCATATTGAAGTTTTACTTATTTAAAAATTTAGAGATTATTAAAATTCCCATTTTGTAGTTTATTACGATATTTTGAAGTGTACTATTAGAAAAGAATGTAGAGATAGTTATATTTCTTTGCAAAGAATTACATTGTACAATTTTACTGTGTTACAAAGAAATCTGTTTAAAAGAAACGCAATACTGAGATTTGTTCACAAATAAAATATCGTGAAGCAATTAAATTAATTTTTTTATAGTTTAATTAGGTGGTTTCCAATTTTTTTAGGCTTGAAATCTGAACAGATCTAGCAAAATGAACTATAAAAATAATGTTTCGTTTTTGTAAAATTTTAAAAAAACCGAAAAAAAATATTTTTTGTAATTTTAACAAAAATCGACATAAGCGGAAAAATTTGTTCTTTACTGACTTAGATTTTGAATTATAATTAAGAAAAATGAATAAATACCTTTATCACGCAAACTTCTGAATAAGTTTTGAGATCCTTGGTGCAATTGCGGTGTGTAATCTTTAATTTTATTAACATCGTTTACGGTTAAGCTCCTTCTTTTTAATCTTGCTAAAATGAAGTGTGTGTAATAAAAATTAAGGTGACTGGAGAAAAGAAAACTCCTTTTCCTTATATTTTTACTTACGCCGAGGCTCTTGTTCAACTACACTGTCTAAAAAGTCTTGTGGTGTCATGTACAGTTGCCCATCAAATTCAACAGATGCAAATTTAATAAATCGTCTCTCCCGAGGTGTTAGTTTAATAACTTTTTCTTCATCCTGTTAAAAAGAAATTAATAAATTTTTTCATTTAATATACATATTTTGCGTATACATTGGCATATATTCATATATGTATGTACGTAGTTTATTAAGTTAATTTGGATATAAAATATGTGGTTTTGAAAAATCTTAGTTTATTTCCAATAAGTACCTATGTATATATGTATTATATCCATACATAAATTATATTACATATTATGTACATGTGTATATACAATGCATACCTGGTACACAAACTATATATACTAAACTTCAACCAGGAATATTCATTTAAATAAAATTTAAATAAGTTCATACATTATGCATGTATATATATCAAAATTATTGAAATTTCAATTGATTTATGCGGTTGCAAATAGAAATCTCTCACCTTATCTTTTCTCAAATTTAGCGCATGAACTACATTAAATTTGGATTTTAGAATTCCTGTACAGTAGCCTGCTAAAATACAGGTGCCTCCAACAGCATAAAAAATTTTGATTTTATTACTTCTGTAATTTTTATAATTCCAACCATTACTGAAATTTCGTTTTATATTAACATTGTTAAATAAAGGACGAACACCCAAGAAAAGACGATTAAAAGCCATAACAAAGTTAAGAATTCAATAACACATGACAGATTGATATTATTTAATTGAAATGATTAATGAATGCTGAATATGAACATACAAACAAATTAAATGACATAAATGTTAACTGTCAGATTCTACCATCACTTCAGGGATGTGAATTTTTAATTTCGAGTTGTTTTATGTATCAGATGCCCTCTAAAATCACACATTTAGTACATATTATTAATGTATGTTTGTTTTACTTATGAGAATAAACAATATTATCGTATAAGTGTTTCTTTTTGCTTTTAAAAATTTTGTAGTGATGTCAATCTATTAAAAAACATGCTGGTGAAACATAGCGTAATGAGCTAGAACTTATTGTCAATGTCTTAAAAAAACGAGAAAACTAAAGCAAAGTAAACATATACGATAAAGCCCGATGAGTGTTTACATATCAGATTGGAATTAGCTCGGAAATTATTCTATTCTAATAAATAGTAATTAAGAATTAAAATAAACATGAAATCTCAAATAGCAAACATTTTTTAAAGTTTTTTTTTTATTATATTACTATTTTAACAAAAAATTACTCCACCACTTAAAATAGAGCTGTCGCTAAGAGTCAATAATTTATTTTCTTCGTGTCACCAGTGTTGGAACATTTGCATTTTTATTTGTCAAATTTGGCATAATGGATATTTTAGTTTTCCATTAAGCTTTTTAAAAATTATTGTGCAGTTCAAAAGAAAATTAACTTAAAAAAATTTTTTTCCCTTTTCGAATAAGAAGAATACGGTTTTGTATTGTAATCACGGCTGAAAGAAATGTGGGTCATATTTTTGTTATGTTAAGATTGTATCTAAGCGTTAAAAGGTATAGGAATTTCATAGAAAAGCTTTAACGTTCCATTAAAATACATATGTATTTATGTATGGATGTACTTTAACATGTATAATAAATCTTAATGATCGAACTTGCAATTCTGACTGTTATGGAATATATTTTAAAATAAATATTCTGTAGGAATTTACAAAGAACTGTTTTAATAAATTTAAAAAACTGTTTTAATAATTAATTAGAAATATGTTTTAGTACATACTTGAAAGCAGTTAAAAAACGACAAAACGTTTAAGTTATCTTTCCAATTTTGTAGTATCATAAACTTCAAATAATGATAGTGGTGATGCAAAATAAGTCCAAGTTATTTCGTTGTTTAATGCTTTAGAAATGGGTTCAAGTGAGAAATACGTTTAATGGCAAAATAATAATTCTTCCCTTTTACATTATTACCCTACTATTACTATTACCCTGCAGTTTTTCTTCAAGAAATTATAATTTAAGAAAGTTCTAAAAACCTGCATATTTTAAATTTCAATATTTTTGTCGTTTTATAATTACGATACGAGGATATATCTCATAATATGACCAGTACCTCAAAATTTATTCTATACGTAAAACTTTTATGATGTTGTGAAATGGAATATTTTGTGTTATCATTATTTAATACAAATATTAAATAATTGTAAAACAAAATGCACGCTTGGTTTTTTGATTATAGAGCATTGTCTGACTTTGAGTAACTGAGATTTTCGTCTATATTATTTTAGCAACTTTTTTTTTTATTTACTTTTATTTATTATTATCTATATAAGCTTTTTTCAAGAAAATTACATGATTTGTATTAACAATTTTATTTAATATGAAAACCTATTATATTTTTTTACCATTTTTTCAATAAATTTGTTTATTTTGTATTCATTTTTATCTGCATATTTGCATATAGATATGCATTTTAAAATGTCTACTTTATATTGCATACATTACGGCGAAGGGTTTTTTTGTAATCACAGTTAGTTACTCATTTGTATTATCGTTTTGATAAGAATTGTAGCTCCCAATGAAAAACAATAAATTGTTGAAAACTGCTTATTATTATAGTTCAAATGAGGTCGTAATGTTTTATTTTGATATTCAAAAACTGTAAGATTTTAATTAATTGTTTGTATTTCTATCTAATCAATTTCAATAAAATCTTAATAAAAGAAATAAACAGTTTAACTATTCAATTCTAAAAAAATAAAACATAATATTTAAATTGATAACGTGTTCTCTACTATACAGAATTTGCAATAAAATGTAACTGTTATATTCTGCACTCAAAAATAAAATGTAATGTTATTATTCTGTATATATATAGAAAATATTACACACGCATATGTATATGACATAATATAGTTATAATGCATAATACATATGTATATGTACAATTGGCTGAAATATATACATGTTTATATTCGTATTTATAGGCCATAAAACAACCGGTTTTATAATATTAATCTATTTATGTATATAGTAATAAATAAGTACACATGTGGCATGCGACTTTTAAATAAGTAGCTGTCATTTTTATTTCAATTGTATTAAAACTTCTATGCAACATAGACACGAATATACATATACATACATATTTATATGTTCTAAATTATAAGCTACCGTTAAACATAAATAGAGGTATATACAAATACTTCATATACAATTTATTTTTTTATGTTGTGTAAACTTTTGTTCCCGACACGAAAGAAATCATATTGAGAAAATCCTTTTTCCCAATTTTACTTGTATATATGGATTTGTTTGTATGTATATGTTCATTTTATGGATGGTTTTTTCTTACACATCTATATTATATACAAGTGTGTATACATGATAATATTTAGTAGGATTCTACAAATAGTGTATAAAAAAATTTTTTGTGTATTTTTCAAAGCTTTCATTTCACCAATTATAAAAAGCACTTTTCAAAGAAAGTTTCTCATAAAAATCCTAAATAAAAATTTCTAATTTTTTTGTTCAATTTCAGTTGAGAAGTTCATCGGGTCGTGTAAAGTTATATTTGAATTAAAAGTAAAAATTAAAACCACAAAATAAATAAAATACATTTAGGATACTAATAAAAAAAAAAAACAAAAAATAAATTAATAATAAAAACTATATGTGAAAATTAAACAAAAAAAAAAAACAAAATTTTTTCTTTTGTTTTTTTTTTTTTTGTAAAAATGTTTACAAAGAAGTTCAAATTTGGTTTTTAAAAGAAAAATATAAAATTCTATAGAGGATTTTCAGACAAATATTAAATTTGGTATCTGAAAATCTTTTAATATCAGTAGGTACATGAATTTTTTTTATATAACAAAATATTTATAAATTTTTAAGCTTAATAAAATAAAGTTAGTAAAATTGTTGAATTTAAAAATATTTTTATTGCAAAAAAAAAATTTGGAATTCGTAAATGAAAAACAAAAGTTAATTTGAAAAGCATTTTATTTGATTTTTTGGTTAAAAAAATGAGTGCTGAATCTTACTTTCCTTTCCCTTTTTTTTAATATTCTATTGTATATTCAATTTCTTTTTAATTTAATATGAAATTTAGTTTTTTTAAGTTCAAGCTTTGAATTAATATCAAAAATTATTAAAATAAAATTAAAAATGAAAAGAAAAAAAATTATCAGTAGTACAAAGTAGAGCTGAAAATACAACGAAAACGTCTAATCGGACGTCGCATTGCAGATAAAAATAAAATATATAAGAATGTAAAAAGCAATAATAACAAAAACAAAATGAAAAACAAAAGAGCGAAAACAACAAAAAAAAAAAACAAAACATACAGAGAATAATAAAAAAGAAAGAATTTTGCTGTCATCGTTCCGTTTGAGTCAAATTTAGTATGAAAGGTTGATTTAAAAAAAATATAATTAAAAAGAATAAAAACTGAAAGTGGAAATTAATCTAAATAAATTAATTTATTTTTTACTATTTTAATATAAAAATTTAATTGTTTTTTATTGCATTTAAAAGAAAATATTTAAAGCTCAACTTTTCCACTTTTCCACATTAATTTTTCTTTTTTATTTATTTTGTTTTCCTTTTTTATTTCTCTTTTCATTTTCACGAGAATTTTTTATACATTTTATGGAAAGCAATCAAAAATATGATTTGGACTTATTAGAAAATACTTAAAATAATTGGTAAAAAAAAAAGAAACAGGAAAATATAATTGTATAGAAAAATTTTTTTTATTTCCCAAATAGAAAACGAATTTTTTTTTACCTTCTATCGTTTCCTTGAAATATTTTCTCTATCATAGCATAATAATCATATGCATATATATAAAACATACACGAAATATTTAAACCACCACTCTGCCGCCGTCCTATAAAATTTTTGATTTTCACTTATTTCCAGTATTGTTCATTTATAATACTTGGTATTTTAGAGCTTTGTTTGAAAATATACAAAAAAAAAGAATGTATATATTTGTCCAGAGCTTACAATTTATTTACGTTTATAATTTTTATATGTATATTCTACATAAAATTATATTTTATTATATACATATTATAATATACAAACATTTATTGTACTTTTATCCTTCTATTTGTTATTATACTCGTATATATATATTAATAAAGCTATGTCTGTTTTTTGTATTATTGTTAAATATTATGAATTATTAAATTTTTTTATTACATTATATTTTATAAGGTTTTTGTCAAAAAAAAATATCAAAAACAAAAGAATTATTCGGATAGCTATCAATACAAACTTACTTAGAAATAAAATGTTTATAAACATTTAAAAAATATAAATTATACCTTAATTATTAATAAATTATACTTTATTTTTATCGAATTCGATAAATGATATAGAAAAAACACATTTCGCATCATATTTGTGTTACTAATTTAAAGAAACTTAAAGTTGTATAATAATTGTAGGTATATTATATGATAGAGAATATCTGCAATTGATGTTGAATTTCGTACTATAAACTAAAAAATGGATCATTTTGTCCTGTATACCCTATACATATATACTGCGACTGCGGATAATTCAAAATTAAATATATGTTCGTATCAATGAAATACTCAATTTTTTTAAAGTTATATTGCAAAATAAATTTAAATATTTTAATAATCTCAAAAATTTATTAACATAAGGTCACAGATTATATTTTATAATTAACTACACAAATGAAAGTATATTCAAATAGATTTGATAAATATTTTCATTTTCTTTCAGCTTAAAATAAATCTTTACTAACATTTATTATTTTTGAAATTTTTTTAAAAACATTACAAACTAAAATAAATCCAGCAATAATTCTTTATTTCTGACTTTAATTGAGATTATTTTGTACAGTCTATATGAAAATATTATGGATTAAAGGTTAACAATTGCTTTTTTTCTTACAACAAAAATAAAATGAGCTTTACTTGGCTTTCAATTAGTAATCAACACTAACCAAGTCAAACTTGCCAAATTTTGGATTGAAATTGTTGAAAATTGGAGTTATAATATAAAATAGTTCTATACATATTATATATGTATATAAATTTTGCAGATCTCTAAAAAAAAATTTCAAATTTCTTTAATTTAATTGAAATAAACAAAATATAATTCTGTACTAACATTATTTCATTGCACTTATCAAGTGAGTATGTTCATAAATTGACTTGTAGATACATATATAATATTATTTACATATATAATTTTATGTGTATAGTTTGATTTTTGTCGTTTTATTATATATGTATGTATTTATGTATTATAGAAATAGCTATGTACATAAAATTATGAATTTTAATTTTATTTCCTTTATGAAAATTCAAAATGTGTGCATCTACTTGTGTGAATCTACGTCATTCAAAAAAAAAAAAGCAAAAAATTAAAATAATAATAAGAAAATATTCAATGACAACGAGTTCTTTAAAAACTATAAAAAGAGAAAAAAAAGAACAAAAAAAAAACAAATTTTAAGTAGCTTAATAATGCTTGCATATCACGCCTTTGACCCAATTAAATGATTTACGTGCAATTCAGATTTTTAGATTAAGGAGAGTAAGAAAAAAAAAAGAAAAATAAAAAAAAACTATAGTGAAGCTAGCAAATTATTTATGAGAAAAACGTCATTAGTGAAAACAATAACCTACATATTGTGTGAGCTTGCATATTGTAGATATTTTACTATATTTTGTATATATATGTATTATTCAAAATTTTTAATGTGTGTGTGTGGTGTTAGTAAAAATGCATAAATCAATAGGAAAAGAGAAAAATTTTTAATTTCATTCTTATAAGACAATAAAATTTATGTTGAGTATAAAAAAAACCTTGATGCGGCATTCTTTTACCAAATTTTATGTACAATTATTATAAATGTATAAGGCATATGTGTGTAAGATTGGTTTAAATAAAAAAATCAATTTTTTCCAAAAAAAAAAATAAAAGTTCATAATTCTGAATTAAATTATTTGTCCTTTCTTTGAAAAATCTTTTAAGTTACATACTTATGTACATATGTGAAAAAATTATATCTTAATAAAAATTAAGGCCAATTACTTAAGTACATACATATATAAATATATGAATGTGTGTTTGAATAAAGGGTGCGATTTGAAGTATTATATTACGTAAAAGTAAACAACTCCATTAGAATAATTTTAATAATAAGTACAATTGAATTATATATTGAGTTTAATATAGTTTTAAATACACATATACGTACATATATACATTATATACATGTTTTATAAATTAGTTTTATAAAACGCGAATTCGCAACTGCATATATACGTTCCAAATTTTGTTTTAAATATGGCCAAGTTTACATACTTATTATGTATAAGTTAATAGCATGCTTATAAAAATGGCATTCATGTTGTATGTGTACTTTCATGAAAGTTCATGGAAAATAATAATTAATTAATAAATAATTTGAAAATTCTGCCTTAGACTTGCCTTACGTTCTTTAAAAAATACGTTTATAACCTGAGATACTTCTTTCTTTATATAATTTTTTTCAAAAAATTTGGTGATATTGATAAATTTGCAAAATGTTGATGAGCAACCATGAGTATAAAACCCCAAGATTATTTAAACAAGAACTTGAATTTTTATAACATTCTAAATACTTAAATGGTTTCTTAGAAAAACGAGTTTTGGCTTAGTATAGATTATCTTTTTTATATACATATTTAATATGCATCCACTAGATTTATTCTAAATCCGCGCACCATTCTGATAAATTTTTGAATGCATAAGTATTTATTTTTAATTTATTTCTAATTATAAAATTTTATCATTAAAGGAATTTACTCTAAAATTTCTTAAACCTTACTCTATAATTCTTTATATTTTTTGTTTTTTTTTTTCTTGGAAATAATTAATGGTTCAAATTTTTCATATCATGTTTTAAAAAATTATTCCTGCCGCAATAGGATTTTTCTACATCAAAACTCAATTTTTCAATTTCTTTAAATTTCTTATTGAATTAAAATTTATGAATTTATAACATATATGTATGTATATAAATATACAACATATTAAAGACATACCCTCATACTAAAATTGAATATAATTTCAATTTCACTTTTATCTCATTGATAATTAAAAATCAAAATGCAAAAAATAAATTTGTTTTTTTTTGTTTGCTTAACATTCGTTTAATTGTTTTTTTTTTAATTTCTATTCATTTTTTTTTCCGCTCTGGCTCATTTCCAATGAAATGAAAATTTTTAACAATAATTAAAAAGAGTGACAAAAAATTCTGAGATATATGAATGCAATCTGATATAAAAATAATTGAATTAAGTACCGAGGAATGGTGACAATATAATTGGCTCGGTAAATTTTTTAGAATCCCAACGAAATATTTTGTAAATGATATATACAAATATAAAATATATTTGGCTTCGTATATACATAAGTAGTTTGAGAAATATTGTTTGTATATTGTTCAAGGAAGAATTGAAGATATGTAACGATTACCTTTTTATGTTTACTATTAAACAATTTTGTTCTTTAGTATAGAATTTATGTATTCTGGTTGTGTACGTTAATTTAAAGGAGAAATTATTGTGTTAATACTGGCCCAAGATCATTATTCTAATTTTGAGTCATTAAAAAGGTTGAAATCTGTAGAATTTTATAATATTGATTATTTTTAAAACTTAAAAAAAAAACAAGAAGAAAAGTGTTTATTAGTTTCAATATATCCGTCCGTCCGTCTGACCGTGTATCTGTTTAAAAAAGTTCTGCTCGTTTTGAGATAAAATCCCAAATAGATCTTTAATGAAAATTTATTTTTGAAAATTTTTTCCTATCTCCTCTCCTCTAAAATTTATTACCCCTTAAAATCCCACAAAATATCATTTTTTTGCAATTGATTGCAACGAAAGCACAAACATTTTTTAAATTTCGCAAACACAGAGTAATAGCGACATGCTTCCTCTATCGTGGTACAGCATAATTAATTATGGAAAAGGCAAAATGGCCGTTAAAATTAACCTAAAACAAGCTTTTTTTTTCAAATTTTCGATATCGTTTTCCCTAATTTCATTAATAGCGCGGGCGGCTTTTAAAACAGACAGGCGCTTCTTTATAAACCTTGCTTCTTGGTTTGTCCCAACTTAATTAATATCAAATTAAGGCAGTAGGTTTAATGAGTAACATCTAGTCAGATGTAAACAGCTTTTGTTTTTTAATGTAAACTCAAACTTACAATATAACCAGGTATAACATTTACTGTAAATATTAAAAAATTTTTAACTGTCAATCGATAAAATGGTAGTTAGTGTTACCACTTTATTATGATTATTAAAAAAAATTACAGTACCGTTTTGAGAAGAGCAATAAATGTCAATTCTTCTTTAATTTTAAGTTATCAATTTAA